CAAATGTAAAGAAGTCTGTGTACACCAGTGTTACTGATAATCTAGTAAAACAATATCGGTATGATCACACATAATGATAATAGAGGTGTGTGTGTGTAGGTCACTAGATCTGCACTGTCCTGACTGTCGCACGCAAGCCTTTCATTATAATTGCATGACTTCGACCGCCTGACCTAGATTCTGATGTCTAGATTATGTATATATATATATATATATATATATATATATATATATATATATATATATATATATATATATATATATATATATATATATATATATATATATATTTCATGTAGATCCACAATGAAAACGTTGTTTCCCTTTTCCCGTGTGATTTTATCAATATATATATATATATATATATATATATATATATATATATATATATATATATATATATATATATATATATATGAAGATAGAGAGTTCAGAGTCATTATAGAACAATTGGGAACAACTCACGTCAGTCAGTAGAGTTTCCCTCACTGGTGGGGAAATTGTTTATTCATACACGTGCATATAATCTGTATCTCTCACTATGTTTCTCTGTATATCTCCCTCTTCCTTGACCTACGTTAAGAGTGACATCTCATGGACCTTCTCTCTATCCCTAACTCTCTCTCTCACTCTCCCTCTCTCAGGTAGGTTGAAAGCGTCGCTCGTAAGGTCAAGTTCCAGACACCACATTGGCTCCCCTGAATCAGCAACTTCACACTGAGGGCTTGGCGTTCGTTCACCCCAGGGTTCATGGCTGTACATAACCACTACCCCAGCCTAGCTCTTGCCACTACCCCAGCCTAGCTGCTGCCACTACCCCAGCCTAGCTCCTGTCGCTACCCCCACCATTGGTCAGGTTAGGTAAGTATTGAGTCACGTCCTTAAACAAAATTAAGTTTACGCTACAGTTCGTGATCTGTTACTAACTTACTAAAACTGAAAGTCTCGCATAAAAATTAATTATGGCGGCTCGTAGATGTCCAGGACACTTAAACTATCCATCAGTTAGTGCACACACATACATTAAACTAACCTGTGCTGTAATGGGGAGAAGAAAATTTCATGTAACTACACAGATGATACAAGAAAAAAGGGCTGTAAATACAGGTACAGCACTTTCTTCACACAAATACTTACTATAGCGTAATTTAGACATAAGACTGCCTAGAAGTAACTTAAAAAAATATGTCTAAAACCTTAACTTAATGGAAAAGAAATATGATGAAATCCTGCTAAGCCTAGTTGTTAATACGGTATGGTATGGTCACTGTAAACAAACTCGACTCAAAATTAGCGGTTCTAACGCAAGACGATTTAATTCAGCACAGATGGGATTCCGTTCACAGGTGGTTAAGTCTTGTTATGAAATTCTCTTTCACTTTAATGTGCTTGTAGTTAATGAATTCGACCTCGGAAAATCGAGAAAAAATCGAGTGAATTATCGCCTAACTGGTGTTAAGTGAATGTACTGGTTAAAGTGGTTTTAGTAAAAATTTTAGGTTTTTTCTCAAATATAGTTAATCAGTTATGCGTATCCGTACAACATTTACGAGGAATAGTTTTCTTTTAAAGGGTTGTGAATCCACCACAAGAGTTAACGCTGCAGGTGATTTGATACTTGTGGATTGCATGGAGGGGAAACGGGGCGCAGCTGGGGGGGGGGGTGAAGGGTGGGAGGAGCATAAGAGGTGAAGGAGGGGGAAGAATGTGGGTTAAGGGAGGAGGAGGAGGAAGGCTAAGGGTGTGTGGTAGAGAGGGGAGCCAAGTTTGTACCTTTATCAGCTCCACCTAAGTTGTGACTCAGAGACGGAGTTGAAATTGCGCTGGGAACTCTGCCATAACTGGATGGCTCTTGAAGCCCAATTTAGAAGAAAATCAGCCCACGAATCGTTGAGGATTTCACAAACACTAATGGAAGTAATTTCGTTTATTTATCTGCATACAGAAATAAAAGTTGCATATGTTTGACGATGAGAGGAGTAAGTGTTGCCAGCCTGGGCGAGTCACCCCCCTGTATTTACATTTGTGTGGGTTGGGGAGTATTTCCTGGGGTGTGGCTCATCCAATGAGCTGGTAATACAACATATACTGCTATCTTCAGTAAGTCTCTCTCTCTCTCTCTCTCTCTCTCTCTCTCAAGTCAAATCTTTCCGGTAAATGAGGAATCGAAGAAATTACCAAGCTCCGTTGCGTCTATGTGCAATTTCAGCGCCATTATACCCGTGGCAAAGCTTAAGTGAAGGAGTCAGATACGCCACCATCATAGTGGAAGAACGTACAGTACACATTTTTGAGTTTCTTACCCAGGATTTAGATTATCTGAGGCTCCTCCTGATAAATTTTCCTTTTAACTGGAGATGTAGGATTGCACTTAACGGTGTGACCAAAGTTAAAGTCACAAATAACGTCTATCATGACATTTAAGTTCCATTGAGCTTTTTATCATAACTAGGTTTTTTACTTAACTTCAACTGGGAGACAAAAAATACCGAACCTAACCTTTGTGGCTACCGACCGATTGTAGACTTTCACTCACGAAATAACAGCTCAGCGAAACAATGGTACCTCCTCACCCCCTCACCTCCTTAACCCCTCACCTCCTCACCCCCTCACCTCCTTAACCCCTCCTCACCCCCCACCTCCTTAACCTCACCTCCTCCCACCCCTCACCTCCTTAACCCCTCACCTCCTCACCCCCCACCTCCTTAACCCCTCAACCTCCTCACCCCTCACCTCCTTAACCCCTCACCTCCTCACCCTCACCTCCTCACCTCACCTCCTCACCCCTCACCCCTCACCTCCTCACCCCTCCTCCTTAACCTCACCTCCTTAACCCTCACCTCACCCCCTCACCTCCCAACCCTCACCTCCTAACCTCACCTCACCCTCACCTCCCCTCACCTCCCCTCACCCCCCTCCTCACCTCCTTAACCTCACCTCAACACCTCACCTCCTCCTCACCCCTCACCTCTCCCCCCCACCTCCACCTCACCTCCTTCACCCTCACCTCCTAACCCCTCACCTCCTCACCCCCTCACCTCCCTTCTCACCCCTCCACCTCCTCAACCTCACCCCCTCAACCCCTCACCTCCTCACCCCCTCACCTCCTCAACCCCTCACCTCCTCCGCCTCCTTACTCTTCATCATTCCTAGATTGGGAGAGGCAGGTACGCATTGAGTTATTTGGGTAGGTTAGGTTAGTCTAGGCTAAATTAGGTTGTGTTAGCCTAGGGTAGGTTTGATTAGGTTTATTAACTAGGGCTAGCTAGAATAGGATACGTTAGTTGGAAAATTAGGATACAAAGGTTAGATTACAATGGTTAAGTTAGCCTGAGATTGATTAAATTAAGCTAGATTAGGTTTGTGGAGTTAGACTGGATTACATTCGATAAGTTACGGTAGGATAGAAGGATTTGGTTAGGTTAGGGTTATGCTAAGCCATGTTTGAATAGGTTAGAGTAAGATGAAGATAGGTTATGTAATAGTCTGGCTAGAAGCTTCATGTAGAGATGATGTCTTTATGAGCCCAGCGGGAGGGTGTTGACAGTACACACGCACACTCTCTGATATTGAAATTGAAACAGTTTATTTAACCAGAAAACGGACAGAGTCGATAATAATAACAATATTAACATGGCTGAGCCAGTTGAGAGTCTGAGCTCTCTTGAAGGCACCTGATATTTACTGTACATTTATCTCAAGGAATAATTATATAACATTTAGTATCATATGGAATAGTACGCGTAACATGGTGGTAGTATGAACATGTCAGAATGTTACCACGGTTATCACTTAGTTATTTATCTTTCTTTTTTTTACATTATGTTGTAAGTATATGCATATTTTACAGTGGAGTTGATATCGGGGTTGTATTAAGGTGGATCAAGAGGACAGAAGCTGTCAGTATCACGTTTTGTCGGCAAATATAATGATTACAATGGTAATTTCTATCTATCTACATGATAATTTAGGATATAGTGGTTTTGGTGGTACAATAAGAGTAGGCATATAAAATATGTATTACAAAAAAATTAATACTTAGACAATAGATATTTTTTAAGATATGATTTAAAGGAAGGGAGCGTAGTCTTTGCTCGGATGGGTGGGGGTAAGTTGTTCCACACCTTCACACCATGATATTTTATGGCGGTCTGGGACTGTATTGAGAGAAGCGCATAGGAGGTGGTCTTAGTTTTCAATTTAGCAAATCGTGCGATAATTTTTTTCACAGGTAGTTGGTTTCTCCAGCTAAGTTTATCATTAACAACAACCCCAAGGAATTTTGTATTTTGTTCATGTTTGAGGACTGCATTACCAAGGTACATGGGGTCCAAATCTGGGGGTAAGTTTTTCCTTCTGTGAAAGATTGTGTAGTGGGTTTTGTCGAGGTTTAAAGTCAGTTTATTACGTATTACCTAAGTCAACTCTCTCTCTCTCTCTCTCTCTCTCTCTCTCTCTCTCTCTCTCTCTCTCTCATTACTGCTTTTACCACTCTTCCGTCAATCCACGCAAATTCCTCTTATGTATTTCTTAACCATAACCTAACTTAACCTAACCATAATTCGACACACATGTTCACCTGTCGATTGTTAGGTCGAATATGAACCACGTAGGTTGTTGTGTCGATTATTACGTCGGATATTTATATGAGATTCTGGGTACTCATAAGGGATTCTGGGTACTCATAGGAGATTTTAGGTACTCATAGGAGATTCTGGGTACTCAGGAGATTCTGGGTACTCATAGGAGATTCTGGGTATTCATAGGAGATTCTGGGTACCCAGGAGAATCTGGATACTCATAGGAGATTCTGGATACTCATTGGAGAATTTGGATGCCCATAGGAAATTCTGGGTACTCATAGGAGAATTTGGGTACTCATAGGAGATTCTGGGTATTCATAGGAGATTCTGGGTACCCAGGAGAATCTGGATACTCATAGGAGATTCTAGGTACTTATAGGAAATTCTAGGTACGGATAAAAGGTTCAAAGTACTTACCTTTGGCGGGAAGGTTCTTGTGTCTGGCCACTAGACCGGAGAAGTGCTTCCAGGCGAAGGTGTATATGTCGTAGGGCTCCGTGCACTGTGTCTTGATGACCTCCTTGGCGAGGCCCTCCACCACCTCCTCCAGCCCGTCAGGGAGTGTCAGCCGGGTAAACAAGGACGTTGACATACTGACACAGTATTCCAGCAAGGTACAGGACCTGGGGAAGATACAGGTAATGTCAGCCGAGTGAATAAGGGCGCTGACATTCTGACACAGCAACCCAACACGCCATAGGACCTGGATGGAGATGCTGACACTCTGACACACACGCCATCCAGCCTTCCCGGACACCTGTGGGAGATACAGGGACAATGTGAAGTTTATTACGGAAAAATGTTTGGTGTTATCGTCACGAAATCAAACGATGAGCTCTAATAGAAATAACGGCGATAGTAATAACAACAACACCAGTAGTAGGAAAGTCACGAGAGCGGGTAGTAAAGCTAAATCATCATCATCATCATTAGTTAAGGGTGGAGGGCGGAGGTAAGGGTAGTAAGGCACAAAGTTTGGAATGTTGGTAGTAATCAATGGTTGGAGTATGTGGCCCTCTGACGCACACACACACACGCGCGCACACACACACACACACACACACACACACACACACACACACACACGAAACTGAATACTTAAAAGGAAATTCCTTCCATACTTAAGCAAATCTATACCGAAAATATTTATCTCTCTCTCTGGGTAAAATCATTCCACGAAAATAAGAAAATGGAAAAAAAATGGTGATACGTGTATATATACATTTTAATAGCATCTATCTTCTTTTTCCAGAGAGTGGTGGTCAAGAGGATACAGCGCTTGCCTTCTGCCATAAAGGTCTCTGGTTCGATCCGGGGGAACTCACATTCCATCCAGCAATAATTTTACAATTGAGGAAGTAAAGGCTATCAAGCGCAGTGCCGGCCACGCTGTGACCTTGTGTACTGATAATTTACTATACAGTGTGACGTATCCAGTATCTGAAGGACACTCAGGCGTATGGAACCCGCTTCCATTCTGTGTTTAGTAAGCCAAGATGAATTGATTCGACCACAGTTAGGTTTAAGTTAGGTTAGGTTAGATTAGAGTGAGTAGGGTCATGTTAGGGTAAGCCAGGAGAGTTGATTTGTTCATGCTGTGTTAACTTAGTTCAGGTTAGGTAAGGTTAACTTAATTTAGGTTAGGTTAACTTAATTCAGGTTAGGTTAGTTTATCTAAGTTCAGGTTAGGTAAACTTAGTTCACATCAGGTTAGGTTAATGTAAGTCATGTTAAGTTTGGTAAAGTTAAGCCAGGTCAGGTTAAGGTAATTTAAGTGAGGTAGGAAGCTTTGTGCAACAGAAGAGAGTGACAGTCTATCACCACTCAGCAGGACCAGAGACTCGCCCGTCAGCCAACAGCGTGAGTCAGGTACAGGTTGTGCTGGTGTGTGGTATGTGTGTGTTTCCAGGTACACGGTGTAGCGGGGCGAGACGAGGGGCAGCTCCAACAAGTATTCGCGCCTGTGGTCACCTTAGCTATGTGGTTATTGATTTTTAGAATCCAGTAGAACAACCTTGGTGATATCTTTACACACACACACACACACACACACACACACACACACACACACACACACACACACATACACACACACACACACACACACACACACACACACACATCACACACACACACACACACACACACACACACACACACACACACACACACACACACACACACACACACACACACACACACACACTACCCTGCCAGTGCCACGGAACACCTTCATGGGCAGTTAGTAGGATAGGAATTACGGTCTGTAAACCCAGTTCGACAACAGTCACTGAGATGTTAATCGCCTTGAACAGTTTTCATGCCGGTGAACACTATCACACACACCCACAGTGAACACAGCCAGTGACAGCCACAACTACCACAACACTCCCACCTTTACTAACAACTCTTTCATTATACAACACTGGTGGTTATCTTTTGCCGTGCATATTATTAACTTAGTCTTACTTTATTGTTCTTCAGGGGTGATATCAAAGGATTAGAAATGGCGGCACAACACACACACACACACACACACACACACACACACACGTTATAATAGCAGTAGCGAGTCAACACTGAAACTCTGGTGTGACACTTTAATGAATTTGTAGTGTTTATATTTTTTAAAACTCGGTGTTTATACCTCGAAAAACTATGCGGAAATAACATGAGTCCCGTGTGTGTGTGTGTGTGTGTGTGTGTGTGTGTGTGTGTGTGTGGAGGAAATGATAAATTAAAGAATTCTGAAATCCAGAGTTTTAGAATATCATGATCCGTTTTTCCCCCGTGGCGAGGAAGGAGCCTGGCCCCTTGTGGTTAACTTGTTATTACGGTGTTATAACGTCTCAAGAGAACGCCTGTCATGATACAGCTGACGTCGTTGCCCCCACCCTCAGCGTCACGACTTAGAGAGTGTCGTAAAATAGTGTTCAACTGGCTGGCTTTATCTTCACTGCCGTTGAAAAAAAATTGCTTAGAGATGAGAGATAGATAGAGAGACACGAGAGATTTACTGAGATATAGATTAATTAAAGGATAAACAGTGAATCACGAAATGTATGTGTGAGAGAGTAGGTAATGGTTCTCTCACATCCCACTAAGGGGGAAAATTCACGTAGGAACCTTAAAGAATGTGGCTACTTAATGATCATTATTTTACTGTGCGTTATAAACCTGGTGTGTGTGTGTGTGTGTGTGTCAGCACAAACACACCCTCACACATATACACACACTCTCAGCAGATGTATGCGTCAGCTCATAGTTCGTGTTGAATATAACTTAAAAAGTAACTCTGGGACTAAAGGTCAAAGTAACAAGGGTTAATATTTTACCGAATACTTGGATGATGACAGTAGTTATTCGCTCACACATTCAATTGAATAGTACATGTACTTAGTGTGTCCCCAACAGGAGATTATCAATATGTGAGCGTTCAAAGTACTTATTTTATTACGTCAGTTTATCATTATTTGTTATAGTTTAATTATAAGGAAAATACTTTAGGGTTAGAATTTTGGTTTACAGCTCTGAAACTCACTTAACAAATCATGCCAGCCTTACTATCTTATTGGTGTGTATAAGGAACCGTTTTCCTTGTACTGTAGCTTAACTAAAACCGACAATATGTTGTACGTGTACAAGCGGTGGGATGCTCCTCTCAAGTGCCTGAGACGGAGAACTTTGACCATGAAAGCTGAAAACAATATGGTTGATGAGAGAGCATTGTGATATGTGACTTGGAAATCCACCAAGTTTAGTATTATCTACGGCTCTATGTTATACAGTAAATGACGTAGATCTTTCTATCTCTCTCTCTCTCTCTCTCTCTCTCTCTCTCTCTCTCTCTCTCTCTCTCTCTCTCTCTCTCTCTCTCTCTCTCTCTCTCTCCCGAAAAGATGGCTATCAGTAATAATAATTCTTGCGTGAGGGGTCGAGTCTCACTTCTCAAGGACACAATCGATCCGTTCGAGTCACGTATACCTGGGGATACCTGGCTGTGTTATCTGGTGATACCTGGCTGTGTTACCTGATAATACTTGTCTGTGTTACCTGGTGATACCTGATTATTACCTGGTGATACCTGTGTCACCTAGTAATACCCGGTAATGCCTGACTGTTACCTGGTAATAAAAAGGTCGTGTTATGTTCACTATCCATTAAGCATATAAAGATGGCCTTTACTGTTTTGGCGCCATAATAACGAGTACTGTGAGAGGGCCAAGTTCGGGCTGCCAGTGAGCTGACCTTCATGCCCAGAACCCCAAGCCAATGTACAGTCATGGGGCCTCTATATTGGCGTTGGGTCAACTGTTAGGATGAATAAACTATATAACTTAGGCTATGCACTATAATGAAATTACCTATGGGAGTTGGATCAATGCATCAGGGTCTCTGTACCATTATATCCTTTAAGGTGTTGGATCAATATTTATGGATCCCTGCAGTATTATAACATCTGTAGTGGTGCTGGATCAATATATCTTTGCCTCGTAATGTAAAGGACATTTCCAGATATTAACGACTCTCTTAGGTTACACTTACAGTATACGTTTTCAACCATTATATGACTTATGTATTTTATCTCCCCTCAAAAATAAAAACCGTCCCATTCTTCAAAATTTATTACATATTAAAGCTAAATTTCACCAACCATTTCGTGAGCCACGCGTGACGTCACCAAAGGAAAAGACGTCTGGCATACTGTACCTTAACTTTTCCACTCCTTTAAGATAATTGTTATTACCCAAATTTTGAGCAAATATTTGAATAGTGATTATAAATTATTGAAACTTTATTCATTATTTGTTTTAAACACGTTACTTTTCACTTTCCAGATACAATTTAAAGTCTTTTTGTTCTTAAAAAAACCCCACACGTTTCAGTTCGTGGTCAACATATATATTTGCTTTGATTTCATAAAAAAAACGTACTAGTACACAGGCTGGCTAAAGATATGAGTTCAAAATCGTTAAATTTAAGTAATTGATATTATTTAATGACCATTTCAATTAATTACACCACATTTAGAGTATTTGTAGCGCTATTAACACTCCCTGTAGATTCTAAATCACGTTTCTATACGTTTTACCATGAATAAAGACTGGCTTTACCTTCTAGATAAAGGTCCCTTTGGCCATATATATATATATATATATAATGTGGGTGGGTGGTCAATATTACTTAAACAATGCATCTCCAAGTGAATAACATTTCCCTTTTAGAGACGCAGATTACGTCGAAAGAACTCGAGGGAGTGACATTTATGGAACGGGAATAATTCGTGAATTAATATGTTATGTATTATGATTATATATTATTATGTCATTAGCTATGGTAAAGATGTTGAGTGTATTGCTATATAGTCATTTCTTTTAATTCTCTTATGTCAAAGCCATACCTTAATGTATTTTTAAGTTCATATTCATTTTTAGGCATAGAGATCACCCGAAGATCAGACTCCAGCTTACTTCGCCTGATGATTAAACACCTTTACACTACCTGCGGAGTTAGGTTAGATAGGTTACCGCTGAGATGGTTAAACTTAAAGGTATTATAGTTCTGGGACTAATCTTCACGTGACCCCAGACAAGAACCATCAATGTCCTTAAAGAATGGGAGCTGGAATTGAAGTTCAACTGAATATCAGTATACGGCAGGTGATATCCATTTTATACTAACCAGTGGTAATCAGACTTGGGAACTGAGGAACATGATTGTGTGTTTTCTCCTTTGAGAGAGAGAGAGAGAGAGAGAGAGAGAGAGAGAGAGAGAGAGAGAGAGAGAGAGAGAGATTGACTGGTCACCACCCTCTCTGATTCTATTCTTGGCTCTGGCCGGCAACCTCGTCCTGTTGCAGAGTCCTCCTGCCTTATATAGCTCATTGTATGTTAATAAGCTAGATGAAAACTATATATATATATATATATATATATATATATATATATATATATATATATATATATATATATATATATATATATATATATATATATATATATATATATATATATATATATATATATATATATATATATATATATATATATATATATATATATATATATATATATATATATATATATATATATATATATATATATATATATATATATATATATATATATATATATATATATATATATATATATATATATATATATACATACATACATATATTTCATGTAGATCCACAATGGAAACGTGGATAATATAAATCTTGATAAAATCACACAGGGAAAAGGGAAACAATGGAGAACCTTAGCTTTCGTCTTTATTCAAGACGTCAAGATGCCTGGGGGGGTGGGGGGCGAAAATATAATAATAATAATAATAATAATAATAATAATAATAATAATAATAATAATAATAATAATAATAATAATAATAATAATAATAATAATAACAATAATAATAATAATAATAATAATAATAATAATAATAATAATAATAATAATAATAATAATATTAACACTAAAAATAAAAAAAATAAAAATGATAATAAAAATTATTACCGGTATTCATAATAAATGAAATTTATAATATAATAAAAACAAAATTGAAAATAAAATAATAATAATAATAATAATAATAATAATAATAATAATAATAATAATAATAATAATAATAAAATAATAAAGAAATACAAAAAATCAAAAGTGAGAAACAACATATGCATGTTGTGTTGTCAATAGTAAGAGAAACAATTGAGACCCTCCAATTGTGTGTAAATGAGGCAGAAAATCCTATCAGCAACCTGAGACTTGGTCACAATTTTCGTGATGCCATACGGCAGATAAGACCAGCAGGGAGCCATAATACAATGTTCTAATCACCGAGCTCTTCTCATCGTCTGCGATTTGGTATGGGTAAGACCCATTGCAATGTATTCAAATTATTGTGTGCTCAACTTCAATACACTCGCATTGACAGGCAAGTACCTAAGGGCCTACCACATGTGGTTCGTGAGGATGACTAGATGTGAGGGACTATATATCACTCACACCTTGAGGAGGGGAATAAATCACTCGGTTGTCTCGAAGAATCCAGGTGCAAACTCCTTGCATATGACTGCCTAAGTGCTACTTGACTGCCTCTTGAGATGCAGGAGTGCCAACCAACCACTGGTCATTTACTGTATTAACTAAACGACGTGAGGCAACAGGGCAAAAAGTTAGGCAATATTAAGGTAACACGTTGAGCAACAGATGGGTAAAAAATACGGCAACATGTAACATAACAAGGACCAAAAAACTTAGGGAAAAAATGGTAACAATAAATGTGACAAATGGGATAACAATAAAAGTAACAAGTAAGGCAGACATTGGAATCGTCGAGAATCTAGGTTGGTGAGCATACTTGTGTTGGTCGATAATGTTGTCAATTATGGCCTCCCTCCCTCTCTCACCGTCACATCTCCCAAGTCTTACTAAATTATTGAAAAACAAAACTCTGGTTGTACAGTATTAATAAAAAAATATACTCCATTATTTCTGTACGTTTGACCCCTCCCCCCCCCCAAAAAATGTGCATTGTATATAAATGATTGAAATAATTATATTCGCCGAGATAACCTTCCGAACTTAGAAAAATCTTCATCTTCGCAGTTATCTTGAATGTACAGTATTTTTTTTCTTTACTCCACAGGCAAGAGTTCACACATTTATATACTTGCTATACGTGTATATATGTAGGTATCGTCTTAGGCTTCTGTTTATAATTGTTTCTGTAGTTATGAGTGAGAGTTGGTATGTACGCATCTGTCCATGTTTTGAGGCCAGCCGAAGTCCCCAGCTTCACCTTTAACATTTAACTATGGCGAAACTCTTATTTTCAGAGTTAAATTTAAACTTTACTGCTGAATTACGCAGCAGTAGGATAAATACTGCATTATCTATAAATCCTTACTAAACCTAGCCATAGATATCCGCCTATGTTCTGCATAACCTAGTCTAACCTTTTTAACATGGCCTATTGTCTCAAAAATCTTATTTAACCTGGCCTACATAACGTAGCCTAATCTTTTTTATCTAGCCTATTTTATCTTACCCTAACGTTATTATTCCAAACCTAATCTAACATACTCCAACAGATATAACATGACGATACTCTCCTAGAGTATCGTCATGTTATATCAGGGCAGTGCAGTGCCGGCCAAGCTGCCTCCTTGAGTCTACTGTAGGAGGCAGCGTGGCCGGTACTGCATTGTAGCACCTTCATTTCCCCCAACCGTCAAGTCAGGTACCCATTTCCAACTAGCTGACTAGGGTTGTCTAGGGCGAGAACCAGCTACCCATAAGACAGGAGGCGGGAGATGTATCCACTTAGCCTCCGCACCCCAACAGAGTACAGTATTAGCTAATTTAGAATGTACAGAATGCACATCCCAGGTTGAGTGGCGTGACTGTTATTTTTCACTTTCAGTATCTGCACTCTCAACGTCCCCTTAGCGATAGAGCATCACCGGACACAGGATAAACGGATAATTTTTAATAGAACAATATTTCACCACTCAGTGAAACGGATAACACCTCATCACTTTGGCATCGTGCTTGTTAAGTTAAGGTAGGCTAGTCTAAGCACGGGTATGTACGATAGCGGTTAAGTGAGGTCAGGTTAAGCACATGGTGTGTGAGATAGCGGTTAGTCTAGGCAGACTAATTATTAGTAAGTTACACTAATAGTTGAGCAAGGTAGGTACAGTGCGTCTACAGTAAAGTAAAATAAATAATTTAGGCGAGACAAAAGTAGATAGGGAGGTTAGAACCAGGGTACATAGGTAAGACAAGATAAACTAAAATAGGCTAAGATAGATAGCTAGGTTAGGCTAGACTAGGTAGGAAATACTATTTAAACCCAAGGGTTGTACGAGAACTGACCTTGCCGGGAGTGTCGGGGTGTGTAATGTAGTAGTGGCGGTATACACAGGCTACGCAGGTCAGACTCCACACACAACTGATGATATCCCAGACTGGAATGCACCCCTGGAACCTTGTGCTGGGCCTCACCCCCCCTCACCCTGGGAATCGATCCCGCTCTCCCCCCCTTCCTCCCTCTCTTTTTCTGGATGCCAATCACCCCTAAATCTTTCTTAGATCAATCTTTATCCGGATTACACCACAAGTGACTATCTTTGAATAATTGATTCAGTTATTCAATTGTATGAGTATTTAGAGGTTTGTAAATGTGCGCTATCGTATACTGGGTATATACAGTATAGTGTGTGTGTAAAATAATAATAATAATAATAATAATAATAATAATAATAATAATAATAATAATAATAATAATAATAATAATAATAATAATAATAATAATAAACGGTTAATTAATAGAGTTGCAGCCGGTGGCTGAAAATATACAGACTTACATTTGATTTAGACATAATGATATAATAGGCATTGAATATATTTACAGGGCTGTACAGTACATAAATCAGGAGTTGTTTATTATTTTAACAATAGATGGGATGGTGCTGTTCTTATATCTATTGGTGCGGGCTCTTATGGGCTGAATTTTGATGTAGTGGCGGACTGCGCGAGTTGGGTGGGGGGGGGGGCTGCAGGAGGTGGACGAGGGTGGTGCAGTAGACCACTGCCAAACCTTTCCAGTACTTGGTGGTGGAGATCACTGAGGGATGGCATTTCCAGGGTGGAGAGAGCGTTGGTGTAGCCGGAGTATTCTGCGCCGAGCATGATTCTGCAGGCCCTTTTCTGTACCTTCTCTAGCTGACGTTGCTGGGTGGAGTTGAGAGAAGACGACCAGGCTGGTGACGCATACGTTTAGTTTGTGTGTGTGTGTGTGTGATACGTTTTAAGGATAATTGTGAAATAATAATAATTTCTGAATAGTTCTGATTTTTGTTTTTGGAATATCCAAGCTGATAGATACGACCATGTAAATAATCATAATACCGACTATAGATAAATAACTAATGAAACTAATTTAACGTAATTAGTGATAATTTGGCTATGTTGTCGAAGAAACGAAGTCTTAAATGAAACCAAACTGTATCATATAAGAACTAATTTCTATTAGTTTGAACAATAAAAACACAGTTAACTCTAGCATGAAGAAGGCTATACATTCATTTTCCATTGTTAATAGCTTGATCTTACCAAGAAATAGATCATTGTAGACTATTAAAGTAGCTTCAAAATGTTTCTCTCACATTCTTTGCAGATGAATTTGAAGCATTTTTTATTCTAGATGGTGCTGTGTTATTCCCAACTATATATTTTTTAATTGCATATGACTTTGCGTTCAGACCCTGTGTCAATGATGACATCATGAAAGTGTAGCACACTTTACGGTGTCAACAGCAGTATCTACCTTTTTTTAATAGCTTTATTTAAAATTATCCACTTACTAGTACAAATTCCGAATGCACACTCTTACAACACGCCTGGCATGTGACAAATCTGTAATTGAAACTTATATATTCTTTGTTCAGAGGATTCCTAGGATAGGGTTTCAACAAATATACACAGAGTGGGTAGGCCTCGTCTCCAATCAGAATACATTCTGGTGTACTCGTGAAACTTCCTTGGATCTTGGCCTACCCTCTGGTATATGGGATATCTTTTCTTGGGTACTTCTGCATGTACCACACGTATTGAAAAGCATTATTTTCTTAAAGTATCGGCAAACGTGTGCGCTGCGTCGACGGCATGTTTACGCTGGCAGGTGGGACACAGGTCACTTTGGAAAGTAGGTCACGTATGTATACGCCCTAGTTGCTCGATGCTGACGGAAACTCGCACGTGAGACATAGCCAAAGCTATTTTTTTAAATAAATACGCGAAATGCTGTCAGCATATGACGTGAAAACCAACACTATCACTTTCCCAGTAACTAGTGGAGTTCCGTAGGGCTCAGTACTTGGACCATTAGTATTTATTAAATACATAAACGACATAGGTATCGGCGTAGACAGCAACATAAGTAAATTTGCTGATGACACTAAATTAGGGCGTGTAATTAAATCTGACGAGGACTCCGCAAAACTACAGGAAGATCTAAAAAAAATTTCGAATGGTGTGAAAAATGGCAGATGAAATTCAATGTGGACAAATGTAAAGTACTCAGTATAGGAGATGTAAACAGGGAAACCAGATACCAGATGAACAACGACGTTATTAAGAAATCCGACTGCGAGAGAGATTTAGGAGTAATGATAAGTAGGAATCTTAAGCCATGTAAACAATGTGTATTTGCTCGAAACAAAGCTAATAAAGGACTTGGGTTCATACAAAGGAGTGTTAGTTACAAGACGAGCGAGGTCATCTTAAAACTATATCTTTCCCTTGTGAGACCTCACTTGGATGCGCAGTTCAATTCTGGTCACCGTATTACTGAATGGATATAGAATCCTTGGAAAGAATTCAGAGGAGAATGACAAGACTAATCCCATCCCGGGCATTAGCAACCTTGAGTACAGAGACAGGTTAAAGCATCTTAATTTGCACTCCTTCGAGAGACGTAGAGTGAGGGGCGACATGATCGAGGTGTATAAATGGAAGTCATGGCTAAATAAAGGGGACATTACAAAGGTACTCAAACTATCCAACCAGGAGCGAACTCGTAACAATGGTTTTAAATTAGACAAATTTAGATTTTGGCGCGAGATAGGTAAACATTGGTTTGGAAATACTGTATAGTGGACGACTGGAACAAGTTACCCAATATCATCATTAACTCGAATACGCTGGATAGCTTCAAACATAGGTTGGATGGATTTATGAGCAATAGGGGCTGGGTGTAAATGGGACTGCCCAGTAGGCGCCAATAGGCCCGCTGCAGGTTCCTCCATTCTAATGTTCTTTCTAATGTTCTTATGTAAGAGGGTCAGGGTCCCAAACTGATATTTTTTTGTAGGATTGGCAAAAACAGCCCAAAAACGTTTATAGGAATTTAATTCACCATTTATCAGCTTAATAGCTGTTCAGGCGGTTGGTCCTTTTTGTTTATTACTTTGTCATGAACTTCATTATCCAGTGATAATACTGGAGGAAACCTGTAATTGGTAATGTCACAGTGGATAACACCTCCCCACGTGTGTCTAGTACTGGGACTCGAACCCAGGAGTGTTTTGAGAGATGCACACTTTATTACTGATCGGTGATCACCATTTATACCACTAACACCCATTTACATTTCTAACATGGATATATAACATATGACTAGTTTAAATATATTTGAGGCTATCAGAAGTAATTTATTAAAATATAAAAGCTATTAGCTTAATATATTAACATTAACAAGTCTACTGTTTAAGCAGCGCCTGTCGTCAGTCAGTGTCAGAGTGACGTCAGACCCAAATATTTGTCAACAATATCTCTTCATAATTATGGACAATTGGCACGTTATTTGTGATTAGAAAATAGCAGGTATGTCTGTTTATTATAATATATATATATATATATATATATATATATATATATATATATATATATATATATATATATATATATTTAGTAAAGGTGTAGATAACGGCTACCACCAGAAGTTGTTTGTTGATTTTCTTTATTTTTTGTTGAAATTATTGTTTAGATGATTTTAAGTATATTAAAAGAAATTACAACATTCGATTATGATTTTAAGTATTTTTATTTTATTTTTTATTTACTCTATCCCGCTTCACCTTTCTCCCGGCGCCATTTTTGTTGTTTACCTCGCTGTTCAAGAGACGTTTCCTGTAAGTGACGGTGAACGCTTCCACGAATTCCTTCTCGCCATTGCTGATATATATCAACCTCAGTATTAAGGTAAGTTGTTTAACTCATAAATTAACACGTTAATGCATAGAACTGACCTAATCTATGCATTGTCGTTTCAATTTCTGTGTTTAATATGATATTAAGTGTGTAGAAAAAAATTGTGAAGCGGGGTAGAGTAAATAAAAAAGTACTTAAAATCATAATAGAAAGTTGTCGTTTCTTGTATTATACTTAAAATCACCAAAACAATAAGTACAGCAAAAATTAAGAAAATCTACATCAACTTCTGGTGGTAGCCGTTATCTACACCTTTACAATAAGAACATTTATTGTGGAAATTGTTAGTTTCATAGATAATTAGGTGCCTAGCCTCGCACTTGGGTACATTTTTACTTAAGTACATGAGTCTCTTGGGGTTGACCAATATGTTTTTCCAGTGTATTTTGGGTGTGTTTTAAACGAATCTGACCTTCATTTTTGGCGAAAATGAATCGGTTTTTACACCCCCCTTTCCCCAACCCCCCATCGATAATGGGGGAGAGCCTGGGAAATCGTGGTTTTGGGTTGGGGAAAACACGAAAACGAGTCGTCTAAACTAACCAAACCTAACCTAACCCTTAGCCTGGGGCTCTGCCCCTGGACCCCTGTTAGGCTTAGCTTAAACTAACCCAACCTATCCCATTTTTCCAACTAATATAAATGGGGTTCAAAAGACTCAAAATAATGAGATCTAAATGTTCATTAGTTTTAAAGGTAAATTTGCATTGTCACACCGTTCTCTGTTAGAAAGTCAAAAATATATTTTTCTAGTGTATTTGTGTGTGTTTAGACCGAATATGACCTTCATTTCTGGGGGAAATTAGCAAGGTTTTTTTTCGAATTTTTTTCGTTCGACGTTTTCCGAAAAAAAATCATGACAAAATACACCAAAAAACACTAGAAAACCAAAAACCAAACCTAACCTAACCTAACCTAACTGACTCACCATATGATGGAATCACCTATTTCTTACCTTATTGGCCTGGTTCTTGTTCACCGTTGCATTCTGAGATTCTTACACAACACCACATATGTTGGTCTTTGCAATATTTACATTCAGTCTTGCTCTTAGTACACTTCACTGAGGTTGGAAGAACACTATGCGATCGAAAAAATGCTATAGTTTCTTCGTCTTTTTCCCAAAAACTCGCGATCAGCTCCATATACCTTAAGTGACACCCATCGCAGACTGCCATGGTCGGAACTGAAGTTACTGAACTTGAATTTCGAAATATGAGAAACCCAAAGTAAAACACGGATTTGATTGGGCCAAATATACCACGATGTAAACCCCAAGTCATTTTAATTGGTTTAAAAAACAAAAACGCTTTTGATTGGCCGCGTGACTTGTACAGGAACGCATGCGCGTGATGATTTATGAAGGAGACGCAGGAGACACGCAGTGTTGGAGGAGAGGCAGACGATAATGGCGGAAGATAAATGGAAGAAAATAGAGAAAATTTTGGTTAAGCTATCTCCGTTATTATACATTTCCCCCGGTAATGTAATAGATGAAATTTATCTTATAATTAGACGTCTTATTCGAATATGATAATAGATTAGTGGTAGGAATGAATGGTGTGTAAACGCAATAATACTGTTTTAAACTTTGGGGCGCCCCTTGTCTGAAAGTACAATACAGTACCTTAGAAGTGGAAGTACCAGGGATAGGTTCAGGATCAACCTCTGATGCTTGTTCTTTCTAAATTTACAAGGCAGTTTGCAGTGCGGGCACTCAACAGACGTCGGGAGAACACCTTGAATACGTAGGAATTGGATAGCTTGATCGTTTTTCTCGTAAACTTTAAATAATCGTAGGAGCATGATTCACACCTAACCTCTACCACGGCTATTGTCACACTGGTCATTGAAATTGAAATCCTTCAAATCCGTACCTTGGCTCCTCCCTTTGAAAAAATTAAATTTTGATTGATAAAAAAAAAATCGCGTGGTGAGATCGAGTCACAACTGGAAGATTTCACGCATGTGTGATGTAAACACGCTCATAATTAGCTCACTTTCACGACGATAACATCTTGCATTTAGACGAAGACTGAAAAATACATAAAATCAATATTAGGATTGCTTCACTATTGTTCTGATAAACTCGCTGAATAACAGCTAGATAAGGGAGAGAACACTTCGCACACCATCACAGGCCTTCAAAATGGCTGCTTCAAAATGATTGGCCATCCAAGTCACATGACACGATACTTGAAGATCATTGGTTGTCATGTCCCAAAGAGGAGGAGGAGAGGACGAGAAAAGTGACTCTGGCAACATGGTGTGTACAGAAATTTATGCCTAGAAATTTGTGAGATACTCAGTTAATATTGATTTGCACCAGAAATGATATGAAGTTGTATGGACAAACATTAACCAAAGCAACTTTTACTAGAACCTAATAGAGCCCAACCAAAAAAACCTAATTTTCAAGTCGGGGGCTCTGCCCCCTGGCCCCCCCCCCTTGTAAGATGCTAACTTTTGATGTTTGGCTGTTTACTTTTACTTTTATCCTCTTCGCCACTGATCGGCTTGTTAGCCGCTTGGGCAGTTGGTCACGTCTCTGATATGCACTGTTGGCAAGTACTGGGCATGTCCTGGCTCCTGAATATATTGGAACCTGCTCCAGTGTTGGTCAAGTCTGGCTTTGAATGAGCTCACACTCGGTGCCGTCATAATGCTCTCTGGCATATTTTCCAAGAGTTCACAATTCTCACTCCGAAAAAATTTGCCCTCACATCTTTCTGGACTTTTGGCTTTCTTCACCCTTTATGTGACCCCTTGTGTGGCGGGATTCCCCCTGCTCTAGGTATGTACAGTCGGCCAAAGATCCAGCGACCCTACCCTGGGTCTCGAACTGGCAATTTTACCTGGCAATACTTGGTAAAGTAAGGCTGTATGTAAAGGTAATTGTGATTAGTGGATCTATTTGTGGCTGAATTACTGTCAGGATAAATATTAAACAACCCAAAGGTAGAATTTTTATAATAATAAACTATTCATTGTTATTTAAGATCATGAGAAATTTCCAAGTGTAGATACAGTATTAGGCACCTAAGGCACACACTACTTTGTCTTCTCAGCCATAATGCTGCAATTTTACGTTAAAGTTAGGTTAGGTTAAGGCTGGGTTGGGTTAAAAAAAAACATTTGCACAAACTACAACAGTGTCCTCTTTAAAACACAGTGAAAATGCGGCATTTTTATAATCGTTTACTATTCTAATTTGCCGCCAGGTAAGTCATCAGTAATTACTATTTTTAATTCTATAGTTTTCTTGGTTATATCTTTTATTTTCTTTGATATTACTGTATTGCATTAGTGGGCCCAACTCAGTTTCTTAATTAGAAACACGTTTTTCACATATTTCGGACTATTCTAAGACACTTTTCTTCTGTGGCATTTCCGTCGGAAAGGAACGGTTCCTGAAATATTGCGCGATTTTGGTTGGAATGGGGACTGTCATTTATCTTTTTAAGAATATGTACAAAAGATTCATTATTGTTTATTACTGAATATGTATTTGATTGAATTAATCTTTATAACACTACTATCACTTGCTCTCTTGCTCATGTTGAATAGGGATGCAAAAATGCTGTAAAAAACCTGAGAAAGTTTTTCTCCTTTTCCTGTTCAGATGCGTGAAAACAAAGGGCCCGCCAGCTGCAATTATTTATACTAGTGATGCTGGCGTCACCTATCATGTGGAAGTCTTTGTAACATGGAATGCACAAGGCAACTCCACACTCCTTGCACCGAGTCACCAAACCTTTGCACTCTTGCGCCATAGTTCACAGTGGCTGGCAGGGTGGGAAGGGTCTGTAGGCCTAACACTGCCCTCACTGCCTCAGCAAATTTGACATCATCTGGGCTCTGTTTCCTCCCTATCATTGTCTTCATCACCCAATGCCATTCAAATCAAGCAAAGCAACTCTTGATAAACAACACTATTGTCAAGCAAATTCCTTCGCTTGCACTTGAGTGTGTTGAAGTGAGGTGGGTCATAAAAGAGGTCTAAGGACGTGCATCCCTAACGATATTTGGCGGATAACTGACCATAAGGCACGAGTGTTGAGACAAATGTACACAAGTTGAGTTGCCAATTACACAAATATCCCCTACAAAGTTTTGTCTCACCTGGACATTTAAAACATGCCACAGAAATTAAGAACATTCAGGAATATCACTTGGGGTCACCTAGGCAAACATTCAGTAACATCACCCAGGGTTTAAGGGTTAATTAAAGACATGAATAATGAAAATGTCATTTTACCCTTTAAACATGTTAGTTTTGACTTTACAGAAAGAAAGCTGTATTGTTAAGAAAATGATACCTGACATATCTTGCATTTCTGCATGTTAGGCCAAAACTTACATCTTCGGCAATACATGTACTGTACTGTATTGCATTAATTGGCTACCAAAATTTTGACCTCAAGTGACAAGGGCGTGTAAATGTCAGTGGAAGAACTTGAGTCATATTCAGTCTCTTGTAATTTACTGACTCATGAATGAAAATAACTTCTGTTCATTAACTAGGGTTCCTTTCTGTGTTAGAAGTATTTTATTCTTCCTGTGATGATCACTGGTTCATGGAGTCATGAAGACAAAATATCCTACAGCGTACTGAGGGTAATACGTATTGTTTACTTACTGTAGGAATTTTGCTTGTAATTTGTAATTTATTTTTTGTACTTTCAGGCTAAGGATGAGGATGATTACATGGTAAAAGAAAAGAAAAGAAAAAAAAGGTATGTCCAGGTGTAATTTGTCTTGCCTTGTAGTGTGTATACTTGTATATAATGAAATTGTTGTATTTGTTTAGTTTACTGATTCATTGATGCGAACTAGGGTGAACTGAATTGCATAACATACACAATATTTTTAGTTATATGTTGGCGTTTGTTTACCTCACTGTATTTTACAGATTAATGATGGCTGGCCCTCAGAAAAGTTCTATACTGGGGAATATATATTCTGTATACTGTATATGAATCGCAAATTCATAATTCTGACCACATCGTTGCGGGATATGTTCGATAAGAGTTAATTGATTTCAAGGCAAGTACTATCTAAGGTTAATCAAGGAAATAATGAAAAAAATTAATAATGATGAAAGACTGATCGGGATACCCTGTATATGAAAAAAGTGATTGTTTATGTTTTGGGAATTTGAAGAATAAACAAATATGAATACTATATACTATGTTTTAGCCAGTGTTATTGAAAATTGTCTCTTTCAGATAAACTGGTGTGGTTAACAGTGGTGCTTTGGATGTGTATGTCAGGTATGTACTAAATCACATTAGAGTATTACAGTATTGTATTTGCATATTTGAGGAGGGGTTCTGTATATAGCAAGTTCAGTATAGAGGGGTAATACTGTATACATACACATTATCCATCACAGAGTACATACATCCCCTCCATATACACTACAACATAATACTTTATATGTGTTAGGGATTGCTGCTTTGTTATGGTGATCAATGGTTCACCGAGTCATGAAGACAAAATATTCTACAGCGCACTGTGGCTGTCATTGACGAGTTTATAATATTGTTTGAAATTTAGCGTTTAATGGTGTTATTGTATTTGCAGATGAGGATGCAGAAAGTTCAAGTAAAAAGAGGTATGTCCAGATGTAATTTGTCTTGCCTTGTATCTTTAGTACTGTATGTTGATGATATAGTGCATGTTATTATTATTTCTTTTTTTCTGTAATCTGAAGTATATTTTACAGACATACTATGAAGTGGGTTCTAGGAAAATTACTTTTTAGATAACTTTAGGTAGCTAAATGAATAATGATGAAAAAATTATTGGGACAAATGAAAAGTGATTACAGTATTTCTTTTGGGAATCTCTGAAGTATGAATGGATACGAATTCTGTACTCTGTTGTTTAAGGGAATGTTATTGAGAATATTCCTCTTTCAGATCAGCTGGTATGGTTAACAGTGGATCTCTGGATGTCTTTGCCAGGTATGTTTGTGCTGAAATAGTTTCATTGGTTATTCATTAAATAGAATTAAAACTTGCTAGTCTTTTTAATGGTCTCCTCCAACTCTTGGTATATAGAATTAAAACTTGCTAGTCTTTTTAATGGTCTCCTCCAACTCTTGGTATACTGCCCATTCTGGGGTCACTAATCCTAAGGGGATAACTTACATCTACTCTTAACTTTAAGGTCGCTGCCACCAGACCTCCTGGACAGTATGTAGCTTGAGTAGGTAGCTGGCAGAGCAAGCCAGGCACTGGGTGTGTTTTTGATTGATCAAATCGAGAGTGGAAAGAAGGATGAAACATCATTCATGACTTAACTAATTTATTTCCTAATAAAAAAAATATTGCATTCAGTCACAATACAAAAATAGCTGACCTTTATCAAAATAAATACTATTAGGGTCATTACACTTCACCCCAATACACGACCTTCTCCAAATGAACTAATTAAAATCTTCATTCTTCATAACAAATCTCCTTACCTTGGTCATTATTTCTTACCATATCACCCAAAAACATCAGATAGCACCAACATTTACATAGCACCATACTCTGTATATCAGGTACACTCCACACCTACAAGTATGGAACCCCTTGGTATTATCCAGGTGCACATGATAAGTACCCCGCTCACACTCTACTCTTGCTAGGAAGATGGGATACTTCCCAGGTAATCATACCAGGACTATTCCAGCGTCCGGTATCATGGGGTAAGCTTAAGTGGCAACCGAGAAGCATCTCATATAAGACAATGCTTGTCTTCTGTCCTGGATGTTGATATGTGGGATGTGGGGAGGTTGCGTGGTGGCCAGCAGCGTTCCCCACAGTAACACGTGGGTGCCTCAAGTTAGGTCGGTGATGGCTGGGCCGAGCATTCCTCCAACTTCACTGGGGACTCTACCTACGCTCTCGGCGTACACCTGCTGGAGACAGCGCCAGGACTGATACTATGGCGTGGCGTCTCACCCTCCCTAGGCCTATAGGTGCTCTGCTCCATTGATGATGGAGCAGAGGGGTTTAGCTAGCTCTGGGGAGAACTCCTTGAAGAGTTTAATTTGTAAGTCAATGGGGGTGGTGGAGTGTTTTAACGTTAGTTTGTCCAGACATTTTGCTGCTTCAAATTCTTCTACTAAGTCAGTGCGAAAGGGGGCTGGCAGTAAAGCAGGGAGATTGGTTGTGTCAAGCTGAGGGAGCATCTGGCATATAGTAGCGAAATGGTTATTTGATGGCCAAGGAAGGGGAGGGGTGTGTCTTATTAAACTGTTTAGTCCAGAGTTCTTTAAGCTTACCATACCACGGACTGATTTGGTCTGCTTCAGGTGTTGCAATTTAGTTGGGTAGTGAGACTTCTTTGCAGTGCGTATTTCGCGGATGACTCGATTTGCGAAGGGACCTGTAGCGGTTGTGGTCATTCAGATAAAAGGCTCTGTCTCTCTGTTGCACAAGTCTTTTGATCCGAGGTGTGATACAGAGCAAGTCAGCTGGGCGAGATCTGACAGACTTCTCGGGGAAGAAGTGGTGGTGATGGTATAATTTATCCATTAGGTGTCCATGTCATCCACACTAAGTACTTCAGTCCAGGGATGGTGAACTAGACTGCCCAAAGAGACACACTGCAGAGTCAGTAATCGGCTTGTAGGTCTTGATGTCGGGTCTCTACTCGAGTGGAAGTGGAAGCTGGGGACCAGAGCACTGATAGGTGTATGCTACACCCGGTAGGAGGCATTGGTTGAGGTGGTTGGTACTGGTCCGCTAAGTCGGTGAAGATAGGTCAAGGGTATTTTGACCGTGTGTGGGGAAGTTCACAACTTGTGATAGTGACAGCTGGTCCTGGATATCAGTGGTGTCAATATTATAATCCCCGCATAATACTAACTTGGCACATAGGTACCTAACTCGGGGTGGTTGATATATCACTAAGATTTGTGTTTATCAGATAATATTACTGAGGATTTATTATTAAACTAACTTCACTTTCATAGTTTTATTATAAAAAGTTTACAAGTAAAACAGGATAATGGTTTCATCTGCAACTATAATAAGTATCATGTTTTCCTCTTTATATGCAATGCAACTTTCCCTATCTTAAAAAAAAAAATAAAAAAATATACTACAGTACTTATAAGATCAGATTCCTCATTAATATTATATCTGAAACTGATCAGTCATAAAGACAATCCAAAGCAGTGACACAGCCAAATGTTACACATATACCACTAGTACTTTCAGCAAACAAATTCTTAGTGAGCAAAACAAAAACCCAGTTTATTAGTAACACAAAATATTGCATGTTCCTGCAGGGCCACATATCAAAAAAAGTTGGAGAGGAAAGCTAAAAAAAAATATATATATATATATATATATATATATATATAACATATATATATATATATATATATATATACATACATATATATATACATATATATATATACATATATATATATATATATATATACATATATATATATATGTATAATATATATATAATATATATATATATAATATATATAATAATACATATATATATAATAATAATAATAATAAATAATAATAATATGCGTAGATAATAATATATATATATGTATAATAATAATAATATCATGTAATAATATATATATCATTATTATGTATAATATAATAATATATTAATAATAATAATAATATAATAATACATCATCTATTATATAATAATACGCTCTATACAATAATATTAATGTATATACAATATTAATATTATAATAATAATAATAATAATAATACGTAATATTATTAATAATAATAATAATAATATATGCATTTAATAATAATAATATTATGTATGTATATATAATAATAATATCATGTATAATATATATATAATATATATATATATATTATATATATAATATGTATATATTAATACATATATATATATATTAATAATAATATATATATATGCATACATATAATAATATATATATAATAATAATAATAATAATAATAATAATAATAATAATATATATCTTCCAAATATATATTTATATATTATATATATATAATATATATAATATATATATATATGCATATTATATATATATACATCATACTACATATATATATATATATATATATATATACATACATATATATAATATATACATATATATATATATATATATATATATACATATATATATATATATATACATATATATATATAATATATATATATATATATACATACATATATATATATATATATACATATATATATACATACATATATATATATATATATAATATATATACATATATATATATATATATATATATATATATATATACATATACATAATATATATATATATATATATAATATATATATATATATATATATATATATATGTAATATATATTATATAAATGATATATATGTAATATATAATAATTAATATGTATATTATATAATAATATGTAATATGTATTAAATTATTAATGAATATGTATGTAATATAATAGTAATATGTAATAATAATAATAATAATATAATATGTAATATAATATGTAATATGTAATAAAAAATAATAATAATATTAATAATAATAATATATAATAATATTATTAATATGTAATATATATAATAATAATATATGTATATAATAATAATAATACATTACATAATATATAATATATTAATAATATAATAATATATATATATATATATATATAAATACACACAAACGTATATATATGTATGTATATATATATATATATTAATAATATATACATAAATATATATATATATATATATATATAAATAATATATATATATATATATATATATATATATATATATATATATATATATATATATATATATATATATGGGTTATCAGAAATGAGTAAATTTTCATATGCCCATCAATGTTATGCATGTAATGTATGTTAACAAATCTTACATACTCTTGTATTAAAAGTTACTGAAGTCCACATTTAAACTGTCTTAAGCTTGGATTCCATTTACGCGGTAGTGGAAGCGTTAGCGCCAAAAATACATCATATTGAAATGTACCCAGTGGTTTCCATTGACACGCTTGCATTAGCGTAATGCAATGGCAGTATATTTCAATCGGTCCTTGCAACGATTGAAAATGTAACTGCACGGAAACAGGAGAGACTACCACACTGTGACGTCACTATCCCTGTGTTTGCTCACCTCACTCAGCAAAATGCCTCGAGGAAAAAAAGTTTTGTCAAGGATATTCAATCTCCCTGTATCAGGTTCTCCACACACAAATTCGACAATTTAAACTGTGATATGAGCATAAAGGCAGCAGTGAAATTAAGAGATAATAGCGAGGACTAATAGGTCACACTTTATAGCCTAACAAGTGATAGATGTAGTATTATACACTTTCAGACCTCCCCCTTCACAAGGTTCTCCCATACATCAGACAATGTATTTAGTAATCCAATAATAACCAAACATTATTATTTCTTATCACCAGAGTATTGTAGGCTCCATATATGGTCCGTTTCAGCAGCAATCTGTGATCCCACCATCTACGTTTCCTTTTGATTTACGCATGATATACCGTAATACAAACCCAGGATGTTTAATAGCAAATCGTCTTGTTCATATAATGCTTGTAACTTCAATGAACTAGGAGCCATCTTCCCTGTCTTGTTTCCGCTAACAGAAAGACAACTGCATGCAAATGGAAACAGGTGTCCACATTTCAGGGTAATTTCATGCAAACGCATATATGGAATCATAGCTGTACAGTAAATGTTTATCCACTCTTGCTATAAATAATTTATTCATACACAATACATGCCCACACACACACATCAAAGACCATTTTAATCAAAATGCAGTATATGCATGAGCATGCACTCGCTCATTCCTACACAAACAAAAATGACAGACACAATATACACAGGACGTCAGTGGTCACATATAAGAATCACTGTTGCATTTCATCACAAAGCATATTTATATAACAACTTCAAAAAATGAGTGTAACCACCATCATATTCTCTTTAGTAGTGTAGGTAATAAAGGGTGAGTATAGTAATAAGCTATGGGGGAAAAAATTCTACCTTATTGTATTTTGGATATTCTCTTTTCATACTATAAAAAAATTCATGGCTGAGGTAAATTTCTGGCTGTCTGATCACCCTTCAGCAATCAACAAAGTATGAAGTTGCAGATCAAGAGCTACCATATTTCAGCTATGAGGACTAAGAATATACTTCAAATGACTGGCTGAGAGCAATGTTAAAAACACTGAGATCTTGCTTGGTTTATGTGTTGCAGCAAAAGATGGCACTGACAAATGCCTTGCACGTGCATTGCAATGATTCGTAACTTGACATACCCCAAGCCTGGTAAGCATCAACAGAAAATAAGTATAATATATAGTTCAGATCATAGACAACATATGCTAGTTGATCTTCTTCCCTTGATGATATTAGCTAGCTACCATGTATTTCTAATTACTATTAACAGTAATACCTCTGTTAGGCAGAACTCTTCAAAACCCAGAATTGAAATTTGCCTGAAAATTTTACAGAAAAAATTCTCTAAATTCCGGGTCTATGAACGAGTTTCTTAAGTTGAAAATCAGGCGCATTTTCTTTCTGGAAACTCCTTTTTTTCTGGGTCTGGGAGCAAATTCTGAGGCTGAAAATCAGGTGCATTTTCTGAAATTTCTGGAAACTGATTTTCTTCCCAGTTCTGGGAGCAAATTCAGATGATGAAATACAGTAATGCACAATTTCCGGAAAATTCTGAGAAACTTTCCCAGTACCCAGAAAAACTTTGGGGATGTGGGATTTTTCCTGGTTTGAGTGCTGCCATGTCTGGTCAGTTATTTGGTATAGATATACAGTAGTGCACTAAGGTGGTAAAATTTGTTATTCGTGGTTTTGCCAATTCGCGCCATTTCTTGGTACCTATCCCTCACTAATGGCAAGGGTCTACTGTATTTACATTGCCAGCTTCACAAGTACAGTACTATAATATTATTATTAATGCATTATTATTATGTACTTATACTTCAAGAAAAGATCTGTTGGATTCTGAATACTGTTCTGTGAACAGGTTAGTTTTGTGGTTGCTAAATATCCTGTGCATATATGACCATCTTGTGAGGTATGAAGGCAGCATAAAGGGAGTTTTTTTTTCTTGTGGGAAGTTGGAACTTCGAAGGGTGCTAATATTAACAGAAACCAGATTAACAAGGCAAGTTATTCTGTAAATTTGGGAAATCTTGGAAAGGCAAATTATGTTAAAAAATACGTACACCCAATTTCAGTCTGAAGTAATGACACTCGTATTGGTAGTGTGGTAGATATAATCAAGATTCTCTACAACCAATTTTAATGTTGAGGTTTGTTAAATAAAAGGCACCTGACCACAAAATTCAAAGGCATACTAATATTTATATACTGGTAATGCAATTTATATGCGCCATGTCTGTTCAAAAAGTATTATTTCTGAAGCCTCTGTACTATGGCTGGAAAGCATAATGTATACATCATGCTCCAGAACCCAGGCTGCAATACAAGGCCAAGTTACTCTTATCTTATCAACCCTGCATCTATGCTTTTACGATATTTTACATAATTTTCTTTCCTGTAAAGATATGTCACAAGTAGCACTAATTTTGGTAATGCCTCAGATTATGTGACCACTGGAATGAATCTGTCAGCAATTAGGCACACACATGCACACTCGTTAACATTAACTTACACATACACACTATAATAATAGTAGTAGTAATTAAAATAATAATTTATGAGTCTTGGAGTTTGCTTCAAGCATGATTGCACAGTAAAAATGTTGTGTACGACATGTGAATATCCCTGGTGTTGCTGGTACATGAGAGATAAAACATGGTTTCTGTGCTGAAAATGGCTAACATATATTATAACTTACCCTGTATTAAATTAACATGATTGATGTTGGCCAAAGCTTTTTCAGTTTATAAAGGCCACAAGAAAATTTATATATTGCATTACAAATAATCAGTAGTTGTTGCTACTTACTAATTGCTCGGTTTTAATTTAAATTATTCTGTTGGAAGCCAAAATATGTTTATAGCATATATTTAAGACACTCGGGAAACCCTTCATGGGTGTGCTTAACCTCAATATGATCAATTGCGTGCTTAATGTGGCATATTAAATGCTGCAAACTGTCTTCAATTAAGCTGTTTCAAACTGACTAGCTGACTGTGAACTACAGCAATAAATATCCTAAGTACCTCCTGGGAAACATCTGAGTCACTTAAGTTTTACATTGTTTCAATGTGCATGTCATTTCATATACTGTATCTTCCAAGAGCTTTAAAATTTTACCACTACATTGGCTGTTACCTCCAGGTGATTTACAGTGGTGAAAAATTTGCTTGTAGCAAGTACTTGATGGTATTGCATTTGTCATTCCTTCATAAAGCCAAGCTTGAGATGAATCCAAATTACTGTATTCAGAAATATAAATAGGGAGGGGCACCATTTTTTTTTTCTTTGGAACTTGAGTCCATAGAAACCTGTTTAATACATACTGTACTTGATATTGTTCATTTTGTCAAATATGATTCCACTCATCAGCAACACTTTATAGATATTCCTAGATAAAAAAGATGTTAGATTAAACATACCTTAAATATTTTACTGTCAGTCCCATAATACAACTGCAGCAAATACTGGCATAAACTTTTCTATTATACCAAAAGATCAAACTCCAATTGCAGGATATACAGTACAGTATACTAAAGTGCTGCAACTAACAAGAATCATTTTTAATCAAGGATCTATTAACACTGGTTATGGGAGATACTTAGAGAACACATGGATCAGTGTACTCTTAATTAAAACAAACATTTACTCATAAGCTGAAAGTTTAATACTAGTTAACTTTGCTGTTGTTCCAAGATTCCTGTTGTCACTGATGAAAATCTAATGATTCATCTCTATCTTCTGAGGAGTTTGTAGTATTGAAAGTATAATTTATAATATCTTAACTTTTAAGTGTTCAGTGGATTCTAGTGAGCTCCTCCACAGTTTTAATAAGATCATCTGGAGTAGCTTCAGTCTTCATACCTGAACCATCATTGATCTGTAGAATGACAATATCATAAAAAATACAAAACAAAGCATTTCTAGGAAGGCAGTATGAATACTTATTAAACTTAAACATCCTTAATTGACAGTATTAAAAAGTGCTAAGTGCAGGTTATAATATTCAATAGTTTGTCATAACCAACTTATGTAATTTAAAAAAAATGCAGTAAAACATCACATATATGCAGTAATTATCTTTGTTGAAATTTTTTTTAGATTGTTCATGAATATGCACTTTGATTTTTTGGAAGGTATGTGAGAGTGAGATTCTGTACCTAATGACTTAACAGCATTCACATACTGTATATTCTTTCAAAAGTATGCACTGACTCAATTAATTGAAATAGAGACCGGGCCGACCCCCAAACTCCACTTTTTCAGACACAATACCTACGTTGTAGTAAAAATAACTTCTTAATTTTATGATGGCATGCACACACAATTAATAATTAAGAGAAATATCAATAATATTAGTTTTTTTTAACACTTACATTAGTAGAAAAGATGGCTGGGCACACGGGGATGGGGGGTTGGTTCCGAGGCAGAGGGCAGATTATTGGCCCTCACTTACATCAATTGTATCACTATCCACCACAGAGGCTTGCAAGGCCTCTTTGTCAAACCCCTCAAAGTCCATACAAGTCCATATCCTCACTATCATTATCACTATCACTGACTTGGGCCGGCTGTGGCGGATGAAGAACTAGGTAATGTTTTGATGACTGGGCGACCTTGTGCGCACCCTGCTCGCACCGCTCTCCGCGTAAAAGGGTACACACACCGCGGAAAGTGAGCATTCCGTGTTCGGCAGGGTACCGTAAACGTGGAAACGCGTAAAGTGGGACCGCGTAAAGCGAGGGTTGACTGTATATATATATATACATATATATCTTACAATTTATTGGACCTTATATTTTAAATATTTCATAACTACATGAACAACCTTGAAAACCTGCTTCCATTGGGACTGAGAGCCTATCAAATTTTATTCTTATTTTTTTGCCCCCTAGGCCCCGGTGTGGGGGTGATGACCTGTGACCGGGTGGGCTGTTCCCCATAAAAAAAATAAAAATAATAATTTTGAAATATTTGTTTAACAAAGCTGCACATAATGATACAAACAGGTAAAGAAAATTACATCATGGTGTACAGTACATATGCTATCTGTTATAAATGTTAAAGGTTTGCCTCCACTTACCATCAGTCCCTGGGCCACTTCCTTCATCTTTTCTGGGTTAAGGTCTAAGAAACTCTCAATCAGGTCCCCATCAATGAACCCTTCACACCGGTCAGTTTTACGCTCAGTGCTGTGAAAAACAAATCTTTCAGTAGGTACCGTAGAAAATTTTATTTGTATCCTATTCACATTATACTGTACTGTACTGTGTTTTCCACAACATTTATTTAGGCTTAACCAAATGTTAAAAACAAAAACAGAAAAGCTAACATGCTTTAAGCCTTTTCATGTAGTTTATAACGTGGAAAACCTCTTAGGGAGTTAAGTTTCTTTAGTCCCAGATCCTGATATGAGGAGTAGCTAGCAGAGTATAAACCAGGCCATTGTTACCCACAACCATTTTTGGTCATGAACAGCACAACACCTATTTACCACTAATTGAACCAGCGCTAAAAGGAGTCATTATACCATTATATATACGAAGATATGTTCCTACACTCATTACACTTACCTTACCTAAGAACAGCATATCTGGGTACAAGTAAACACATTATTATACATGTACACCTTTTAAAATATCCCATTCAACCAGGCACCAGCCGGTAAAGTAACACTGTCCTAGACTCCCAGGTAGGTGTTGATGGTAGGGTGGAGGCTACTTGGTAAGAGGTAGAGGAAAGGTTTTGTTACTGAATTCGGTAGCGTGACTGTTTCTCCATTGATAGAGGTAGAAGGGGAAACCTATAATGAGTGAGTTTGTGATAAAGAGTTGAGAGAGATTATGTGCTGGTTGCTCATGGTAATTGCTGCACTGCCAGGTCCGAGTGACCAGCTGATGTCTACAACCTCAATTTATACTTAACTGTATTTTTTTCTTTCAGCATTACTAAATAAATTTTCAGTACATCTACATCATAATAATACTTACTATAAAATGATTAAACAATGACAAATATGTGGCAGTCAGACAGCCTGGCACCAGCCATGCCACCACCTACCTTCATGGCTCACATGCATATACAGTACTGTACTGTACACACATATACTTGTACACAAACTTAGGCCTTCCATCTTCACTATATTTTTTTTTCTTACACCTGCCATAATTAAATGTATCTATAACATTATGGATTCATGTTATTATAAAAATGATAGCATGCTGTAAGAAAGAAATGCATCTGTCACTGGCCACCAGACAGATCACTGCTGACACAGCCCAGCAGACAATGTGTCTCCTTGTGCAGCCATCTCTTGAGATAGGGAAAACTACCGGTACAGTTTCATCAGCTGATTGATTGTCTTCATTAACATTTATTTATTAAAACTTTAAAAACTTATTTACTGAAACATACAGTAATAAAAATATATAAGGCTTTTTAAGAAGTGAAAAATTAGACATATTTCATGTTATTACACCAAAGGTGATGAAGATATGCTCTAATACCACAGGTATATCAGAAAAACAACCAGTGAGGAATCAAATAAAGTTATCAATTTTCAAGACACCACTTTTTCTCACTTCAACACTAATTCTAACATTTCTGAATACTTTAACAAATTATATACTCACTATGCATAAGGTATGCAAAGAAGAGCTGTGCAATGCACATTTTTTTCCATCTTTATATTTCTAGAATATTCTCTCAAGATCGAGATGCTGCCCTTAGACCAACCTTATGAGTACAGTACTTGGAATCACGGATAACAAGGACTTGGTATAGATAATGGCAAATAGATCCCTATCAACCCCTAGCTAAATCCAGAGACTTGACGTGACAAGTAATCATAACTCGGTACTGTATAAAGTACAGTATATCATAGAAAATAAAAATCTCATCTCTGTGTGGTTATTGGACCGAAATTGTAACTTTAGGGTTGTGAATCTATGGTGTTACCAACTGATCTAACTAAATGTATATTCTTTTCATTCAAAACTTTTTCCCCAACACTGCAATAGGAAAAGGTCTGAATGTTGGTGTTATTAGATTTTAATTTACAAAGAAGGTTTATGAGCAGATAAGAGAACTGAACAGTGCATCCTGATCCAAAATCGTGACTTACCTAAAACTTCTGTAGAAATCATGATCAATCTTTCCAACCGATTTGATAATACGAGCAAGTCGCTTCTGCATTTCCAAAAGCTGATTGTACAGTTCTAAATGCAGACTTGTTACCAGTCCTGCAAAAATTAAAAATAATTTTACTTCATTAGTTCACAGTTACAAGATTTTTAAGTTTGTAAATTAAACCCACATTAAAAGATGGGAACAAATATTTCAATAATACAATTTTGATGTTCATTCACATCATCTACAGCTGTAAGATAAAATGAGATGGCAAAGTATAACCTGAGATTATCTTGAATGACAATAATTTTGAGTTTTCTTCTAAACCTTGTATAATTGGATCTGGGTTGCAGGCACCTCGCTAACATTGAAATTTTGATATTTCTGAACCCTTAAATCCTGGGTGATGTTCCTGAACATTCACCTAGGTGACCCTGGGAGACGTTACTGAATGTTATTAATTTTTGTGGCATATTTTGAATGTTCTGGTTGGAGGAAATACTTTTTATGGGATATCTGTCTAATTGGCAACTACAATCGCATGTAATCTTTGTCTTGAGACTAGTGTCCCATGGTCAGTTACCTGCCAGTTATCGTGAGGGATGCTGGCCTTAGACATCTTGTGACCCACTTCACTCCTAAGCTCAAGCGAAGGTGTTCGCTTGACATTATGTACATTCAGGAGATTGGACAGTACCGTATACTCCTACTCTAGGTGTCGCTTACTCTCAGGGAAAACTCCCCAGTGTAGGGTGGAAAAATCCATTGTGACACAGATCCATTCACGAGGCACCTCACACACCCATATCATCTACATTTTGTTTTTTAAATACAGTATGCAACTCAAATTCGCAGATTTTTACTTCATGGATCTCGGTTATTCACGTATGACACCCCGGATGTACCCAAGAATGTCTGTGGGTAGTTTTAAAGTTGCCGGCATTTTTGTGGCTACGACAGGGAGCCATTCATTCTAGAGACAGTAATTTCCTTTACCTGTATTGAATATATGTGTGTGTGTGTACACACACACACATAAATAAGAATTGGAAAATCCTCTCACAAATAATCAGAAACAAATTTATTAAAAATGTAACAGACTACCCTCAAGTCATGCTTTATTACTTTACTAAGAGAGCAGACTTGAGGGTAGACTGTCACATTGTCAATAAATTTGTTTCTGATTATTTGTGAGAGGATTTCCCAATTATTACACACACACACAGACACACAATACTACAGGTAAAAGAAATAATTATCCTAAGGGCAAACATATTGTACTCCCCCCCCACGCACACGCACGCACGCACGCACGCACGCACACACACACACAACTGCCACTGCCGTTGGTAGCCGATCGCGTGACAAGTTTCTCTGACAAGCCTAGCCGTCTGGACTGTGCAGCGGGTCGGCCAACAGTGACGCTTACTTCCGGTGGACTCGTATATAAGCTCACAAGCCCCTCGTCCACGCCTTCGCTTCAGCCTCCCAGACACATACACTTCGCGTTCTTTGCCACTTGGCTTACATCTCAGAGTTCACCAGCCACAACGAGATCGCCGACACCTTCTCTCGTTGTATATCCAGCATTCTTCCCTCACCTCCACCCATGGATTACAGACAGCTCGCCGTAGCTCAAGAGAATGACAAAGACCTTACAGCATATAAGACATCTCCCTCAGGTCTCGCCCTCCAAAAACTTCCCGTTCCCGGCACAAACATCAAGTTGTGGTGCGACATGTCCGGTGGGCAGCCCAGCTCTTTTGTGCCTCACATCCACCGCCGCGCTATCTTCGACCGCATCCATGGTCTCAGCCACCCAGGTGTAGGGGCCTCCCAGCGCCTTCTCACGCAACGTGTCACCTGGCCCAGTATCAAGGCTGATACTTGGAAATGGGCTGCCCAGTGCCTGGCCTGCCAGTCCTCTAAGATACATCGACACACGTGCTCCCTTAGAAACCTTCCAGGTAGTGCAACTCAACATTGTGGGACCTCTTCCTCCATCCTGCGGCAACACCTACATCTTCACCTGCATTGACTGTTTCACCAGGTGGACAGAAGCCATTCCCATGTCTAATGCTACAGCAGTCAGCCATCCGCGCCTTCCTGTCTGGTTGGGTCTCCCGTTTCGGTCCTCCCACAACTGTCATCACTGACCGAGGAGTCCAGTGTGAGTCTCACCTCTGGCATAGTCTCCTGCAGTTCCTCGGCACTTCCAGACACCGCACTACTTCTTACCACCCTCAATCCAACGGCATGGTATAGTGGTTTCATCGTCAGCTGAAGGACGCCATCAAGGCACAGCACGGCCCCTACAGCTGGACGGATGTTCTACCCATAATGCTCCTTGGCATCCGCGTATCACACAAAGAAGACATGGACTGCAGCCCAGCGGATCTCGCCCTAGGCGAACCCCTTCGCCTACCCGAGGACTTCTCACCTACTCCTGACCTCGACCACTTCACTCCTGCTGCCCGTCACTACTTGCTGCAAACACTACAACAAGCAGTTTCTGCATTCAAAGCTCCTGCCCCATGCCAGCCTTCCCATCTCCCTGAACACATCCCTCCTCCACTACTCAACGCCGAGTATGTCTTTGTCAGGTGCGATGCTCACCGCAACCCACTTCAACGCCCCTACATTGGTGACCCCCGGAGTAACGCACTCACACAGGATGGATGACAAGCGGATCACTCTTCCAGTCTTCAGTCACAACATCGAAGACTGGCTAATCCACACAGAAACAAATACATATTCAGTAATAAACAATAATGAATCTTTTGTACATATTCTTAAAATAAATGACTACCGTATGTTTCCTTGAGTGCGCATGTATACATTGGCGTTTCACTATCAGTCTCACTTTTTCTTTAATATCAGTGGTTACTTCTACTGTACATTAAATAACATTAATTAAAACATACATATTTTTTACATTAATTTTACTACAACAACCAGGGTCTTACTTTCTTCAGTTTCAGATGGATAACTGAAATTATGGGTGTAAACACCGACAACAATGCTGTCTCTTATCCTCTTGTGTGTTTTAATATTCTATGTATTATTAATGAATTGTATTGTTCATTTCGATATAAAGATTAATTCAATCAAATACATATTCAGTAAAAACAATAATGAATCTTTTGTACACATTCTTAAAGATAAATGACGCAGTATCCTTAAATGCGCACGTATATGGTGGCGTTCCCAATCCATCTCTTTTTTTTGCCATTAGTGGTTAGCCAGGAATGTTTCCAGATGCTGGCAAAAGTTTTTCCCGAGTCTAAACAACACATCTAACATGGACGGACATAGAGCTGTACTGTATTGTATATTTACGCAAACACCACTGTACTCGTACACATAAAAGATATTGTAAATAAACAAAATATTGTATACCTGTACCACTACTGTACTGCATATACTACTGTACTCACCAGCAGATTGTCATTTATGAGATTGTGATGAAGGATGGCCAATCTTTATCCTGTATCATCTACAGCACTGTAGCAGGTGTTAATAACTGTCACTCTCCTTGCCCTCCATGAAGGAGATTGTACATGCATTTTATATGAATACATACACCTCTACACACTAGCCTACAGTTAGGGCAAACACTGTCCACTCTGCTGAATGTACAATACAGTAAATGTAACTGTAATCATTTTTTACATCTTAACAATGCTTTAACACTGTATTCTTGGCTGACTGTGTACTGTCACAGTAATGTACAGTACTGCACAATACAACTTGTACACAAAAGCAGTAGCAAGCAAGGGATCATCCTTGTACAATGGCAGCAGAATATGAAGTAAGTGCGTGAGCCTATGGCCTAAGTTACCCAAGCAGCTAACCCACCCGGGACCAGGGTAGCCAGATGGCCGTTTCCACGGCCAAATTTCTCTAATTAGGCCGTAAAAAACTTCGCCTGGCCGTGGAAAAAATGGATGGTTCACGGCCAAACTATTTGGCCGAATTTTGTAAAACACGTATTAATTCCTCATCTAGTGGATTTTGAAGAAAAGTCTGGCAGATTTTCAAATTTCACAATGAAAATGCTGGCTCAGTGACCTCACCTCTTCACATGTTTACGTGACCTACTGAGCTGACTGATCTTTCTAGTTACTACCTTAGTTGTTAGTTCTCATATTTGAGTTGTTCAGGCTGAACACATCCAGCATATGGGTTAAGCTTCAGAGCTTACAAAGCCATCTGAGTTACTTTCTGAAATTCCGAGTGCTAGTTTTCAAAATGTCCACTAGTAAATGGAAAGGGTCTTACGACAGTGGTAGAAAATATAACAAACCAGGGGACGATGACGAACTAGACGTTTTTGCTTACGCCAACTAGTGTTATCAAGTTCTCCACCACCATTTCAGATTAAGGTAAATCTTCACTGTAGATTATAGATATTATGTCTATGTAATTCTTGGGCTCTCAATTCTAATTGAAAATTTGGTTTTATTACGACATTTTAAGTGGATATTGTAGGGGATACTTTTATTTTGTGTGGATTGCAAAAATAGCCTTGTGCTTCCCATCCAAAAAGCTTTGGCCGAATTTTGGGCAATTTGGCCGTGAGATGGCGTGGAGTTGGCCGTGAAGCTTGTCGTACATCTGGCAACCCTGCCCGGGACGTGGGGAGATGCTGGAGTATGATGACATCTCTCAGACTGCCCAAAACAGAAAGGTTTGGAGAGATTTTCTCATAAAACGTGTATGATTTCATCTTCAGAAACTCGTTCCCATGCTGGGAATGGCGAGTTTTGCCTGAATTTCCCTGAAGGCTCAAAATCCACTCTGGGTACTGGAAAGTTCCAGGGACAGGGGATTTCAACTAATGGGAAGATTACTTGTATATTTACTTCCAATATATGAGTTTAATTTCAAAAGTTTAGACTGACATATAAGAATTCGAACATCTAGTAAAACAAACACCTTAAAAAGGTTCCTGATATTTGTAACTGAAGTACAGATGTGCAATGGCAACGTGTTTACACAATGGAAGAAAGGAATGGTTTGAGTAAGTTGGTTAGTATGATACAATTCTAGTCAGTATCAAATCCTGAAAAAAATTAAACCCCTTAGCAGATATTTAAAAAACTGACAAACACACTGAGGTCCTAAAAAACAGGTAAGGAGGATGCATGGAAGCCTCTTGTAATAAAGCATTCAAGATCCAGATACCTGTACATATTAAAGAATATGATTGTTTATAAATTGGAGCATTTAACTTTTGTAGTTTTTTCATGGGACATAGTAAGGCCCAGTACCTAGTGCTGGAATGTACATGATGATTTAAAGTCCAGTAATAATCAATTTTCATAAGGATCCTCAAAATTTTTATAGTGCTGGGTTACATGGGTGGATATAATGTACTGTATAACATGAGTTGTGGTATGAATTGCACTGAAAATATGAGAAATACTGACATCAGTTTTATATAAGTAAAGGAATATGGAGGGAAGGAACTTATTTAAATTGGCAAACCAAATTATGATGCAGCAGCAGTACCTGAGTACAAAGCCAGAGATTTTACAGTAAAACATTACTTTAAAAAAAGTGAATAAGTAATGCCAATTTTAGTGGAAATTCTACCTGTGCCATTTAAAAAATTTCTACAGACAAATTATCAATTCATTACCGAGGTGTGATCAAAAGAATCAACTGCTGTACAGGAAAAATTTTACAGCAGAAATTTTATGTGAACCATCTATATATTGAGTAACTAACTCAAGAACTTTCAAGTTTTCACATTGCAAGAAAAATTGACTATCAATGAGATTAAGAGTAGGCAAGCTTGATACTTCCAGTTTCCAGTCTTTATACCTACTAAATATTTTTAACCAGTTTACTTACCAAGAGCACCATGTACTGTGCCATAAAGAACACATCCCTGGGTGACGGTGGATGCCTCGGGAACTCCTTGCATTACTAAAGTGCCGTGACGGAACACATTCACAAAATCTCCCAGGTGGAACCTCCCAACCTCTTGCATCTGCTGCCGTTCTTCATCAGATGTGGCCGCACTAAGGGGAAGGCCAATGTTAATTCAGTAGTAACTCACTCTAACAGAATAACACCATATATTCATATACAGGTATATAACAAAGCTTTGCCACAGGAGTACAGTCCCCATATCCCAGCATGGTATAATTTTGTATAGGGTACTGAACTATGATTTATTCACTTCTAAGATTTTTTTTAGAAAGCAATTTTATATCTGTATTAATAACTGACTGAATAACTTTATTATTTAATTTACATGAAATTAATTCCTGTACTGAGATTAATATCTGTTTCAGGGGTTTAAAGTGTTGCTGTATTTTTGTTCAAAGAAGTTCCAAATATTTATTTGAATATCTAGTTAGAATATGATCACTAGATTGCAGCAAGCTGGAACATTATGATTCTTTAATTAGCGAGAAAAGTTCACCAGTGACGTAGTGAATTTACAAGTAACAGTTTTTAATGTGTTATATGTCAAGTGAAAAGCTATAATCAGACTTATAAGAATTTAATTTGTATTGTACTCTCATATTACTGTACTTTTATATAGTGTCTGGAATTCTTATTTTTGCATGTTACTAATGTGTTCTTTTAAATATTGAATCTGAGTACTGTATGGTATCAATATCCATCATATTCTTTTTAAGGGAATTCTTAATTGGTGATCTTTTTCTTTTGGACTTAGATAAGGTAACAAAGATTGATGACATTGTTCCCAAATTCATAAACTACATCATAATGAAACCAAGTTAAGTGAAGCTACATCAGTTGTGGGATGTCTGTACAGTTTATGTATGAAATGCTTACAGAGGATGTGTTGAATAAAAATCTGTCTGAGAATTCTTACCTGTCTTTGTGACAAACAAAGAGATTATGAGAATGTTCTGCTCCAAGGAAGAGTTCATCATCTAGAATCTCAATTGCTGTCATCCAGTTTGGATCATAATCCCTGGCAATCTGCAATATCATATTTTTGTGTATAAAAGTTTTGAGAGTGAAGGGGAGAATTTTATCTAATTTCTGGATCAACACAATTTTTACTTCACATGGTTCCCTTCACCATTAGTAGTTGTACTCTACATAATCAAACATCCTCACCTCTTCAAAGCTGCCTTCCAATGTCTTATACTGTAGAAGCGTCATAGATCGCATGAGGTCACCCACAAGGATGAAGTCACCTTTTGTCTTTAGGCACAGAGCAGCAACATTGTTGAAGTGTGAACACTCAAGTCGCAATTCTCGTTCATTCGTCCATTCAAACAGTCTTACCTGAAAAGGTTAGTTAAAATTTGTATGTCTAATGCTGAAGGTTCAATTTCCTTTATACTGTACTACCTTTAACTCGACATTATTGTAATATTAAAGGCTATTAAACTTTGAACTTTGACCAAAATATCCTAAAATTAAAAGAAAATGTCCTCTCCGTCAAGGCAAAGTAACTATATATACAATATCAAGTGCTTGAAACTCTAAGTCATGCAACACACAACACAGGTTCAAGTGTCCCCACAGAGCAAGAGGCAATTTAACCCACTAAATATTACTCACAGTACTTGAGATAGAAGCCAGGAGCTTGCCCTGAAACTCGCATAAAGAATAACATGCTCCCTTGATCTCCTTCTCTGCCACCTGAAATGACAAGTATATCTTTAACTTATTATGTTTAACACTTACAATAATATTATGGTATTTACAAAACCCATAAATGCACTGCTATAAACCAGTACATGTGAGCATGTGTGTTTTATCTCACTAAGTTTTTCCTGCATATTGTATAGTGACCAGAAAAGAAGAACAGATACACTCTTTTATTTACCCCCTCATTACTTTTGTTATATTATTATTCTCTCTCCCTACTAGAAAAGATGTATTCGATTATGGTTCACCCCTTCCACAATGAGGGCTCAATCTGGTTTATTCCTCCCCTCACATAAGCCAGGAACACCCATCAGCAGTATGTTCTTTTTCTTTCTTAAAAATCACTCGACACCAAGCTCTCTGGTCATTCACTAACACTACTGCTTCCTGGATGCTGATTACCATACCATCTGGTTCCTTCCTCATCTTATCCTTCTATTTCCTTCACATCATCAAAATCTATAAATAACAACCACTCCACACTGAAATTACTGTACTCCTATATACAACTAGAAATATTTCCTAAACATATGCATAATGCTTAATTCTGAAGTAATTATTCATGTAAATATACATACCTGTTGCAGTTTACCCTCGGCAAATGAGAATAAAATGATCCGTCCTTGTTTCGACTCAGACTCCTCAGGATTGACAAGTGCTGTCCCCACAACATAATACACAGTTGGATCTTCCTTCAGTCGTGTAGAACATATGCTGAGTGCATACTCCCCAGGGTGAAAACTGTGGCAGTGAAGCACTACACACAAATATACAACAATCAATACAGTAGTAATAAAAATAATGATAATAATAATAACAATGCCAAAGCAAAGACTACCGACTGCAGCTGTTTTGAGAGAAATAATAGCACGACATGATTATTTTAATTGGTTTAGGGTTATTAAGATTCCCATCATGCTCATAGAAACACTGGAATATCAAACTTACTGGTAAAGGCATAGACATATGTGACAGTGGGTATGGCAAAGAAAGCAAGAGTAATTGAAAACAACAATAGGTTTTCTCTTGGCTGGCATATTTTCTATACATATTTTGTTTTAACTGGCCAAATTTTTCCCACCAATCCTGTCTTCTCATACACAACCAGTCTTAGTTTTATTTTCATTCATGTTTGATTAGATTTTCTTCACCATTATAATCCTTTTGCCCATTTAAAATCATCATTGCATTGTCTACACACACACAGTAGCTTCCCCATTTTTTTTTAACAACTTAACATTCCTATGCAAGTTTGCTTTCTTTTTTTGACTCTTGCAAGTCTTTTCCTACAATGGTACATGATGGCTAGAATCAAGAACAACATAAACTTAGTCTCATTTGCTGTCATTCATTCTCTTTTAAATGCCTTAATATATATGTTTTACTCCATTATTTCACTTAACAATGACAAGGACCCCAAAAATATCTACTAGGTGTTTAACGGTTATTTAACCCTCTCGCACACGCAATAAGTTTTTAAGTTTCTGTGACCACGACAAAAGTCAGAATGGGATCTGTCATCGCCACTCATGTGCTGTCTGAGCATCTTCGTTCTGTGGCCAATTTATCCCACAAGAATTTTTTATTTTTTTCATAATTTATACATCACTGACTTTGTTATTGTTTTGGCACAGTGGTACAGCAGTAACGTGCATAAATCTAAAAAATATGTCAAGGGTTCGAGCCTCAGCCCGGACATCACAGGTTTCCCAGTCCCTGGTTTCCTCCTGTACTAACACTGGATAGACCGCCCAAACGGTTAGTAAGATGATAAGTGGCGAAAATTATATAGAAAAAAATAATAATAAAATAAATAAAATAAAATACATAAATAAGATGAAAAAAAAAAGGACATTTTTAAACTCCTAATAAACATTAATTTTTTCCCAACATCATATCTCGGATATTTTCTCCCAAACCTCTTAGTACAGTACAGGGGCTCCTCTACTTAGTTCCTGAGGTCTGTTCTTAAGTCCATTTGTTCGTAAGCCCAACATTACTCGTCAATACTGAATACTGTATACAGCATTGTAAAAAAAAAGTTGTACAAACAGCTATACCCCAATAATACTCGACAGTATTTCATACCAGCCTTAAACAGTATTTTAATGTATGAACAGCATGTATAGTAATAATAAATAAACACTCACCATGTTTAGCCTTTTCATTTTCAAAGAGACTTATGGCCTTCCGCTGAATTAAGTTAAGGCTTATAGGCATGCAGTGCTGATGCTGGTCTTCCAGCCACACACTCAAAAGTTTTTCCATCTCTGCGATCACTGAGCCTCTTTTCTTACTAATGATCGTAGAATGCATTGGCACAGAACCTTTCACATGTTGCATAATGCGCTCTTTGTCCTTCAAAATTGTCACAACAGTCGAACGATTCATCCAAAGAGCATTTGCTATGCTTATCATTTTCTCACCTCTTTCACAACGCTTTATAATGTCCACCTTAGTTTTCAACGTAGTAGTGCGAAGCTTCTTACTACCACCATCACCACTGGGGTCAATAATATTCGTCAAAACCACAAATAACCACGAATAACACCGTGAGGCAGCAAAGGATCACAACAACAACAATGGCGCTGGGGATACAGGGTGACGCTGAACAGCCAGCGCCATCTATTGCACGGAGGTTGAACGTACGACCCGGCGCGGTTTTCAAACAGGCAATTGGACATATGGACAGGTTTGTTCGTATCTCTGAAAGTTTGTAACTTGAATGTTTGTAAGTAGGGGAACTCCTGTACATCATATTTATAGAAGCAGAATTTTTTGAGCTATCCAACGGTGGCTTTTAAATCTTTATACATCTAATATTATTAAATTATAGCACATTGTATAGCTTGTAATGTTAGGAAGAAAAGGGTGGTCTTAAATGTCCTGTAGCACTTGTAGTTATCATATAATCAATTTTTTAATTTGGTGGGCTTGCATTTTTCCAAGAGTCATGCTCCTACGTAATGTTGAAGGGATACAACTTTGCTCATTTATACTTACACTTAACACAATCTCCCTCAAAATACTTTAGGTTTTGTGTTTATTCAAGACATCTTCAGGTCATGAGACCCACTAATGACTAATCCCACCCAAAAAAGGGTGACCTGCCATTATATGAGACCACTAATCCTCCACCCTACCTCCATCTGATATTACATCAGGTCAGGTCAGTTACACGAGACCCACTAATCACCCACAGCTCCATTGAAGTGGAAAATATCAGTCTTTGCTGCAACACACAGCTTCATTCACGCCCATATCATATAGATTATTTATTTTTAAATACAATAAGTTCTCGCTCAACGTCGGCCCACTTAACATTGTTTCGGTACTACGATGCTAAACTTTAGAGACTAAAAATTCGTTTAACGGATGACTCGGTACAACGTCGTTTGAGTCGTCGCGGACTACTTTTTACCTTTTTCACAATATGTATTTAGGATGGTGTGTGCATGTAAATGATTAAAACTAAATGAAGAAAGTTACTATATCTACTGAAAAATAAGTTGAAAAAACATGTACAGTACTTAATGTACTTAAGGGACTAAAAAAATTATCTTGTGCAAAATATATACCGGGTAATGTTTATATTTGTATTATTTGCTGTCTTGCAAGGATTCTAGCAATGCAATTTATATTCTGCTAACTTCAGTCTGTGCCATTTTATAAGATAAAAAATTTAAGCCTAAACCACCTTCAATCTTGCCAGCCGTCCAACCAAGGTTACCTAGTGGTATTTAGGTATCTGTCACATAGAGGAGTCTTAAGTTTTCCTCTTATAAATCTCAATGAATGTGACTTTATCTCTTAGGCCCCAGGTGACATTCCAGAACGTCCGACTAGCGCGCCCCGGGTGACGTTCCAGAAAGTCCGCCTATTTTCCCGCCATTTTTTATTATTATTATTATTTTTGGAAAAGTTTATTTTTTTTTCCTCGATTTATCCCCACTGCAGGGAAAGGGGGGGTTGTTACTGCTAGCAGCACCCTAACCCGGGACTTAAGGGTTAAAGTAATGCATACAAGCACCTCACCAGACATCACACAAGGAGTTTTGAATTTATGTATATGCAATGTATTTCATGGGGCAAAGGGAGGCTCAGGAACAAAACTCTCATATTTTATCTATTTCTTATGGGGAACATTGATCAGCTTAACGTTGTTTCGTATAACGTCCCATTTTCAAGAACGTAACCCCGATGTTAAGCGAGGAATTACTGTACATATCTTTATTTAACCAAACATTTAGAGAAACTATTCTGGATTATTATAGTAAAGAAATTGAGTTTCTAACTTAATTAGAACTACATTTACGGACTCCGGTGGTTCAGACTCAAGGAAAACATCCCCAGCACCCAGAAACATTCTGGGGAAGTGGGATAGTGTCTGTCTGTGCAAGATGTCTAGTTTAAACACTCAGAAACTTTCCCCAGTAACCAGAAAAGATTCCGGGGATAAGGAACTCTTCAAGGTTTGAGAAAGTCGTCTGGTTAGCCGAAAATCTCTCATCCCCGAATGTGCTCTGCACTAATTGTTCTGGCTAACGGGAATATCACTGTATATGGTGGAGGCGGTGGCAGCGACAAACTGCTTATCATTCTTCCTCGGTCTTCCTAATTTTGTTTCCTTGCCACCATCACTTTAACTATCTCTTTCTCTATCACTTTCACTATAACTGCTTGATAATCCTTTGAGGTAGAGAGCAGTTCCTTGTCTCCCAGATATTTCCCATGATAATTAACCTTGTGGTGGATGTTCCATTATTGTTTGAATGGATTTATAAAATTTCAAATATTTTCACTGTGAATATAACAAAAAACACATTACAGACACTTGAAATCGCTTGAAAAAGTGTTTCACTATAAAACATCACAGTATTCCTAACTTGTACAGCAGGTGTAGTGGAGACAGAGATGTAACATACCAGCTTGGCTGATGGGAGAAAACTGGCAAACAATTGACCCGCACTTATCTCCACCTGATTTTTTGGAGGGGTGGATTTCTAAGTTTTATGAAGCGATTCGTGTCACCAATGCAGTTAGTGCTACCCAATAATATGACACGATTCGTGTCATGGTGCGCGAGAGGGTTAAAACAACTCAGCATCAAACATCAATTCCCATAGACAACTCAACACCATGCTCTCTAACCTAAACTTGAACACATTTACTAATTCAAAAAGCACCTGGGCTTTTGCTGGAGCCTGCTACTTATTCACCTTCCAAAATTTTTAGCTGTTTTTTAACACTTCAACACTCATCACTATACCTTCAAAAGTATTTTGAGATATGATAAGGAGGCTGTGAGTTTCAACTTCTTGTCCAGGTTCTGGAGGTGGTTGTACTGGTGGCTTTAATAAGCTGGAAGTGGTTGAGGCAGCAGAAGTAGAGTGGGCACCCAAGGAGGCACACGCGCCACCACTACGCAGACTATTATTATCCATCACATCTACACGCATTGTTATCACCCCAAAGGTCTGAAAGCATTAAAAGACATTAATTAGCAAACAAAATTTGTCAACTTCATACAGTAGAATGTCAGCTAATAAAAACATTAATATGCCATGATAAAAACTGAAGGCTTTTGTGAAATGTAAGGGGATATGACAATTTTAACTCATAAGGAAATGTAACAAGTACCTGTATTTTTTGGGGGGTGAGGGAGCATCTGTTAAGTTATTAAATAACTTCAGTGTTTTCCAGCTAGATAAGGAGGATCAGGTGTACAGTATTATATATCAAAACTGACCATAAAAAAAAATCCTATAAGCCTGTGTGATATACAGTGAACCACAATTTCCAATGTTTGAATGTTCTAGTGATGGCTCACTAAATAGTCAAGCACCATTTAGCAATACCTGAAGGACTTAGACCCCTCATGTAATTCCCAGCATAAGGCAACATTGCACATATGCATCTTTCAACTTAAATAGTAAAGTGTGTGTGTGTGTGAATGAGGGTTAAAGTGCTCAGCCAACTAAGACAAGACATTATTTTTTCTGCGCTACTATCTCACCAGATACATGCTGGACAATTTACTTGTACTTTTTAGGTGATACATATACCACAATACCTGACAGCACTGCTCCTTAATAAAAAATATTTCCTTACTGTGTCTTTAAAATATTCACCTCTGTCTCTTCCTGATAAGCAATGCGTCTTGGTGTTTCTCCCAGTGGAACTGTGCGGATGTGTAATTTTTGTATTTCATCGATGGTTCCAATGGTGATGCCCTCACTAGTGGCTAGGGCCAGGCTGAAAAGTATATAACAATAAGTTGCAAGAGTACCGGGGTCATTTGATACTTTGTAAAGATAAATAGTCAACTGTATTACTTTTTTTAGTCAGAAATGGATGAAGAATAAGTCTCAAAATTTAATGAAAACTTCTGTGTTATGTACTATGGCATGAGTAATGTACAACTGACAAATGCAAATGAGTTAAAAGTACTGGTAACTTCATATTAAGTAATATAGTAATATGGGAGCTGCAAAGAAAGTATGAAAGTATGGAAGCTATGAAAAGTACAAAAAAATTAAAAGTGACACAGTAAAAAGGATTAAGAAGAAATATGCTTCTACAATACAGTAAAGCCTCGAACAACAACGTTAATGTGTCCTCCAATACTGAAGTGTAAGGTGAATCGTCTTATCGTGAATCATTAATTACCATTAAAATAAAGCAATAATAATGAGATGCGTTCCCATGTGTGACCTTTTCATATCTTTTCTGTGGCTTCTTACCATCTTTTCCCCCCAAAACAATACAATTAATGAAAATTGCAAACTATATTCTTTAAATAATGTTTCTGAATGCACTTCATACAATATATGTGAATAATAATAATATGGTCACACAAGAGGAGATGGGACACCATTGTTTTCGTTTGTTTACAGCCGGGATTCCGGGACGATAGTTCTACACGAGAAAATGAAGAAAATAAGACCTTGGTTGTAGCTGTAGTAAAAATAATGTAAAAAAAAATGAATATACTATATGTTTTAAGTAACGTTATTTACCGGTTAATGTTAATAAATGGAACAATCGAAGTAGCTAACCACTAATGGCAAAGAAAAAAAAAAGAGATGGACTGGGAACGCCAACATATACGTGCACATTTAAGGATACTGCGTCATATATCTTAAGAATATGTACAAAAGATTCATTATTGTTTATTAATAAATATGTATTTGATTTAATTAATCTTTATATTGTATATGCGAAAATACAATTCATTAATAATACGTAGAATATTAAAACACACAAGAGGATAAGAGACGACATTTTTGTCAGTGTTTACACCCAATGTCAGTTATCCACCTGAAACTGAAGAAAATTAGACCCTGGTTGTTGTTGTAGTCAAATTAATGTAAAAAATATGCATGTTTTAATTAATGTTATTTAATGTACAGTAGAAGTAACCATTGATATTAAAGAAAAGGTGACTGCTAGTGGAACGCCAATGTATACGTGCACACTCAAGGAAACATAGTCATATATCTTAAGAATACGTACAAAAGATTCATTATTGTTTATTACTGAATATGTATTTGATTGAATTAATGTTTATATATGTGAAATGAACAAAGTAATCCATGAATAATACGTAGACTATTAAAACACACAAGAGGAGACAAGACGGCATTGTTTTCGTGAGTGACGATGGTTCTACATAAGAAACTGAAGAAAATAAGACCCTGGTTGTAGCTGCAGTGAACTTAATTTAAAAAAAATTGAATACCTGTATATATGTTTTAAGTAATGCTATTTAATGTTAATAAATGGAACACTAGAAGTAGCTAACCACTAATGGTAAAGAAATAAAGTAAGACGATTTCGAATGCCATCGTATGAACAGTAAATGCGTACATGTGAAAACATATCGTCACTTTTCTACATATGAATATGAAAGCAACACTTATTTACTGTGTTCATTTATGTTTTAAATAATATTTACGAATGTAAAACTAAAATTCTATTCACCAATGGTGGTGAAGTCTAAAACTTTAGGACAGCCAATGAATATTGTGTGAGTTTTTACTGGCTGAAGTTGTAGCTTTCCATAAAGCTGTTGTTGAGACTGTTACTGAACCGGAAGTTGATTTTGAAGCTGCTTTTGGTGCTGAATTTGATGGTGTAGCTGAAGTTGATGGTTTAGGCCTTCGAATAATAAAGCTGTCGAAAGAACCTTGCACAGCTGCTTTCTTTTCTCATTATACATCTTTATGTAGAGGTCATTTACATTTATTTAAATGTTAATGCTTTGTTCTGTTAATGGATCCACTTCAGAAAATATGTTCATTGATTGCTCCATAAGTATAATATCCACAGACCTCTCACCTTTTTTCATATCATTTTAACACATCTAGTTCCTCGGATAAGCTTAGACACTTTCTATTAGCTTTTGAAACAACACTACCATCACTTGCTCTCTTGCTCATGTTGAATAGGGATGCAAAAATGCTGTAAGAAACCTGAGAAAGTTTTTCTCCTGTTCCTGTTCCAGATGCGTGAAAACAAAAGGCCCGCCAAGCTCCGACTGTTGTTTACCACTCATTAGCAAGGCAGCTTCTTTGCGCAAGGCGCTCTTCATTTTTTTTACACTATTTTTTTTATAATGCATATTGGGATTTAGTTATTATTTATATGAAAATGTAATTTGATTTGATTTTTATTATAATTTGGTCGTACTTACGAATGAAATATGGACGTAAATTGAATTGGGTCCTAAATTAACTAGGGTTTTAAATATGAAAAGTTTTTGGTCGATCTGTTATTATCGGAGGCTTTACTGCACAAATAGCTAACAAATTTTCTTACCTACTGGGATATGCTTCTGCATTAAGTGGACACATATGTGTTACTTCCCTCAGGTTGACTTTGGAGAAGACTAGCTTATGGTTAGATGAGTAGATAACAGTGGGTCGATCTGAACAAGCAAAGACATTGGTGGATGAAAGGGAACGGAATCTCCTCAGTGTTGTTGGTTGGGTTCCCAGAACAACCTGCAAAATAATATTTTTTACAATAACATACAAATAACAAAGGGTTAACAAGAAAACTATGTAAAAAAAAAAAGAGTGAGAGTTAGAGAGGGTAAAGATAGAGAAAATGGAATAGACAAGAGAAATGCACAACAAAGGAAAGAGGAATGAATAGGGAACCATGAGAAATAATGAAGAGGGGGAGTTGATGGAGAAAGAAGAATAAGGAAAAAGGAATGACAATTTTATGGACATACAGAAGGACAAAAACATAAGAGAGACAAGGAAGAGAGAGTAGGATTTAACTCAAATGTTCATAAGTTACCTTTTTTTTATCAGAGAGGTAGCCGGTCGCAGGAGCATAACTGAAGTAGAAGAGTTGACCATCACCCATGGCACATAGCAGGTAATGATGGCCTTCAAATGTGGTCATCAATATAGAACGAGGGATGATGTCTGGCAATGGGTTAAGAATTCATAAATTCATGTTGTAAGCATCAGCTGATCGTCTAGTCTGCCAATACAGTAATCGGTTCTAAGTTTACATTCATTTCCAGTGGAGTAAATATCAAGAAGGTTGTGCTCTTTAATATTTTTGCATTTTTTATATTAAAATTATTTGTCATTCTAAAATTTAGTTAACATATTGATAATATAGACAGTACAGGGAACAGTTTTTGTGTGCCCATCAGCTGATTGAATCAACCACCAACGCTTCTCAGTTTAAACTGTTTACAGTGGAGTGAACATCGAGTTTGTTCTCTTGAATATTTTTGCATTTTTACATTAAAATTATTGGTCATTCTGAAATTTAGTTAACATATTGATAATATACAGTGCAGAAATTATTATGAAACACGAAGAAGGCATTAAAACCAATGCACTCTGTAAAGAATAAGGCATGCCATCATCGACTGCCTCTAGAATCAGCTGTTTGATATGTAAACAAAGCTGCCAGGAATACAACACACACCTCAAAGTAAGTTAAAATACAGTATTCTATTGTTTTTTGTTTTTCATTGTACAGTACACAGTACAGTACTGTATTTAGTTTATATTTAATGTTTTGTTAATTCTATTACTGGTATGTATACTTTTTCTGTGAGTTGAAACTAATTACCCAATATCCCATTGAAATAACAGATTCGGTTAACGAACGACCCTGTGGAACGAATTGTGTTCGTTAACCGAGGGACCACTGTATATATATATATATACACAGGCCCTGATCCATATAAGTGTATAAAATACTCAATGACTTAGTTATATACAGTATCTTCCATACAAATGTATTATGTAATGGTTACCATTTTTCATTCAATTTGCAGAAGCTTTTAGGTACTATGTGAATATAACGTACCTATTACGCAAATATATATTCTATAATATCATGAAACTTGGATATGGGATAATGGTCCCCTCTGGTTGGTTTTTTGAAGGGTATCAGTGAGAGGGATAACCTAGTTCAATGAAGAGTACAAGCACTGGTTTATATAAAACAAAATCAAGGTTACACACATTTTTGGTTCATGTATAAAAGTAAAACATGTTTTCTTCTCCCAAAGCAACCATACAACTCCAAGGAATGTATTATAATTATACTATAAGCTTTATTACCTCCTCCAAGGAACTCTTTGGCATTTTCATCCAGTGAGGGAAGGGCAAGAACTCGGGCAGATATGTCTGTCCAAAGACCAACAGCCACCACAGAAGCCATTTCTTCCTCCCAGAGTGGTGAGACATCCAGGCAGGCAACTTCATGCTCCACAGTGGTTGATCTGAAAGACAAAGACTTGATAATTCTTTGATGCTGTCATGGGTTGCATTAGGCTTACCCACACCCCCAACTCCAAAGTTTGTTTTACTAGAGATAAGGCACCCGGCGAGCCATGACTATGACATATCTTTTCCATTAGTGGTATGTTAGCCAGTCTATAGGGGGAGGCCATTGAGACAGTATTGTACTGCTCATCACTTCACGCCCTAAACCACATTTTGAGTAGTATCCCCTAGGCCATGGATTAGTTAAGACGTCGCCCCCACCCTCTCCCTCCTGAAAGGAACGGGACACCACACAGAGTCCTCCACTGCCACCCTGTCCCGTGGACCGTCAGTGACACGAGACTAAGTGTGCTAACCTAGGTTGCTATCCCTGTGGAAAAATCACGTGTGGATGCCTGGTTGCAACAAGAGCAATCCAGGCTGGCCTATCAAACCTACAGTAAATGCTTAATCAAGTCACGCTTACAGAGTTCTCCTGCACGACGCCCGTCTACAGTGACCGTGATCGACACAAGACTAAGTGTGTTAACCTAGGTTTGTATTCCCCGTGGAAAAATCACATGTGGAAGCCTGGTTGCAACAAGAGCAATCCAGCTGACAGTAAATATCACTTGAAGAATTAAGGCTCTGTTAAGTCATACCCATAGTAGAGTAATCACATGTGTCCCCAAGTTGAAAATTCTCTCTTTAGAAGATAAATTTTATTACAGCGTGAATGTGAGTGACTCATATATCCATACAAATTGAAAATCATTGTATGGAAGCTTGCCAAATAAATGTAAGTGCAATTATTTGCCCGTATCTGTGATCCTATCTTATTATTACTAAAAGTAATGACTGATTGGTTATGGCAAAGTATAATCAATAACTTAGATGGATGTTGGAAATTAATGGAACTCATTAAATCATTATTTATCAAGTATAAATCATGGATTGTTGGGTGGTGGAGTGAATAATCTCCTGTAAGAAACCAGTGTGAAGGTATCAAACTCTACGGTAACAAATATAAGAAACACAATATAATATAAACTTTATATAACATCCACACCTAAACTACCAAATCCGTGACAGATGCTCATATCATTACCAAACCTCTTATTTTGGGAAAGTCTCTTCACCTTTTTCTTCTTTGATGTAGGGTGGTCTAACAGGTCCTTACCCAAATTCTTAGCAGTCTACAGGCTAAGGATTACTCCATGCCCTTGGCAAGATAAGAGTCCACCTAAGGATTATTCACCACTGACAAGAACATCCTACAGCATTCCCCGAGTTCATTTTGGTTCAGTGTGTGTGTGTGTGTAAGGTCTTGTGTACAGGGAGGGAAACCAGTCTTTCTCTCTCGCCTTAAATTGAACTCGGAACCCTTCACATCTGAGGTAATTGTTCAACAACTAAGATTTGGAATCTTTCATCCATTTATCCAATAAAGATGTAAATTGTGATAACATGTTACTGGTAAAAATATCTTTGGTATAAGTGATGAGAAGCTTTGGCCAGAGTTAGAAGACTTATTTGCAGAGGTTCCCCAGTACAATGGTCTGTTATGATGTGCAAAATAGAGGATTATGCTGTTCCTGTCAAGTAGGCAGCCTGTCAGGTCAATCGAATCCTCAGGTCAATGCATTCAGGTGACCTGATCTTTCCCAACTACATGAGGATTATATTGACTTGACCTGACCTTACCTAACTTCCAGAGGATTAGGTTGACCTGACCTTTCCTAGCTTCTTACAACACCCCCCCCCCTTTGACCCTTGGTTGGTCAGTTGCCTTCAGGGTGTGAGAGACACAACATGCAGCTCTCTCTGACTTTGTATCTTTATGTGATCTGCTTTCGTAGATGTGTTAAATACACAAGAGCGCTTAAGCAATATTGTTGATTTTATTTTTCCCACATGGTTTACAAATTCACACATGGTTCTCTTGCATCATATTCATAATTTCTTCATATATACCTGTATATAAAACATGACTTGGAGTCGCACTGGATAGGAGGCGGCAGCACTAGATGGACTCTCACTGGAAAGTGCTTGGGAATCCCTGTTCTAGAATCTATAACCTTACCTACATATCTCAACACTATAAATAAAAACATTTAAATTTACTGAAAGTACTCGTACAGTATACCATAAGTATGATAATTTTACTTGACCTAATTTATTATGAGATTAAATAAGCCAATCTATGTTTATGTAATATCCAGGCTGTTGTTTTAAACAATTGTGCCTTCCTGCTGATATGGACATCTGAATAACAATTTCATCTGACTAACGACATCGCTGTGGCTTAATTAGTAAAGTACTCGGGGTTTTTATTGCAAGTAAATTATAAGTTTTAAATGGTTTGGTATCCAAAGTCACTGAGCATTATCATAACTAATTCAATAAAATATCAAGCAACTCACGCTTCAAGTTTCAAAGTAGCAGGTTGGATGGTGAGGTAATAGATGTGTTGTCCTGCAGCTGCCACCACTTGGTTATTGTTGGCTGCCACCACAGAGATGTTGCGACCTTCTGGTGGACGCCACTCACACACTAACTGGCCGTTGTTCTCGCTGACTAGTCGACAGGATGTTCCCGTTACCTTAAAAGTAAATGAGAGTTGACATTTATAATTTATAAGGGACAGCTATTTATTTTTCCTTCTGGAATGTGTACACAATCAGATATAGAATAAGGAAAATTATTTCTTTTAAAACAATATAAGAATATATGATACCACTCAGCTAGTTACTAATTTACAAACTATATTCACTCCACCCCACAAAGTTAAAAAAAAGAAGGGCAGTGCACTGTACTAAAGTGATAAAAAAATTAAAATACAATAAAAATATTATCTATATAATTATGAATTTAGTTATTACCCCTTAGAGAACTTAGTTATCATCGGCAACTGTTAGTAAAAGTTTTAGGAATAGTGTTGGATTTCAATACAATCCAAAGACTTGAAAGACCTGGTACATAACAAGTCTATAAACTCAAAATTCTGACTCATCATTCCTCTGTCAGATTATCATTTAGTGTTGTTATATACATATATTATCTATGAATTTATTTTATATGGGGATATTATACCTGTAGTATTTTTCTATTCATTGAATGGGTTAATTCAGGAAGGTTTACCGAGGGTTTGAATGCCTAAGCTCTGAGGCTTCAAGGTTGTGCCTCACTTGCTCACCACTCTCCTCTCATGGAAGGTAAGCTGCCTCCAGTCATCAGTGATTTTATTCATGTTTTGGTATTCCATATGACGTGTGAGTGATTATAGAAATGCTTGCCTCTGAGTACGTTCTTAGGTAATTTATGTTGTTGTGTTTTGCTTCCTATTAAAATGGAGTTTAATCCCGTTCTGTTTTCGATAATATTTTATTGTATGTACCCTCGTCAGGACTCTACTGGTGTCGAGGGCCAGACTCTGGAGGCATACTAACAATGCTGTGTTCTTATTGTTGGTCACCCTGTCTACGCCTGTGAGGGAACTACCAAGTTATCAAAGGCCATAAGAATGGCCTCTACAATACTTGATCTAAGTAGCCAACATATAACACTGTACTGCCCATGTGTCAACACTGATAGTATTCCTTCACCTAAACTTTTAAGAAAGTTTACACTTCATGCTGTCCCAACATTTGCAAGAAGGTTATTTCATGACTTTACAACTCCAGAGTATTCAAGTGTGGAGTCTTGCAAGCAGGGTTCTCCAAGGTTTGGTCTTTTAATCCTGGCCCCTGCTTCTAGATTTTGCTACCCTCATCTCCAATAGAATCAACAATAATATTCTCAGATAGCTGTCCACTAATACAAGAATCACTTTGATGTTTCTTAAGGGATTTATTAGCTCATTATAGTAATTTCTACTAGCCATTTCAAGTATAAAATAACTCATTACATTTACAACATGTATAGTCAACTTACAAGTTTAGAGCCTGATGTCTTATCTAGAAGCTCACTCACTAACATGAAACTCAGATACAAAATTGAGATACAGGGTATATGAAACCGAGGGGAGGCTAAAGTTATACTGGCATAGCAAAACTATAAGTACATGAGAATAACTTAAACTTAAACAATTTTTGTCCGGGACTAATAATATCATAAACTGGGACATGATTAACTCTCATAAACCCTCACCTGAAGTAACTGGTCGTATTTAACATTAGAGGATAAGAAAGTCTGTTGGTCTGCTACAAACCCTGCAACCTCCGTCTCCTCAACCTCCTCCCCACTTAATGTCAACACTCTGTAAATATATTAATCAAATCATATTAATGAAGATTCAGGATCTTGAGTAAATAAAGATAATAAAGTATCAGGATTCAGCACCTTTAGTTAATAAATATATGAAGTATCACATTGCTTTAACTCTCTCGTGCATCATGGCGCAAATTGTGTCAAATCCTTGGGTAGTACTAAATGCATCATGACTCAAATCGTGTAAAAAAAAATAAAAAAAGTAAATAAAAAAAAGTTTTCAAGACAATCGTGTCAAATTTCCGTGCATCATAGATGACCACATGATCTTACGAAGCAAGCTTCCAGAAAGTACCACTGTGTGGGTGGAGATAAACGCAGGTCCACTATTTTCCAGTCTTCTGTCAACCAAGCTGATAGGTTGCATCTGTCCTTTTAAACTCCTCTCCCACCCCCCACACTACACCTGCTATACACGTTAGGAATACTGTGATGTTTTATAGTGATACAGCTTTTCAAGCAAATAAAAGTGTCTGCAATGTGTTTTTTGTTATATTCACAGAGAATTTTTTTTAAATTTCATATTTATTCAAACAATAACGAGACATGCCTCACAAAGTCGATTATCATGGGAAATATCTGGGAGATGAGGAAACTGCTTCCTACTGTACCTCGAAGGGTTATCAAGCAGTAGTAGTGAAAGTGATGGTGGCAAGGAAACAAAAATAGGAAAACAGAGTGACAATGGCAAGCAGCATGTCACTACCACCGCCTCCACTTTCACGACCAGCACCATTACCACCAAAACTACCACCACTTTTCAGGTGATTCCCTCTACTGCTTCCACCTCATCAGCTCCTGATGTGGGACCCTTGACCTCCTGGGCCCCTGGGTCACATTTTGGGGTTCTACCAAGCCAAGCACATGGTGAGTAGGGCTCCTTATCACCCTCTTTCGCTCATCTCCCACCCCTGCTTTTGTTCATAGTGCCTCCCTGCTGCCTCTCCTCACTCACTCATCATTGACTGCTTCTTTCTCCATCACTAAAGCTCCTGTCTCACCACCACTGTCACTAATATCATCATCATTTATCCCACGTCCATCACTGATGAGGAAAGGGCGACAAGGAACGAGGCAGGATTATGGTGGTCGACCACGCGGTAGCCAAAGGAGGTGGTGGGGTCGAGGAGTAGGTCAAGACCTCCCTGCCACACCAGGCTCTGCTGCTGTAGCAGCCAGGCTATGCAACACATCCGGATCCACATGACATTGGATGAACTTCTCGCGCCTTTGTGCCTAATCATGGGCCCTTTACTGGAACTCCTGGTCTTCACGCCAACACATATCTTCACTTCATTCGTTCTGTAGTTGACTATCATGCTCTCCATCTTGTGACTATTCTGCCTAAACAACTCAACAGCCTTAAGGTGGTGCAAAATGAAGCCATGCGCATCATTCTAGGTTGCCCAAAATCAACCAGAATTGTGAACATGAGGAAAGAGCTTGGACTGCCCTCCCTATCTGAGAGGATAGCTCTACTTAATACCATGTTTTGTGTCAAAGTTTTGAAGAACAATGGTCCCCAAACTACAGCTCAAACTGAGTTGATGTTCTATCTAAGTAATCCCGACCATCTCGCTAACCTTCCACAAAAGACTCTCTTTGAGGCATGGCTTCATAAAAGTGATGCAAATCTCTTGAAACTGAATGTCCCAATCACCCCAGATGAACCCATTAATGCCATTCCTCCTTGGCTGGATATATCAGTTCCTATTAATTACACTCCTGTTGGTAGTAAGCAAATGTTAAACACCGATGTGATTAGATGTGTCACACTAGAAACTATTAACAGACACTTAGAGAGTATTAAATCAAGTGAATGTTATGCTTTTACTGATGGTTCTGTGCAGACAAACACAGGTAGAACAAGCTGTGCAATTATAATATAAAGAAGAGATGATAGTGTCAAACAAGCAAAGGCTGAACAACTGGGCCAGCATAACACAAACTGAACTAACTGGAATCTACTTAGCCACAGACTACCTTAAAGAAAATGGAGGTGGGGTGATATTCTGTGACTCTCAAAGTGCTTTGAAATCAATGAACAGCCCATCAGGCTTTATGTCTAAAGTTGTATGTGATATTAAAAAGAATGTAATAACTGCCAATGAGAACAACTTTCGTATCGAATTTGTGTGGATCCCGTCCCATGTTGGAATCAGGTATTCATGACCGTGCTGATAGACTGGCCAATGAGGCATGTAAGAAAGAAAATGTTGACCGTGACCTTGGCCTGTCCAAAGCTGTACTTAAAAGCAATCAAGTCAGAATCATGAACTCTGATCTAGAAGAAGTGAGAAATGCAGAGAGACCTGGCAGTTGTAGCATTAGTAAATATGACAAATTTTGTGACAAGAGGTACCGGTATGGCCAGCATAAGGACAGAACCAGACAATGTGATGTAGTCGTGGCCAGAATACAGACACATCTGGCAGGTTAGTAACGCTGTACCCATACCGGAACACTCAGCATGTAAACTTTGTGATAAACCTTTAAAGCATACACTTGAACACTATATTATTGAATGTGACACTGTCAAAAACTTCAGGCCACCTGGCTTATTGTATCTTGACCTTTGTAATTACTACATTGAATCAGGGGTGCTTGAGGACATTCTTGCTGTTTATCCCAAATTTGCTAGCCCACACTGATTAGTCTTCAATTAGAATATGACATCCGATGTATGTGAACCACTGACCTATATATACTGCTAATGAATATGATGTATTTCTTTGTGTGCGAACCTCTGTCCTGCATGGCAGTGAACAGTGACATTACCCACATGAATCTGACCTCTATATATATAGCTGTTAATGAATATGTCGTACTGTACTTCTTTGTGTATGAACCACTGTCCTGCATGGCAGTGAGAAGTGATACCACCCTCAGTGTCAAGACCTGACTGAATTACTCAGAATAGGCAAACTGTACTACAAGCTTTGCCAATAAATTTGTTAAACTAATTAAGCACCATCAGCCCCACTTCAGTTCTTCCAACTGTTCTTCACCCGAGAGATACTGTGGTACCTGACAGTGGAGACAATAAAGTATGGCGATTTTCTTGGCACATCAGCTGCTAAGTGGAGTATTTACAGTGAAGAGGAAGTGGCCAAATTCGTAGGGCTGGTCTTTTTTATGCGTGTGTTGAAATTTCTGACAAACAGGCAAACTGGCATGCAAGCCGAATTCATCATTACCCTGTCTCTGTAGAGACCATGAGTGAGAGCCGCTTCCGATCTTGGATCACTTCCATGCATTCAACAATCGTGCGGAGCCCCAAGATAGGTTAATAAGGGTTCACACGGTCAGTGTATAAATTAAGCAAAAAATATATAAATAAAATAATAATAATAGTTCTTGTGGGATAAACTGGCCACAAAACGAAGATGTGCAGTCTTAGAAAACAAAAAACTTTGCGACAGTAGAAGAAAAATCTGCAGAAAAAATAACATCCAGTTTTTTAATCAGATTTTAACATTTCTGGTTTAAATTTAGTAATCCGCACATTACTTCATAATTCAACAACATTTCTGGTTTCAATTTAGTAATTCTACACACTACTTTATTGTTCATTATCATGAGTACTTATAGGCATCTTGAAGAGAAAGGAAGAGAGGATAGCAATCATGAAACTTCATCTGCAAAATATAAATAGTGTGCTGAAAGTTTTTGGAGGAAGATGAGGGATGTAAGGAAAATACAAAACAAATTCCAGTACAATAAACACAGAGGTGACCAATATTAAAAACACTTCCATCAAACAAACTATTTCCTTCAACATTATATGCATATTTATATAACAATCAAATGTTTTATTCACTACACATCAAAGTTTTACTCATAAATAAAATTGTGAGCAATATTTTCAAATAATATTACCTGCTTCCCCACCACCATAATGCCCGCCATAGTTTTCTATGAATTAAAAAAAAAACTCTTAAAAATGTTTGTGGATATAAAACAGAAAGTACAATACTAGCAATAGCATTGACCCTTTAGATGGCAAAGTATCCCGTAGGTATTTTATTCAGGGTTAAAGGCAAAAGGAATAACATAAATCATAAAAAGCAAATGGGCATGGATGACCACCACCTACCTGGTGAGACCAACAAAGGAGAGGACGATGGTATTGTGGTGCTTTGGTGAGTTGACACTGAGTGACCACATGCCTTTGATGCCATCCAGCTCAATGGAGGCTTGTTCATGGATACCAATACCATTCCGGATGATTCGTAGCGAACCTTCCTTAAATGCCCCTGAAATTTGTCCTCTATAAATAGGATATTTGCAAGAGATGATAAAATTCAAAATATTATACTTGAAAACCTTCAATGCAATTTTCTCAGGAACCAGACTGACTATCCAGTATGTACCATACTGTACAGTAATCCCGTGTTTTTCGCGTTTTTATCGCAGTTGTGACCATTCGCGTTTTTTTTTTTTACTAAAAAATTATATACAGTATAGTCTGGGTTTACGCGGATATTTTATACGCGATTTGCCATTTACACGGCACCTCTCCAGATGCAGCAATTATTTACACGGTAAATGCCATTATATACGCAGCAAGCGGCGGGCAAGGTGCTGACGTCAGACTCGTGCCGATGACGTCGTGGACTGTGATTGGGCAACGTATCCTTACCACCCACGCACCCCCTCCGCCGCACGCTGTGATTGGTCTCTTTAACCTTGCTTGCCCTGCCACCAGGGCTGATGACCTTGGCCACGCCAAACCTCACTGTCCCCGCGTATACTCACTAGTGCCCAGGAACCGGTTTCGTTTTTTTTCTTTATACACAATGGCTTCCGCTGGACCCCCACCACCCCTGAGAAGACCTGAACTACCTGGCCCAAGGTGGGAGGCAGAGGCAAGCGGTGGCTGGCGAAGCTCAGTCTGTTGCTGTGGCATTGGAGAATGCAAGAGAGGCTGCACAAAGTGTTAGAGCTGCAGGCTTCTCCGAGACCACCAACGAGGACATCCTGGAGGTAATCAGGCAACCTGAGGTGACTGCGGACGAGATGTTGGAAAATGATTACGTCAGTGAGCAGCAAGGTATTACAGAACGACAAGAGCAGAAACTAACACATGCTGATGCGAAGGATGTCATCGAGTTAGCTGAGAGAATGAAGTTCATCCTTGCCAAAGACAGATAATCATCGCTACGAAGTGTCGAATAACCATCTGTTGAAAACCCTGGAGCCCTATGTTCAGCAGTATCACAACCACATCAATGCTAACCATCAACAAAGCATCACCAAGTTCTTCACCCGCCAACCACCGCAGCCAGCCCAAGTCAGTGATAGTGAGGATGTGGACTTCGAGGGGTGTGACGAGGAGGCCCTGCTAGCCTCTGTGGTGGATAGAGATACAAGTGATACAGGTGAGGGCCAATAATCTGCCCTCTGCCTCGGAACCAACCCCCCATCCCCGTGTCCCCAGCCATCTTTTCTACTAACGTAAGTGTTAAAAAACCTAAAATTATTGATATTTCTCTTAAATATTAATTGTGTGTGCATATCATCATAAAATTAAGATGTTATTTTTACTAATGTGCGTATTGTGTCGGCGATAGCCAATAAAAGGGTAGTCTGGCAGTCGGCCCAGTCTCTATTTCAATTAATCCCATATGTTGTTATTTTATTTACGTGTTTTGCTTTATACGCGGACCTCCATGGGTTTAATTAACCAAACCCAGACTATACTGTATACTGTATATATAATATCCTTAAAAAACAAAAATTTAAGTTTTGCGCGATTTTCGATATTCCCGTGCGGTCCGGCAAACAGACGCCACCCTTTCCCGCCGCAGACACCCACTGCTCCGAGAAGCCTCAGTCCACACGTGCCTACTGTACTGTGAACGCTACTGTGATTACCTCTTCTGTTTGTCCTCCCACGTGTATTCCACATGGCTCCGGGACGTAAGCCAGCCTCTTCAAAGGCAAATATTACTAGCAAAGACTCTAAAAGTGACCAAGAGATCAAGAATAGTGATAACCTTAATGGAAAAACAGTGTTATTGGACAAGCTCAGGGGTGGTATGAGCTATGGCTCGAGATGTGGTGAAGATTGACAATTCATTTGTCTTTTGTTAGAATACAAGTCTTCAAGTGGAGGAATGTGGGTGGAAGAGGACTGGCTGGCTGGCGTGACTGCGTGAGGGTGGGCAGACGTCGGGACAGCAGGGAGAGGCTGGCAATGCGGGTGTTGCCGACCTCAGCAAAATAACAAAAAATTATTTACTTGTAAATAAATTTTTTTTGTATATAACTGTGTTTACATTTTTCCATTATTATACTACAATATGATTAGTTTCAAATAATGATGTTAGTAAATGCCGGTACAGTGCATCAATCAGTGTGACCACTGGGCCGTGAGAGGAGAGCATGGCGTGGTTAAGTGCATGACGTACCTGAGCTGTTTGGTGGCCACAGGTACAGTGATTCCTAAAAGAGTATTAGCGGTTTGGGCTTTTCGCGGGGGTTTCAGGAACGTAATTCCCGCGAAAAACACTGGATTACTGTATGTGGGCAGCTGTCCAAGTTATGTAAAGATAGCTAAAATTAGAAGAATGGGTATTGGATAGACTGAAAAAAATAGAGTAATAAATAATGTGAAATATGGAAAATCAGGTGTAGATGATGATGTGACATATAGAAGAATTAAAATTAAATTGTAGATAAGAGTATATATGACCACATTCCAACATGAAACTGCCGTGCAACTTATTTGTCGGTCATCAATGTAGATACTCGAGGCAAATAACTAAACAAACCTGAGCACGTAACCAGCTGTCCTTGGCCTTGTCGCTCCAAGTCAACCACAACCATGTCAACAATGGGCCCCAGATTGTTGAATGTCTGCATGACTGTGACATACTGGCCTGAGGAGTCTGCTTCCGTGTTCAATTTGATTAACTGTGAGTCTCCAAGACGTGATCCTACAAACACCACGCCATTGTCCAAGTAAGTCAAACACTCGGGGATTGAAGTCTCACCTGTAAAGCAAGCACACACACAGAAAATTTTTTTTGTTGATTATTACAAAAAACTATATCACACACAGTAGGACTTTAAAAATGGTTAACCCCTACGCCCCGGTTGACGTTCTGGAACGTTCATCTTGGGGGTCCCGGTTGACATTCCGGAACGCGAGCCTTTTCGCACCATTGTTTGAATGCCCAGCGTGGGTTATCAGTTCCCAGCATGACTATTTGGTGGTCACACCACACACAGGGTAGCGTGGGTGGGCTCAGTGCGGTTAGTACGCATTAGCCTGTAGCCTTAGAGTGTCATCCCTCAACCTCTGACACTAAAAGTAGTGTACGAACAGTAGTTGTATTGTAGTGTAGTATTAATGGAAAATAATGCTATGATTATGTTATAAATGTATTTATTTGTGAAATTATTATTCCGATAATTATTTATATGCATTACTTGCTCTCCCAACCACAAAGACAGCCAGACAGCCTGGCAACAGACTGCGTGGGTGTCGCTGAGCACTTTTTATGAAAAATAATGGAAATAAAATAAATTCTAAATAAATTATTTATAGGAAATAAGTATTATGATCAGTAAATATATGCATTACTGGCCATCCCAGACACAAAGGCAAGCAGATAATGGTCTCTAAGTGCGTAGTGACCACGAGCACTCCCCGTCAAAACAAGCTGTCCTTTTATCTCCCTCGCCACTGCGGCCCCAGGGAAGTTTCTAGAGGGTCAATATATATTTTTTCTTACTATATTTTTATTGTTTTATCATTTAAAAGGATAAAATTTAAAAAAACAAATTTTGGAAAAGTTGATTTTTCTCGATTTACTCCGCGTGGGGGATACGGCCAGCGGCACCCTAGCCCGGGGTGTAGGGGTTAACAATAAAAATAGTTGGTACTGATCAGATGGTATATCACAGAAATCAGAAGGAACTCGATAGTAGTGGTGCAGCAGCTGAGTACAGTACTGGTACAGTATATACAATCATCCCCCATCCAATTTACCTACGGATTCTGCTCATTAATGCATGCTGATGTTTCCATGATATCTAAATGCCCATTCCCTTCACCTTTAAGTATCCTTCACTCCATCCTTCCATCTTTTTAGTCTTCCCATCTCCCTTATGGTATCTACCTATGAATTCTTCCCTCTTCATAAATCTTTCAATTCCCATTCAACCATTATATCCATACCACCTAATCAAACCCTGATTTGCTCTGTACCCAAAACTTCTTTTACTTTCACATGACCTCTTCATCTCTGTATTTCTTATTCTTTATATCATACCTACCCCACACATGGCCCTCCAGCACATCAGTTCTGTCATTTATAATTTACTTCTTCCTCCTACATTCATAATCCATGCTTCAATCCTCAACAATTTCCCTGTAAACCCCCATCTTTCCTCCCTATAGTTCTCCATACATATTTTAAATAATCATCTAAATAACCCACTCTCAGATATTTGAAATACTCAACTTCTTCCATTATACTGAAATCCCACCAGAGAAAATAAAACACAGAAATGAAAACACTGCATCTTTCAACTGTAACCTACTGTACAGTTCTCTTCAGCTGGTTACGGTCGAAATATACAGAACTTATTTTTTCTGTGTTTTTCCTCCTTCTGTGGGATTTCAGTGTTATTATTTATGAAGTATTGAATAATTTCTTCAAGTTCTTCCAATATATTTCATATCAAGATCACTCTTATTTTTCCCCACTTCCCTTCCTGATAAATTTCATTACAGTATTTTGCATTTTCACATCACGATCATCTGTCTCCTAACACATACTCTGTCAAAGTTATTCACTAACATAAGGAACCTTTTTCCAAATTACCCACTAGAACTGTCACCGACAAACAGCAGCTTACTCACCTACAACTCACATCCTATTATACTGATTGTTCACCAAATTTGCACCTCTCTTACTATCCATATGCCAAGCAAATATTAAATAAATATGGTAAAATTACGCATCACTGACAGAACTATGGAAGATAGCAGTCAACAATATACAGTATAAATATATATATAAAATATGAAAGAAAAAAAAAATCTTACCTAGAAGCTCAACTTTGACAACAGCCTCTGCTCGGTCATCTGATTTATCGAGCAGCAGCATAAATAAGCGACCTGACATGTCTCCCAGAAGGTATCTTGAGCCATTGGCATCTACCTTACCATAACACACAATGGTACTTGTCTGTTGGTAATTTTAAATTCAAACTAATTAATAATAAGGTTTAAAAAATTCAAAACAAACCTTTGTTTAATATAATTTTAAAAAAATAGTAAAAGGATATCTAAAAGTTTCTATATGTTAATAATATTTTTATATATGTACAGTATTATTAAAATATTCTGTAATACCTAATTCAGCACATGATATAAAATGAAAGTACAGTACAGTTAACAAAAGACCAGTTTATTAGTGATTCACGGCCACCTGCACGCACACAGTAATGACAACTACATTTTAGTAAGAAGAATCTCTCTGTACAATTCTTTTTAACAGATTTGCAAAAACAAGAGATAAGAGGTTTTAATTAATGTATTTTTCTGACCATTGTAAGCCTTCTTTACTGCTATGATGCAGTGGCCAAAATCTAGCACACTTGTTCTCCATTATATGCCAAAAAATTCTCTTTACCTCACAAAACATATATTCTGCTATGGTATTCCCCTTGTGATCAAGACATAGATACTAAAGTAAATTTCTGAATGCAATATCATGGTTGAAAGACAGTACAGTACAGTACAGTACAGTACACACACACACACAAAAGAGGGAAGATATGTTGACAGATGAAACAGGCACTATTAAATGCTGGAGACATAGCAAATATAGTGTAGTGCTACTGGCCAAGGTCATTGTTTAGTTGCTATCTTGCCACCAGCCTAGCCATATAATAGGCAATATGTCCAACTGGAGGTGTCAAATGACAAAGGTATGTTACCCATGTCATAAGACACCCCCAGTCTGGTTGGGAGACCTATACAATCAGGCAGTAGGTGGGTGGGAGGGTAGATGTTTTGAGAACTGCATGGTGAGCAGGTGTGTCCATGGTTGGAACCACAACTGTGATTAATTAACATCTCTCTCACAAAGAAAGGGGGGTGGGGAGAGGATTCTACAACAACTTTAATGGTTTGAAAAAAAAAAAAAAAAATCCAATCAGAGAGTAAGGTTGGGTTCCCTCCTTGTTCATCTGCCCTTGAACAATACAGTACTCTAATCTGGCTTACATATAAAGAAAATAAAAAATAAAACTATAAAATAAGGAAAATGAAGAGCATAGGTGTGTATGTGTGAGAGGTGAACATGTGTGTGGAGGCAGAGTGAACTGTACTGCCCGCGTCTCTGCCCTTAATGTGATGTGATGTCACATTCTCACACACACACACACACACACTTCTTAGAGTCAGCTCATTGATTGCCTGGTTGAACTGTGTGACATCACCTAGATGATAATTTGAGTGTGGAAGGAGCTATTTTTTGTACACTCGGTAAAAAAAAGCCTCTTTCAGGGGTAGTCTGATAAATCTGGAACTGAACAATTGTGTTGTCTCACTATGGTAGGGAGGCATGATTGTGAGATGTTTCCTACCTATTGTGGTAGGCCTAATTTGGTTATTCCAATCAATATATAAAATTAGTTCGTTACAATGTGATTGGTAAATATCAAAAGCTTCATTTGTGGTGTCATTTTGGTTCACACAAGAATTGTAAAGATAATGTTTTTACCAAGTGTACATAAAATATGTATTATTGTATTTTATGATATGCTATGTATCAATTTTATTGTTTATCATTGCAATTTTTTTTAACAAGGTAGTTATAGTGCCACTGGTGGTAGACACGTGAATGAATGACTTAAGTTACATTTGGATTGTTGGACTAAATTTGAATCTTTACCGAACAGGACAAAAGGGGACAAAGTTGGGATACCTGCAAGATTCAGCTACTGTAGTTGGAATTCGATAAAAGGATTAACACTGTAAATTAAATATAGTTCTGCATACAGTCACCTGTCATGAATGGGAGAGGTTGTTGGGTGTTACGAGAATCAAATTTTACCACGGATGCTGAATATTAATTCTGGTGTCCTCGATACTCTATGGTGCAATATATAGCACCTTATATCCAAAATATTGGAGTGCTACAGCACCCTCCCTTCCTGCGTCCATGTACAGGTACTCCCCGACTTACGATGGGGTTAGGGACCGACATCCAGGTCATAAGTCAAAATGGTCGTAAGTCGGAAATTCTTAAATAACACTTAGAAAATCGAAAATTTGGGTCTCTTTTTCTTCTCAGCACCACAAAACACTCACTTTTAAGCTTGCCAGCCATTTTAAAGTGAATTACAGATGAAAATTTTGTCTGTGTACTGACTTTGGGACTCAAAAACACATAATTTGACCACATTTTGGTATTACTGAGGCGGTCGTAAGTGCGGGTGGACGTAAGTCGAGTCGGTCGTAAGTCGGGGAGTACCTGTATTGGGTGAAGTGAGAGGGGGAGGATAGTGCCGCATACATGAGAGAACTGACAAACCACAAGTGTTTGCGGGAGATGAGGATCTGCCAATGGTCAGTCAAAAAATTTGTATAAAGGGTTAATAATAATTTTTCGTGAATAAGTGAATTTGCAAATTTGAATTTTGCGAATATGTGGAGATAAGTGTACAGTATACTGTACAGTACCACTAATGTGAGGAATAAAACTAAAATTATACTAATAAATAATAGAAACAAAAAAAAAATATTACATTGCCATTTGGTAATTGTGTCACTACACATGGGACACGAGACAGAGAACAGCTGAGACCTCCCACTCCTCTCCCCCTTACCCTGCTTTGTGTGATAACTCCCGTGCACATAAGAAATGCTTATTGCCTTGTTTTTGACCTTATAATATATTGTGTGTGCATGTAACAGTAAAAAAATAGAAAAGTATGTTTCCCCCTGCTCTGTGTGACAACTCCCGCTCATGTAAGAAATGTTTATTCTCTTTATTTACTTGACAATTTTTTTGCACATTCTTTCATGAAAGATTGTGTATGCACGTAAGAGAGTAAAATAAAAAAAAGGAAAGAAGAAAATTATTATGTACGTGCACATAAGAAATTTATATTTCCTTTATGTTTTTTACCTTATAATAATTACTTTTTTTTTTTTTTTTGCATTTTGTAAGAAAGATTGTGTGCGCATGTAACAAGATTAAAATATAATAATTAAGTATGTCTATCTGAAATTACAAGCTGAAAAATGACCTCTCTGAATGCTAACCTATTTTTCTCAGTGAGTTATTAATATTGATATACGATTGATCACCTTACGATGGCTTTTCAGTGTCCCAAACCCAATCGTATAACAGTCAACACCTGTAATAATAAAACAAGCTAGTATCTCATATCAACACATACTCTTTAAATTGTCAGAGACCGCAGCTAATTACATCTTTTATCTATTGTATGGCAGTGGTTCATTCAATTCTACCAAGGATCAGTATTACATGAAGGTGGTTCTATGTACAATACCTTTATAAGTGCCGGAGCAACAGTCACATGAGAAGTGTCTGTCAGGTAGGTGATTGTTTCCTGACCAATAATAATTGCTCCACCATAGGGTTCAGGAACTGCAATTATTGTTGATGCCTCTGTCTCCACGTTGTCTTGCTTCCATGGCATCTGTTGAAGTTCAGAGTCAAAATAATATTTAAAAAATATCTGAGTATATCACCAAGAGTCCAGAAATCTGATAAAGAAAAAAGAAAGGAAAGAATCTCAATTAAAGCTACATCTTCAACTATTTATGCAAGAACTGTTTAGTAATGGCAGCATAATTTCTACACCTCCTGATAACATGAAAGTCAGGAGAAAATGGAGGACCGATGAATGAAATTCCATGTTAAAGCAAAGGGAAGGAGAGAATGACCTGTGATACACCCATACTAGAACACCCCTGCTTGAGCCTAACATCTGATGGGGGGGGTTGATATGTTCCAGTGGTAGGCTGAACTGCCCACAAGATCAGTGTGGGCTGTACAAAAAACTTTTCATCCACTAAATCAGGGTGAAAACAGAGCTTTGAACACCTCATTTAGATGAAGCTTCAAGAACCTGTCAGGCCTCAGGTTTATCATACCAAACCCTACAAAAATTTACCTCTCTTCCCAAACCAGTTAGCAATAAATATGAGACCAATAGCTTTACTATTCAGATCTCATGCCAACTCAGACCCTTACCTAAGGAACAAGAGCAGTCCAAATCTCATCTCTTCCCCTTGGCTATAAAAAGGAATTTCATGCATCATTCTTTCATTTATAGCCTATGGGTCATTATTGAGTGACCTTCAAGATTCCTCACCAGCAAAGAGCAGTGTCATGGTGTACCTATAAAGCACAGTCTCAGCTATGAAAACCAAGCCACAAGAAACCACAGATGACTACTAGTGTTGCCTTGAGCCACACAATCCAGTTTAGAGTTCATCAAGAACTAATGTCTTAATGAAGCGTCTACAAAAATCAAGCATAATATAAAGTTAGGACAGTATCAATAGTAGATTAATCAGGTTTCAAGAAATTATTAATAAAGATAAATCAAAACAAGGGAAGAACTACTGGGTAATATTGGTCCCTTAAATGTTTGAGCTGAATGAATGGAAAATTAAAAAGCTTAAGGTCATGGTATTTTTCATCCACAAGTATCCAGGTAGCCATAAGTTATACACATGTTGTGTTCCTAGAATAGGCTGTTCAGGCAAACCTTACCCCAGTACAGTATAAACAACACTCATGCAAATCCAATTCTTATGGAGCTGGTACCAGTGTCGACAACCTGTTCAGATTATATTGGAAGTGTAAGTACTGTTCAGGTTATTCTAAAACGTTTGCAACTAAGGTATACATGTGTTGGAAACCTGCTCTCATCACAGAGTTAACACTTAGATACAGACTGTAAGAACACAATTTGCATTGAAAAGGATTAATTTAACCTTGAATGAGCTGAAGGTTTAACATGTGAGAAGATGCAAATACCTGTACTCAACCTTCTAATTTACAGTGAAATTCATCAGCTTTTGGCCTTGGAAATTGATTAAAGCAAAAGTGTACCATTTAAGAAAAGATTGAAGTTTAATTCAAGACCCTGCTATCTTGTAGGATTTAATGTGAATGGCTGTGAATACTGGCAAAGATCTGAGTATGAAAACATTTATGCAGCAAAGATGAGCGAAGAAAATATCTTCTTAGAGGTTACATTCTGAAGAACTACAGTGTTTCCTGGTGCCAAGTAAAAAAAAAAAAAAAGTATAAAAAGTGAGCCATTACAAGTAATCTTTCTATGAGATATATTTCATGACCATTGACCAAACCCTGTCATAATAAGGTTAATGCAAAAGTTTAAGGCATTTGGATAAAGAATTTATGGTTGTGGTAAATGGAAGACATATTCTTTATAATGTGCCAACTGATGAAAGCTCAGAGGGCTATGCCATGTATATGTTTGGTTATAATTCTGGGATTAAGGCAATAAATTCAAGACCTAGATAACAGTATACTGGAGTGTTAATTAGGGACAATTACCTAAGTACTGTACTCTATTTATATCAAAATCGTGGTGAGAGTCTGATTACTCACTCTATAACATGGATCCTTGTCAATCATTGTATTATTAAGGTATAAATATAAAGTTTATTGAAAATACCTGCACAGTAATATCTCTGTTAGCAGGAATCCCTCAAATCTGGAACGCTCCGATAGCCGGAATTGAAGTTTTTTGGGGGAAATCGTTCTCAAAGCAGAAATTTTCCGGCTTTGGGAACGATTTTCCGAGGGACACATTTTCGGGAAAATTCTGAGAAATTTTTCCCAATACTCGAAAAATTCCGGGGATTTTTTTTTTGCGGGTTTGAGAGGTGAAAATCAGGCGCATTTTCTGGAAATTCTGAGAAAAAATCTCCATTACCCAGAAAATTCTGTGGATGAGGGATATTTTTCCGGGTTCGTAAGATGATGTAATGGGCAACTTCTGGAACTTCCGAGAACATTTTTCTGTTACCCGGAAAATTCCGGGGAGGAGGGATTTTTTTTTCCTGCTTTGAGACAGTCGTGTCGTTACCCGGAAATCTCTCATTCCCGGAAGTGCTCTGCACCAATTGTTCCAGCTAATGGGAATATCACTGTATTAACAAACCCACATGATCAAGAAGGTAACTTGTGGACACCTTAAAAGTAGTAACCTAAACCTAAGGAAGTTCTTAATTAGAATCTAGGCAATGTTCAAGTATGTGAGATAAATTTGGTGTCTCGTGGACTCTTAAAGTAACCACTGGATAATGGATTTGATGTATTGTATTCATTCTGGTTCATTGGGTAAGAAATTTGTCAGCAGTTATGTTGATCCAGAAGGAACAAGTCAAGCCCCCATTTAGACAGACGGCTCTGTATATTGATGTTCTAATGTAGATGAATCTTAGCGGTCTCACAATAGGCCATAGGCTATAAAAGCCAAATACAAGTGTAAACTTTCTGAGGGGTTGTCCGAGGAAGAGTTAAGATATCATACTTTGTTATTTGAGCACTAAGATACAACACAGAGGTTTTTAGGAGGAACTATGGAAGGTGAATACTGATGGTAAAGGATGCATCAAGGAGCACCTGCAGTGAATCTTTGAAGTCTATGCAATGTCATTCCTGTAGTAAGAGAGGAATTATTGTACACACACCAAATGTTCAGCAAATTATAGACTGCTGGTTAGTGAACACAGATCAATACAGTTAATATCAAGCATACATTGCTGGATACAGTTAATGTTATGTGTAAACAAGAGCAGTACAGATATTAACATACATTTATAAATATACAGCAGTTAATATAATGTATACAGCGATCACTATGCAGTACAGTAATTACCAATAAATGTACACTGATAGGTACAAACTGTACAGGTAATACCAGTAATAAATATATAGAGATCAGTATAATTAATATAAATTAAATTTACAAGTCTTAAAATCAATATAAACATTACAAAAACCACACTATAAATTAAATACAAGGACTGTAATGTAGCAATATCAAGTCGTACAGTTATTAATAGAGAATACCAATATACTGTACCAAATGTTTCATAATGTAAATGAACATCACAGTAGCCACAATAAGCTGCACGCTAACATCTTCATACAACACAACTGGTTCTACATTAGTTCACATTTCTCAAAAAATTTTGAATTTACTATTTAAAAATGTTAAGTGAATTTTTTAGAATATTTCATGAGCACATTACATTTGTTCAAGCAAGTACTAGAATAAACATACCAATATGTGGCACTTTGGTGGTTGGTCTACTAATTGGTCCTGTGAATCAAAGTTTATAATGTAAATTACAGTATTTTTTGCTCTGGCCGTACTCCAGTATCAAGCATTTTGTAACTCTTTGTATTAATGTAAGATTGCTGCTTTTGAATAATAATGTTTTTATTAAAAATAAATAAATGCAGTATGAAGAACAGTACTGAAAGCTGTGCATCCATGTTTCTGCAGTCGTGCCTTCACTGAGTCTTGCGTTCCATAGAAGTTAATATACTGTGTGTGTGTATATAATAATAATAATAATAATAATAATAATAATAATAATAATAATTAACACTGAATTTGGGTACACATATAACTGAATCTAAGACCAAATGTGTAAAACAATAATAACACAAACTACTGTCAGTTTTACTGTCTATTATGTGTGCTTGCATGAATGCATGTATGTCCCTCTTCTAACATCATTACAGTAGTCTTTTTTCTTTGTTCCACATAATATTTACCAAATTATCCCGAGAACAAAACAGAATATAAAGCAGAAGGCACTTAATGTTATTCTTTCGGGTTATGACTCACTGAGGTTCATCTGCTAAAGGACAATGTTTCAGTTCTGTCTCTGCAAAAGGTAAAATTTGAGAGGTAAATTACCACTGTACTGCCCATGTTTTCTAGTTAATTTCACCTAACATGTCTGTCACTGACTATTTACTCATCATCACAGCCACAGGAAGGATGGGTGCTGAGTACCTCCCCCCCCCTCCCGGCTCTTTTTGTGGGAGACACTTATCAATTCTTGGAGATACCCCTTTTACCTTAACCAGTGCCTCTGTTTGCGGCAATCAAGGCACCGCTGAGAATAATTTAAATTGTATTAATCTCAGGGTCAGACCTTGCACTTGAGATACATGATATTCAGTACTATATTTGTCATGGACACATAAGCCTATCTAGGCAAGGACTATCAAAATAAAGCAACCAGGTCATCAGGTCCCTTTTGGTTGACTGGCAGCCATATTTGTATATACAGTAATCCCTCGAGATAACGGACTAATTGGGAGAAGACCACTGTCGCTAAAGTCGAAAATCCGTTAACACCAATTACCCAATAATTATTTTGAACTAAAGGAGGGAAAAGGGAGTTTGAAATACCAGATATACAGTATATTTAGTACAGTACTTTGAAACATGAGATTTTATTAGTTACTATGGTGTAAATTTTAAATACATTCCTAGAAATGAAATATTTTATATTGTTTTTCCATTAATGCTTAAGGTGTTCTCTTAAAAGTTCTGATTACGTACTGAAAAAAAAAATTAATATGAGGTATTTTCTCCATAAATACACACATTAGCCTCTGTTCAGATCACTATATTCACCCCTAAAAGTAACTTGAACTGCAAATTGTAATATCAAAACTTAAAACCGTAGGCATATAATCAGCAATAACAATAGCATATATATTTTACAATAATGAAAGCATAAAAAGAGTAAAAATAATACAATTCAATGTTTACTGGTCATGTTTTTCAATAATTTTCAACTTTTCTATTTTTTCTTTATTACATACGGTACAGTGATCCCCGGTTAACGAACGCCTCGGTTAACGAATTACCTTCCATAAGAATCTTCAATTCGGTTAACGAAATTCTTACGAAATCATGTCAACATGTTGTCGCTTGCTCACCAGCTGGAATATTAGTCCGCCAATACAGTAATCGGTTCTAGGGCTTAAATTCGTTCCCATTTGAGTAAATATCAAGAAGGTTGTACTATTCAATAATTTTCCAAGTTTTATATTAAAAGTTTTAGTCATTTTAACACGAATTTAACATAATTGCAGTACAGGAAACTAGTTTTTGGTAAACCAATCAGCCACTTGACTCACCCACAAAGGCTTCAGTTTGTATCTCTGGTCAGTGGAGGTAACATCTTGCTTGTGGCTCTCTTGAACATAAACTATTTTTACATTTTTACTGTACAATTATTGGTCATTCTGAAATTTATTTTACATATTGACAATATATAGTGCAGTGGTGTTGATTTAAAGAAAATAATCTTGAATTACACCTAGTGAACTAAAAATTTTATAGGTGAAATGACGGCATGAAGCATGGGGTGATTTCTCTTCCACCCCCACTTCTAATTCCCATCAACATCATCAACCAGAAGCCTTCTACATACACACCTCAAAGTAAGTGTACTTTACCGCATTTATTTTTACTTTGTATGTAATTTTCGGTGAGCTGGAACCAATTACCCAAAATCCCATTGAAACAGTGGTTTCGATTAACGAACGACCTTCTGGAACGAATTGTGTTCGTTAACCGAGAGACCACTGTACATCTAAAAGACAGTATACATATACAGTATATATATATATATATATATATATACATATATACAGTATACATATATATACAGTATACATATATATACAGTACATACATATATATACATATATACGCACTGGACAAATATTTTGGATTCATTTTATACCGAACCCCCCCGATACCAAACTGGCTGCTCACCAATTATTTCGGTATAGAGAGATAATACTGTATAACCATATGTAGATAACCAGCTGTCACTGTATGATGTTGTCTGCTATGAATTACCCAGCTGGGACACTATACTACAACTGAAATATTCCAATGTATGGTGATCACAGTGATACACCCAGCTGTGATTGGGATCCTTCCCTACCAATTCATACACACAGTCAGTCACCCCTCTACAGATATATTAAAAAACTGGAGAATTCATTCTAGCAAACACTTCTTAACTGTAATACAGTATTTCAATTTGAATACAAATATTTAAGATGGATGTGCAGACAGATGGACAGACTCTGCTGGGTGGATGATTAGAACACAAAGAATTAAAGATCTAAACCTTACTCACTACATAATTTCAACTACTGTCTTACCTTGGAGAATTCTTTTTCTTTCAGAGAGATCTCATGCGTTTTGATATGTCTTCCATGAGTGTCTTGGTATATAACAATTATCGTTGGGTTTGAACAACCATATAAAAATTCTATATCTTGGATCTGAAGTTCATCCACTCTGGAAAAAAATTAAAACTTTCAGTAATGTCAATAACATCAAAAGCAATATTGAAGTTAGAAAAGTCAAGTATTCTGTTATACTATACAGTAGGTAAGCTTAAGGGGCATACCTGAGGTTCAAAGTTGGCCTTATCATATGTTTTATTTATAGTTTATCTATAGACCTAAAAATAAACCCTAAATAACCTTTAAAACTTTTTGTACAATAGGTGCTCTACTGCATTACATTCCATAAATTATCTGTCTGTAACTATCAAACATTCCTTCACAATACAACCCAACATACTTACTCCATCATATAATATCTATTCCATACTTTTATATCTATTCCACCTTATTACATATATCTTCATATTATTGTACATCTGTTCTTCCCTGGTCAAATTAGAATAGGATGTGTGTAAAAGACATATAAAATACACAAACTTACCGAATATTATATGCCTTCAGTTCATTGTTGTCCTTGTCAAGTGGGATGACTTTAATAAGGCCCTCGTAGAGACGCAAGACAATGCACCGAGCTTGGGGATCAACAATGGCAATCATTCCCGTCTCGCATGGCTTACCTGTCAAGGGGTCAGATTTGGTATGGTTAAATTTGATTGGGTATTATTAAGTTAGGTGAGCTTAGGTTGACAATGATTAGCATAAGTTAAATCAGGTTAGGATTTATTCAAAGTGGGCTCAATAGTCCTGCCAATTTGAAAGGTGGTGTGGACACAGTACACTGATTGCTAACTTTTCAGTGCACAAGGAAGCACTACATTTAACCATATTCATTTCCTAACTGTAACCATTCACAGCTAAGTGAACTGATGGTACCCTAGGCATACCCCATTGATCAGGTTACAAGCACTGTACCCAATCAGCAGCAACATGCCAGGTTGGTTTAATTAAGTTTGGTTAAGGTTGCACTGAGTAGTAGATCATAGGCAGTTATCAAACAGAGAGTTACTACTGCCTGGAAGATATTGGAAGCATAATGTGTTGTCTAACAGTAGACCCTGCTACCATATGGCATCACCAAATTTTTTACCAATTCCCAGGTTGCTGATCTGACTGACTTTCTGCCTCATTTACACAATTGCAGGGTCTCAATTGTTTCTCTTACTTTTTCCACTTCTGTATTTATTTATGGTTCAATCCCCAGTGTGGATCAGTGACCTGTGACTGGGTGGTAATCCCTGTAAAAAAAAAAAATAAACAAATAAAATAAATAATTAAAAAAGAAAAAAAAAACAGGAGAAAAAAAAGACAAAGGATGAATCAAAATGTTAAAAGTGACACATAACGCAGCTAAATATTGTTTCCTTCATGAACACAAAGAGGAATGAAGTCAACTGCACAGGCCTACTAATAACAACAAGAGGTACAATGATGCGCATCCCTTCATATTCCACTTCTGTTATACGTGTTAATACATTATAATGACTTTGTGGAATATGTTAAGATACTGTACATTCCCAACATGGCTTCACAAGGGAGAATTCATTTCTGACTAATCTATTAATATTCTTTTCAACTGTTTTCGAATCAGTGGATGAGAGGCATGATTATTTTGTGGTATACCTCGAATTCAGCAAAGCCTTCAACAGAGTCCCCCACGAAAGACTAATACGAACAGTGGAAGCTCACGGAATTGGAGGAGATATTCTAAAATGGATTCGGGCATGGTTTCAGGACTGGAAACAGCGAGTAAGCATTAACGGCACTAAATCCGATTGGGGCCGTCACTAGTTGAGTACAGTTGGGTCTTCATTTACGCGGTCAATTGAACCCGCGGAGTACTGCGTAAAACGAGAAACGCATAAATGAAATAACAGAACATATGGGATTAATTGAAATAGAGACTGGGCCGACCCCCAAACTCCACTTTTTCCGACACAATACGTGCTGTACCTTGTTGTCAAAATAACATCTTAATTTTATGATGGTATGCACACAATTAATAATTAAGAGAAATACCAATAATATTAGGTTTTTTAACACTTACATAATAGAAAAGATGGCTGGGCACACGGGGATGGGGGGCTGGTTCCGAGGCAGAGAGCAGATTATTGGCCCTCACCTGTATCACTTGTATCAATTGTATCACTATCCACCACAGAGGCTTGCAGGGCCTCTTTGTCAAACCCCCCAAAGTCCATATAAGTCCATATCCTCACTATCACTGACTTGGGCCGGCTGTGGTGGGTGGCGGGTGAAGAACTCGGTAATGTTTGATGACTGGGCAACCTTGTGCACACCCTGCCTGCGCCGCTTCCCGCGTAAATGACCAAATTTGCGCGTAAATCAAGCATTTCAATTCTGGCAAGGCACCGCGTAAATGACAAAATGCGTAAACCAAAACCGAGTAAATCCAGACTCAACTGCACTCCAAGTCTCAGTACTTGGGACCATTACTATTTATTATATACATAAACGACATAGATATACTGTAGGTGTACACTGCAGCATAAGTACATTTACTGACGACACTAATATAGGGTGTGTAATTAAATCTGACGAGGACTCCGTAAAACTACAGGAAGATCTAAACAAATTTTTTGCATGGTCTGAAAAATGGCAGATGAAATTTAATGTGGACAAACGTAATGTACTTTGTCTAGGAGAGGTAAACAGACAAACCAGATATCAGATGAATAACGTTGTTATAGAGAAATCCGACTGTGAGAAAGATTTAGGTAGTACAGTGCAACATCAAAAATTCAAATTGCATGGGCCCATGAAGTATACGAATTTTAGATGTATGGAAGCACCAGAGCAAATTGTTGTATCAAAACATGCAACAAACATTATTTACATATCTGAAAACTGTCAATAAACAATAGGTATGATAAATTAAAAGTATTACTGTATTTATATTCAACAACATTTATTCTAATATGAAACTTTAAATATGTGACTAAAAGCCTTTAGGTGAATACTACATAAATAGTTTCTATACAAAATATTGTACAGTACTTTTAAATTGTAATTACTATCATATACGTGTGAAAAAAATTAAAAGTCGGTTAAATATACGAGACATCAAGAAATCATAAAATTATTAATGGAATAAACATCAGTAGGCTGGCATCTGTCGTGTCACTACTCTCCTCCCCTACCCTCTGCTACGTACGCAACTCTAAAGATGATGTTGAGTTGCCATGTATGTGAAAACTTTTAGAACATGTTTTAGAAATTATATAGTTAAGCTAAAATAAATTATAAATCAAATTATAATTCGACAAAGGGAAAACATGAATATTAAATAATACTGTAAGGATTGTATATTTACCTTAAATTTCTGAGCTTGAACTGTTTATTGGTCCCGTGAAACATACTTTTTCTTCTTTTCCACACTGCATGCTAAACTATCAAGTGAACGCTTATTTGATGCCATTATAAGGGTGAAAGTTGAATTTTAATAAAGTTAACCACGGAGCACTTGTGAGACAACCACCACGAGACACGGAAGGGTAAACAATGCTTGACCTAGCATATCTTGCAACCCGGATGTGCTTGTTGTGCTCAGCAATATGATCGCATTTGAAAGCTTGAATTATTATGGCAATATTTTCAAATTTGAAACTTAAAATTTTGGCACTTATTTTTAATCAGATTCTATTCGAATTTTAGATGTATCCGAATTTTAGAGGTTTCACTGTAATGATAAGTAAGAATCTCAAACCAAGTCAACAATGTGTATTTGCTCAAAACAAGGCTAACAAAGTATTTGGGTTCATACAAAGGAGTGTTAGTTACAAGACTAGCAACTTCAATAGCAAGGTTATCCTAAAACTATATCTTGCGCTTGTGAGACCTCACTTGGATTACGCGGTTCACTTCTGGTCACCGTACTACAGAATGGATATTGAATCCCTAGAAAGAATTCAGAGGAGAATGACAAGACTAATCCCAGGCATTAGGAACCTTGAGTACAGAGACAGGTTAAAGCATTTAATTTGCACTCCCTCGAGAGACGTAGAATGAGGGGCGATATGATCGAGGTGTATAAATGGAAGTCAGGGCTAAACAAAGGTGATATAACAAAGGTACTCCAACTATCCAACCAGGAGCGAACTTGGAGCAATGGTTTTAAATTATACAAATTTAGATTTAGGTGCAAGATAGGTAAACAATGGTTTGGAAATAGAGTAGTGGATGAGTGGAACAAGTTACCAAACATCATCATTAACTCTCAAATACACTTGATAGCTTTAAACATAGGTTGGATGGATATATGAGCAATAGGGGTTGGGTGTAAATGGGACTGCCCAGTATGGGCCAATAGGCCCTCTGTAGTTTCCTCCATTCTGTTCTTATCTCTCCTTACAAAGTTTCAATTATGTAGAAGCACGCACGCACGAACAATGTTGTCTGAAACTTCATTAGCGAGGGGATACAAATATTAAGAAAAGTATGAAGTCGTAAAATATTAGGTTCAATCTGTAATGACACAAACTCAAACTAACCAATTTTATCTGCCACATTTCCATAAGCACGGGTGAGAATTTCAAGATGTTCTCCGTCGCCAACACATTCTAGGATCATGGCACAATATCTTGTAGTTAAGATGAATAGCAGATCTTTGGTCTCATTCTGAAAAATATCACCAATTTATACAAAAGCATAATCACTTACTCTCATTCTTCTTATCTACAGTTCTGTACATTTTAAGTAGGAAGCTAGAAACACATGCTATAAGGTAGAGGTGTACTAATGGAGGGCCCAGCAGGGATACTGTGGGCACAAACATTATGAATACTACTGTAGTTCTGTTAAACTGGGATTTTGCTATTCTATTACTCCAGGATAACACTACATATTAATTATAGAAACAAGTACCGTACAAGCTGTAGTAACACTTTTTAATTATTATTTCAAACCAATGGAAAAATATATGACTCCAACTGAGAGGTGTACAGCAATGTAGCAAAGGGTTGCTTATAAATATAAAGGCTGAATATGAAAAATACAATACAATACTGTACAGTACAGTATTGCATGATTAAAGAGGGTCTTCATATTATCTATTTCTTATCTGCTAATATGTTTTTTAGAATAGACCAAAGAATTAATTCTTCCTGAGTAGCAGCTTCTATGAGCATAGTAATCTTTTCAAACTTCCTCCAACCATCCGCTAACACATTTCTCAATGATCTGTATTTAAGCCCTCTTCCCTTAAAAGAAAATATATACATGTATATAAATAAAAAAAAAATAAATAAATAAATAAAAATGCAAGTAATCACGGGAGATTCTTAAAACAATTTCTGGTGCCACATTTGTAGCATGGTTTACAAACTTTTAAGAATCTGAACCCTGATCATGAAATATATAATCTACAGACTCATCTCTCTCACTCACTCACCTAATTATTGGTTAAGCTTACTTCCACTTTACCCTCAGTGACCCTTTGTCCCTCCCTCATTCACTATCAAACCTAGGAAGGTGAGTAAGCTAGCTCTATGAATGCCAATCCTGACCACCAGAATGATAACTTAAGAAATTATAAAACTTTTTGATAAGCTTGTACTGATACAGTTTATGACTGGCGTTTGGTAAGTTATCAAAGCATTAATTTACCTAACAATACCAAGTCAGAGATATGAGATGTAGGGTCACAGTGCAGGCTTGGAGAATCACAGTGGTGTACTGCAACTTGTAAATAAAATATAACACAATTTATGAAACATGAACTGAGGTAAAAGGAACTGGAGTGTTGAAACGGTAACTTGCTTTGAGGTGAGGAAAAGTAAAACAGTACATCAGGGAAAGACCAGAATATGGCATGAGACAAGTGAATCAAGATGGGAGGATTCATATAGGAAGGTTGGCTGGAGGGTTTTCTGTTGTAGTCATCCCCTTTAAGAGGAATTTTCAATGGGGTACACACTGTCAAATATAGTACAAGAGATAAGCTAACTACTATAAATGGCCTTAAAATTGACTATAAAATACTTCTTACCATTGGGGTGAAGAGATGCATACATGCAATCTTGCCATATATAGGGAGTTCCTTGAGGGGCCTTAGTCCCTCCGGTGTTACCAGATGAAGCTCGACCCTGTTGTTGCGGGCCACCACTAGATTTAGGTCAGTGGCTGATGTCAGGTGCCCTGCCAACAGAAAATCCTTGTGACATATATGACTTTATACTTATCTTCAGTACAGTACAGCACTGTATTGTAAACTGTATAACAAACGTGTTTCCGAGCATTTATAAAAGAATGGTATGTGATGAATGTGTGAATGGGGGAGGATGTGTGGAGGATAGCATATGGAAGAGGGTGCATAGAGGATCATGTAGTAGGTAGGTAGTAGGCAGCTACCAAACAGGGAGGTACTACCGCCTGGGAAGATATTGGAAGCATAATGTGTTGTCTAATGGTAGACCCTGCTGCTGTATGGCATCACAAAAATTGTGACCAAGTCCCAAGTTGCTGATTTGACTTTCTGCCTCATTTACACACAATTGCAGGGTCTCAATTGTTTCTCATACTTGGACAACACAACATACATATATTGTTTCTCACTCTTGATTTATTTTTTTCGTTTTTGTATTTATTTATGGTTATTATTTTTATTATTTTATTTTTATCTTTATTAATTTGCTATTACAGTACTGTAATTTTATTAATTGTTGTAATAATAATACTGTAGATATTAGTATCATTATTATAATTATTATATTTTATAATAGTTTTGCCCCCCCCAGGCCCTGATGTGGGTCATTACCTGTGCCCAGGTGGGCTAATCCCAGTTAAAAAAAAAAAAAAAAATATGTATGGAGGGCAATAAATGAATGGAGGATGGTACGGGTGTGGATAATAGTCATAAGGTCATAAAAGATACACAGTAAGTCCTCGTATAACGTCGCCCCTCCTTACGTTATTTCAGTACACCTGTATTATGTCACTACTCTTTAGATACCAATAATTCGTTTAACGTCCCGACGACTCAATTTAACGTCGTTTCTGCGTCGTCACGGACTACTTTTATGGTGCATCACCCTCTCTCGTCTGGCCATGCTATGCTCTCTCAGCTCGGCGTGCTACCTCTCACTAGCGGAACGTCACAGCGTCCCCAAGAGACACCAGGCCAGTCTCTGTTGCGCTTCCACATCATTCGTGTGTGCTTATGTGTTTTTGCTCTAAATACTGTACTATAACCATTCAAAATGGCTTCCAAGCACCCATCAAGTGCTACTGATGCTAGTGTTGCGAAGAAGCAACATAAGACCATTAGCCTTGCTACGAAAATGGAGGGAAATTATTTGCCTGAGCAAATATTTAATGTGGCCTAAACTGGCTTATTATGGAAGCGCATGTCAGAACAGACATACATCCACAGAGAGGCGAAAACAATGCCAGGATTCAAGGCATTCAAGGACCGAATCACACTTCTGTTGGGGGAATGTAGCTGGTTTCAACATAAAGCCCTTCATGATATATCATTCAGAGAACCCAAGAGCTTTTAAACATGTCAGCAAGCACACACTGCAAATGTTTTATCGCAGTAATAAGAAAGTATGAATGACCCTAGTACTGTTTGAGGATTGGTTCCTGGCTTGTTTCATTCCACGAGCCTGCAACAAGGGATTGCATTCAAGATTTTTTTAATTTTGGATAATGCTCTGGGACACCCACCACACCTGGACGACATGCACCCTGATGTTAAGGTAGTGTACATTCCACCTAACACTACCTCTATCATCCAACCCATGGATCAAGGTGCTATTGCTGCTTTTAAAGCGAATTATTTACGTACGACCTTTACTAAGGCTGTTGCTGCTACTGAAGGTGAGAAAACGCTCTGAGAGTTTTGGAAGGAGTACAACATTTTGAAATGTACAACTCCTCCCCGACTTACGACGGGGTTAGGGACCCAAATCCAGGTCATAAGTCGAAATGGTCATAAGTCGGAAATGCTTAAATAATACATAGAAAATCTAAACTGGGTCTCTTTTTCTTCTCAGCACCACAAAACACTCACTTTTAAGCTTGCCAGCCATTTTAAAGTGAATTACAAACGAAAATTTTGTCTGTGTACTGACTTTGGGACTCGAAAATACGTAATTTGACCAAATTTTGGTACGACTGAGGTAGGTCATAAGTGCGGGTGGTCGTAAGTCGAGTAGGTCGTAAGTCGGGGAGGAGCTGTATAAAGAACATAGCTGGAGCATGGGATGAGGTTACAGGTCAGTGCATGAATGGAATATGGAAGAAAGTCCTGAAAAGATATGTGAACAGTTTCAGAGGATTTAATGAAGATGAAGTAATTTCTGCAATTAGTAACAAGATAGTGGAGTTGGGTAAACACCTTGAGTTAGACATCGATAATGACGATGTTGAGCAGTTGGTTGAAAGTGTAGCAGAAGAGCTCAGTAATGAGGATCTTATTGAACTGGAAGCACAGAAAATTGCAGAGGAAGAAGAGTCAAAATGTAGAAGAACCTGCACCCCCAAAAAATTTTCAGTGAAACAAATGGCAAAGGCATTTGCTACAATTAATAAGGGGATGCAAATGTTTGACGGAATGGATCAAAATGTTGAGTGTTTTGCAAAAGTTGACAGAATGATCCAAGATGCACTTGCTTGCTACAGGGAGATTTACAATGAAAAGAAAAAGCAAACTGTGCAGTCTAAATTGGACATATATTTTAAGAAGTCCCCCATTGCTGTCTCCTCACGCCCCACCAGTGCTGCCTCTTCACCCCCTTAAGATGATCCAATACCTTCAACAAGCAAGTTTCCCCTGTATGTTAACCTGTCTGAAGAAAGTGACATTGATGACCCACCCAGCCCTGTCTCCTCCTCAGTTTCATCCAGTTAATGTAGTCTCCATGTATAATTAAAATATTACGGGGGCCCCGTGTGCATTCAGCTGACTACATTAAAGGTAAGAGTACAGTAACACTATTCATTCTTCATTATTGATTACTGTATTTCATTTTAGATTTTCTAAGTATTATTTTTTGCATTTTCGACTTCCGACCAATTCAACTTACGACCTGGATTTGGGTCCCTAACCCCGTTGTAAGTCGGGGAGGAGCTGTATTTGGTTTCTTTATATATACGTATAAAATTTTCTATAAAAATGGCATTGAATTTCTGTATATGTAATGTATTTCATGGGGCAAAGGGAGGCTCAGGAACGTAGCTCCCGTATTTTATCTATTTCTTTTGGGGAAAATTGAACCGCTTAACGTTGTTTCGTATAACGTAGTGTTTTCAGGAACCTAACCTTGATGTTAAGCGAGGACTTACTGTACAGTAAATATCAAATTATGAGAGAAATTAAGGTACCCAGGTTGACGATCCCTTATCCAAAATCCTTGGGGCCAGAGGCATTTTGGATTTTGGAATTTTTCGGTTTTCAGAATGGTTAGTTTTTTTAACGTGCATTAGCCCACCCGGGCACAAGCATAATCTGTACATCCACATATACAGCACAATACTGTCCAGTGTCAATGCATGCAAACCTAACCCTGGTATAAATCAATGCAAACAAATACCCCTGTACTTGATTATGAACCTCTTTGCTGGATACTTGACTTGTTTTTTCTTCAACTCCTCTCTTAAGTTTTTCCTCCATTCTTTGCTTAAAGGTGAGATCTGGCCTGATATACACATTTTCTGCAGTATCATTATGGGTCTCTTAATATCTCTCTTTTCATTAAGACATCTTTCCTCTCTTTTGCTTCACGAAAGCACACCTTAATTGGTTAATTTTCATCTTTTCTTCCTAAATCTGTGGTTTAATACCTGTAACACTGACTCCAAGTTAACTAAGGATTAGTCTTTTAAACTTCTAAGTATCCACTGAAGAATCCTCTGTTGTCCTCTCATCAAGTTAGTATTCAATTTATCCTCTTAGATTCTGCGGCAGCTCTCTCCTGAATCTCTTGCCTGGCAGTAGTGGAGACATTACAATTTAAAAACTTTTTACCTTCATCCTCTGTGATGCCTGTGAAAGATTTATTAGCCACTACTATCTTGTAATTCACCATGGCTATGTCATTCTTGATGTCATTATACCTCTCATCCATTTTAAATTCTGTTGCAACTAACCTTGCCTCCATCTCCTGTTTCTTCTCAATCTTAGTGACATGACTCAACACTTTCCCTGCCAAAATATTACACCTTCCACAATACAGTGCCAATGAAATAATGGCTCATTATTTTAATGTTCTTATTGATATTATTACAGGAAATGTGGGTAAACATGGAGAACATAGTTAGCAGTAAAGTTATGGAATTGAACCAAAATTTCTAGATACAGTACTAATTGCATGAAACCATACACAAATATGGAAATGACAATGCACAGAACCTAACAGAACCTGACCTAACCAACCAAACCTACCTAACTTCCTAACGGGGGCTTTGCCCCCAGCATAATAAGCAGAAAGAACTTTGATATCTGATACCAATGAAAGCAACTTTCTTGAAGTGGCATTGTGTAAGTTTACATTTATCGGTTGTTGCACTGAAACACACATTTCCTCTTCACTGTCAGTTCTCTGCCGTAATTTGATCACTGCACGTCCCGCCAACTATTACATGTTAACAGATAAACTCTTGGAAACAGTCTTCTTCCTCCACAAGCACACATAGCTTGCGAAACAATAAAGAACAACCCGCCTTAAATACTGTATGTAGTTAAATTCAAGATGGCGAGCTTGTCTCTGAGTCTGACCCCTTGAGGAAGAACAATAAGTATAGTATAGGAACATATAGTCACTTAGAAAGCAATTATATTTCAAAGAAATCTGAAGTGTATCCAAGCTTATAATATGGGATTCGAATCCAAGTAAGTGATTCTCATCATTTATACACAGAATAGGTTTAAGCACCTATTGCACCAAAAGAAAAAGAAAAAAAAGATTTACGCCAACAATACAGGAAAGAATCAAGAAAGTGAAGCCTAAAACATGAAACACAAAAGACAATCAAGCCAATATTTATGATAATAAAACCTCCGATGTGACACTCCATCGCTTAAAGATAACCAAGACCAGATTCAAAATTTATTAGCTTAAGAGTAAATAACAAAACATGGCACCACGAGAGAAATTTTGCCAAAATGTTTACGGTAAATAATTAATCAATGTAATCCTGGGGCACATGGCTAACACCAGAATGCGTTATTCAATTTCTATTACTGTATTTTTTCCACACATGTTCTTTGGATGAAAGTAAAAAAAAAATAAAAAAAATATGACACTACACAGACCATAATAGAACCTGTAATATGACCCGACCTAAGGAGATTGCTATCACCAGAATCTGTTGTTCGATTTCATTAATTTTTTTGCAAATGTTCTGTGGATGATAAAAAGTAATAAACGCAATATGAAAATCCAGAGAATGTGAAGAAATTAATCATTTACCGTAAATATACAAAAAATAAATCTGCCATGTCGGCGCATGTTGTCATGTTTCAGAGCAACAAAAATTTAAAAATTACACCATGCCATTTCAAGAAAGTTGCTTTCATTGGTACCAGAAGTTAGGTAGTTTTCTTTGGTTGGTTAAGTTAGGTTCTTTTAGGTTCTATGTATTGTTGTGTTTTTTTTGTTTTTTTGTTTTACTTACTATCACCCAAAAAACATCTGTGGAAAAAATGAACGGAATCTGCTCCAAGATTTTCTTAATTACTGCCGTATAATGTTTTGTGCCAATTTTTCCACAGCATTCCTCATCTTTTATAACCAGCACACTAAAGATGATTTACGATTGCAGATAAGAGAAAAAATAATTAAATAAACAAATACTTAAAACAGTACCTGGAAAATATGAGTGAATTATATAAACACCGTCGGGTGCTAACCGTCTCCTCCACTTTTACCAAAATGTGATACCAGAATTCACCAAGGTTGGATAAATCATTAAGATGAAGCATTATTGTATATAATACTTCATCTTTATGATTTATCCAATTCATTGCAAGTACCACAGCTATTTGACATATCCGAGGCATTGTAGTCATGTTTACCTCAAGCCAGCTGGTCTAACCTGGCCGCTCGCTTAATATCACCGTAAGTTAATACAAATTGTTGTAATTCTACTCACACCTTATTATTACTATTCTTACAATGCCCTCTACATGAAGCTTCCCAAGTCAAATTCAGCTCCGGTTATAACCGTTTTCCAATGTTTTCAATCGATCTTGATCACAACACACCAGCTGGTAATTCCAAACATTACTCAGGTTATGTGAGCCTAAAAGACACTTCTCACTGTGGACACTTTTGTATTACCAAAGATACATACAGTATCTGGTTTTAAATCAGAGATTGTAAACCAAAATTCTGAAAGTGATCCCCTTTAAAATAAGTCATTACAGGTATTCAACTTTTTTCTATGCAGTGGATATTTTGCCACGACCGGCTAAGTTCCTATTAGCACTATTTTACCGTGAGTGCGTTCTGATTGGCTAAGTAGTTTCTGTTTAATATACCGGGGAATCCGGGAAGGCGGAGCCCCCTCGCCAGAAGTTAGGTATGATTAGGTAAGTTTGTTTGGTTAGGTTGGTGAGGTCTTCTAACAATGTTTCTGCTGCTTGTTTTTCGTATCAATTAAGGTTAGGTTATGATTAATTTAGAAATAACCACTTTTAAACACATTTGCATAAACAACGACACTCCACTGTAAAACATAGTGAAATTGCGGCATTTTTATAATCAATTTCTATGAAAAATCGGCCGCGGGTCAGTCATCAATAATTACCGGCTCCACTTCCTCAACAGGGTAGTCCAGGTGTTAGGATGAAACTTGACAAGGAATGTGGAGGACCCAGCCAGAGGAAGCTCACAACAGCCATCTCTTGCAAGTTAATTTAAGATTTATCGGTTACCTCTACAGTTACACGGAGTGTGTATTTTTCTTCACACCACAAAATGCATAAGTAGATTGTGGTTGTATAGTTATAATATAGTTACAACAGAAATAAACAAGGCATGGTGGAGGTCACAAGACTGTTAACACCTGCCCAATTATCCGAGGAACACAGGCGTTGTTGGGCAGGACAGTGGTTCACATACTGACCTGTGGCACAAGCTGTGACTGCTGTAGGTTTGTGGGCGGTAACGACATAGTTATAAGCTGCTGTGGCCATCATCAATATGTGGTGTTTAGAGCGTTACATTACTACGCTCTCGTGCGGCAACAACCTACACTTAAGCCCCAACTTTATCCGGCTCACATTCCAGTACAGTCTCCTAATATATACATTCTCCTCTCCACATTTATGATATTTATCCCAATTAATTATTATTAAAAGTAAAATTATCATTAATAGAATACAAATTTTATACTACTTATTGTCCTGTGAGTTTTTATATGTAAGATATAAATCAATAATATAAATAGTTTTTAAGAACTCGCCTTAATTATGGCGCGAGTCAAAACAAGTATGGCAACACACGCCTGGGTACCGTCCTGTGGCAGTCAAGGATGGCAACACACGCCTGGGTACCGTCCTGTGGCAGTCAAGGATGGCAACACACGCCTGGATACCGTCCTGTGGCAGTGGGTATGGCAACACACGCCTGGGTACCGTCCTGTACCGTCCTGGGTGTGGCAGTTTGCAGGATGGCAACACACGCCTGGGTACCGTCCTGTGGCAGTCAGGATGGCAACACACGCCTGGGTATCGTCCTGTGGCAGTCAAGTATGGCAACACACGCCTGGGTACCGTCCTGTGGCAGTCAATATGGCAACACACGCCTGGGTACCGTCCTGTGGCAGTCAGGCATGGCAACACACGCCTGGGTACCGTCCTGTGGCAGTTGGCGATGCATTGGGTACCGTCCTGTGGCAGTCAAGGATGGCAACACACGCCTGGGTACCGTCCTGTGGCAGCATGGCAACATTCGGGTACCGTCCGTGGCAGGTATGGCAACACACGCCTGGGTACCGTCCTGTGGCAGTCATATGGCACACACGCCTGGGTACCCGTCCTGCGGCAGCCGGGCGATGGCAACACACGCTCGGGTACCGTCCTGTGGCAGCCGCGCATGGCAACACACGCCTGGGTACCGTCCTGTGGCAGTCGGGATGGCAACACACGCCTGGGTACCGTCCTGTGGCAGTCAAGGATGGCAACACACGCCTGGGTACCGTCCTGTGGCAGTCAAGGATGGCAACACACGCCTGGGTACCGTCCTGTGGCAGTCAAGGGATACTTAGCGGTTGGTATACACTGTAATACACCAGACATGGGCAACCTTACCTCAGTCATGAGCCGCATTACGATTTAGGTATGTTTCTGCGGGCCATCCCACCAAAATTTATATCCTACCTAACCCAAAAATATTGTTAATATCGCATTAGCACGGACAGTGAAACAGTGTATCGTCATGTCAGGGGCGTATACGCCCCTGACATGACGATACACTGTTTCACTGTCCGTGCTAATGCGATATTAACAATATTTTTGGGTTAGGTAGGATATAAATTTTGGTGGGATGGCCCGCAGAAAAATACCTAGTCCAAGAAGTTGTGGGTGAGAGAACATGAGCCCAACGAACCCACCCAGCTGGTTTTTTTTTTGGGGGGGGGAGGCTGTAACCTCACCCTGATTTTTGTTTAATTCTGACCAAATTTATGGGCATTTTGAGGCCATGTAAAACTTGATATTAGGAGATATTCTGAGGTCAATGGTAATTACTTTTTATAATACAAAAATGCCTGTGTACAATAGTGCTTTATTGATATTGAAATAGTTTATTTTGCCAGAAAACACAGATACAGAGTGGATAATAATAACAATATTAACATGGCTGAGCCAGTTGAGACCCTGAGCTCTCTTGAGGCACCTGATAAATAATGTACATTTATCTCAAGGAAGTATATACTGTAACATTTTGTATCATCTACAGTAGAATGGGAAACGTAACTTGGTGGTATTGTTACCACAGTTATCACTTAATCACTTATTTATTTTTTTACATTCATAAGTATATACATATTTTACAGTGGTATTGATATGCATAAATATGACAAGGGAGGGAAGCAGTTCAACATGGGTTGTATTTAAGTGAAAAAAGAGGACGGAGTTTCAGTATCACGTCTAGTCGGCAAACATAATTATTGCAATGGTAATTTTCTGATGAAAAGGGGGGTCTGGATCCTTCTGGAACCGCCCCCTGCACGTCCACCTTACGAAAGTTTCAGTGAACTATTTATGAAACAAATTCATCATTATAATTTTTTAAGTAAATGTTAATGTTTCTTGGCATTTAACAGAGGATGGGTGAAGTAGCCTGTGAATACGTTGTTTTTTCCTGCAGTTACGGAATTTTTCATACTTATGAGACACACCGACCAGAATAATGCCATGGTGCATGAGGAACTACAATGAAATAACGTACAGGGGAGATATGATAGAGGTGTTCAAGTGGGTAAGTGGGATTAACAAGGGTAAAATGGAAGATGTTCTGAAGCTCAGTAATAACGAAATAACTAGAACAAATGGCTTTAAATTAGATAACTTCCGATTCAGAAAGGATATAGGCAAGCACTGGTTTGGTAATAGAGTTGTGGATATGTGGAATAGGCTACCGAGTGCTATAGTAGGATCGGGGACGCTAGGGAGCTTCAAGACGAAGTTGGATAGGCACATGGAAGTGCTGGGATGGGTGTGAAAGGGATCTGCCCTGTATGGGCCAGTCGGCCTCCTGCAGTATCCCACTTTCTTATGTTCTTATGTAAACCTAAACTTATCCAACTTGAATCCGTTGCTCCGAGTCCTATCCTGCTCGGATATTATAAGAACTTTATCTATATCCCCTTTATTGATTCCTTTCACCCACTTAAATACTTCTATCATATCTCCCCGCACTCTTCGTCTTACTAGGGAATGCAAGTTAAGTTTCTTTAACCTATCCTGATATGGAAGGTTTCTAAGTCCCGGAATCATTTTTGTCATTCTTCGCTGCACCGACTCTAGTGAATTTATATCCATTCTATAATACGGGCACCAGAACTGAACAGCATAATCGAGGTGCGGCCTGACTAGCGCAAGATATAGTTGCAATAAGACCTCTGCACTCTTGTTACTTACACTTCTAGATATAAAACCCAATACTCTGTTTGCCTTATTTCGATTAACGCACTGTTTTCTAGGCCGTAGGTCCGGGCTTACAAGTACCCCTAGGTCTCTTTCACAAGTCGACTTCTCTAGGTTGATGTTGTTAAGGCTGTATACATTATCAGTATTTGTTCTTCCAATATTAAGTACACTGCACTTGCTGGTGTTGAATTTCATTTGCCATGTACATTACAATGGATCACGTCCATCGTCAGATTTTTTCATGTTTGCCTCCCCCCCTCAATGGGGCTAGTTTACTGAGCACCCCCCTTGTATTTTATTTAGGTTGGCAAGTACTCTAGGCGTTTGTATATCAATATTAGAAACAGCAGAACATAAGAATGGAGGAAACTACAGAGGGCCTATTGGCCCATACTGGGCAGTCCCATTTACACCCAACCCCTATTGCTCATATAAGCATCCAACCTATGTTTGAAGCCATCCAGCGTATTCGAGTTAATGATGATATTTGGTAACTTGTTCCATTCATCCACTACTCTGGTTTCCAAACCAATGTTTACCTATCTCGCGCCTAAATCTAAATTCGTCTAATTTAAAACCATTGTTACGAGTTCACTCCCGGTTGGATAGTTTGAGTACCTTTGTAATGTCCCCTTTGTTTAGCCCCGACTTCCATTTATGCACCTCTATCATGTCGCCCCACTCTGCGTCTCTCGAGGGAGTGCAAATTAAGATGCTTTAACCTGTCTCTGTACTCAAGGTTCCTAATGCCCGGGATTAGTCTAGTCATTCTCCTCTGGATTCTTTCCAAGGATTCTATATCCATTCTGTAATAGGGTGACCAGAACTGAACTGCGTAATCCAGGTGAGGTTGTAGTGGATACCTCCCCTACAAACGCTGTTTGTCGCTGAGTAGCCCACCCTGCGAATTCCCGTGTATACCTCGTGGTCTAGGTCAACCAGCGCGCCGCCTTACATGACGGAGGTCAACTATTAAGCCACGCCTACCTCCGCCATATAAGACCTGCCCTCGTGGTGACCAATCTTCTACCTACACCAACACCTCCCACCAGCTGGTCCTCCTCTGAGCACCCTCACCAACCAGCTCTCTACATCACGCTTGTAACCATGCTGCCTTCCCAGCACCAAGCTGCACTGTACATCCAATACAACATGTATACATGAGAGCACATTGTGAGTTTCCTTTCTCCATCCCATCCCGAGTGTGAACCCAAACAGCACGTACCCGACAAATGGTGACCCCCGGAGGTTCGCACTTACACAGGATGGAGGAAACATCACGTACCCAACAAGGTCTAGATATAATTTTAAGATGACCTTGCAACTAACACTCCTTTGTATGAAACAAAGTACTTTATTAGCCTTGTTACGAGCAAAAACACATTGTTTACTTGGCTTAGGATTCCTACTTATCATTACTCCTAAATCTCTTGCAGTCGGATTTCAATGGCATCGTTGTTTATCTGGTATCCTTGTTTACATCAATACCGAGTACTTTACATTTGTCCACATTGAATTTCATCTGCCATTTTTCAGACCATTGGAAAAACTTTAGATGTTCCTGTAGTGTCCTCATCAGATTTAATTACACGTCCTATTTTAGTGTCATCAGCAAATTTACTTATGTTGCGGTCTATGCCGATATCTCGTTTATGTATACATAAATAATAATGGTCCAAGCACCGAGCCTTGGGGAACTCCACTAGTGACGTTGCTTCAATGGGATTTAGTGCCGTTAATGCTCACTCGCCGTTTCCTGTCCTGTAACCACGCCCTAATCCATTTAAGGATATTACCTTTAATGTGGATGGACATTGTCCACTATTTGTAAGGAAAAAAGTATGAAAATTGGAACTCCTGTATATTTTATTTATGCAATATTGTCTAGATACGAAATTATTAAATATATTAGTAGCAACGTTAAAAGTGAGGGGTTTCCCGTCTGGTCAAAAAATCCGGACTTTTGGAAAACCATTTTTTTAGCGGGCTTTTGTGTATGTGCGCATGCGTGAGCGCCACAGCTGCACAGCGACAAGCGACCACGTGGTCTCCACTTTAAAACGAGCAATCAAACTGACAACATACAGTATACTCATCTATAAACCCCCCCTCGTTTATCTGTCGACCCTTATTTTTTGACCAAGAAATCGTTAATTTATGATATTCCTCGTTTATAGTTCGACCCACGTTTTTGAGGGTAAGAGAACAACAAAACCTTCAGTAAAAACACTCTACGTCCTATAAACTGAAACACGAGTGCCGAAGGCAAATTTTTTACCATTTATTATTACAACACTTTACACTGAAACGCGGGTAGTTTCAACAAAAATGTTGTATATTTCCATTCAAGTAACTTGATTGAAAACGTCCAGAGATCTACCAGACAGGTGCCTGCACTACAACTGCCTAGTGGGTTTTTTCATAGCAGAAGAGATGCCCCTCCCCCCCAGTTACAGCTGATTGGCGGTTGCAAATCTGTCGATTTCGTCCTGAAGTATTTCTAAACTTGTTTATTCATTATCGTTGGGATAACCATTTCTGACGAGAAAGATTTTTAGCTGAATTATATAAATTAAAATTTTCATTAGTTCCAACATGAGCACGTAACAAGTTAATCAGAAATCTTATACTGTACATGAATTAACTGTTAATCTTATAGCAAATTCACTTTCAGAAGATGCTTTTAATATACCGATTTGTATCCACACTAGGGTATACCAAGACAAATTACACATCGGTAATACATGATGCAAAAACTAACATTTTAAAAGATCAGAATTACATTGAAATATTACACAGGTCACCAGACGGGAAATACGACTGCTAACTTCGTATTTCCCACCTCTGCCGATGGTTTGAGCTCGCCAGTCGTTCACTCATCCACCAAATAAATGGGGCTGTGTAATATTTCAGTGATCACTCTTTGAAAATGTCACTTATATTTACCTGTCCTAATGCCGACTGACGGCTTATTTTGTTTGCCATGCCAGGTGGTGGTCTTGCAATAAGGCATTGCATAATAAATACGGAACAATTAGGATCTAGTCTAGCTGCAAGCTAGCCTGTCAAACTTGAAGTTGACATACGAGATTTTAGACACGTTTTTGGTCGAACCCTCTTGCCATCAGGCACTTACTTGGTGTCAATTCATACTAGTATTACTAAATGTTATTCAAGTGCTATGCTCCTTTTATTTTCCACAATTCCTGTTGTTGAATTTTACTCCTTTTTAAAGAGATATAACATGTACCGATAGTATTTCGAACATAATCAGGCACGTACCAAGGATACTTTAACGGGAGGCCATCAAACTAATATAGGACGATAGAAAAATTAAGTCAGGTTACATTTTTACTAAATATCTGTACATTAGTTAATGTAAATTAAGGACAAGAAATAATCACTTCATGAAATAAATGACAAGACAAAACTGCATTAGTACAGTAGGACAGTTTTGCTACTTGCTAGTCCTGAAATGTACTTTACAATTACTGTACAAAGGATAAATGAAGCCAAACGGAGATAATAGCAAATTCGTAAATTGAAAGTATACAGCCTATGAACTTTATGAGCACCAGAGAGGAATCTGGAGTTTGCCCGGACATGTAAATTATGTACAGTATTTAAATAGAATCTCCATTTCAAGTTTGTTCTAGTATTTGCTGTATTAATTTTATTTCATATAAATATTACCCTCTTGCACATCTTTTGTTACTGTACATAAAACTGATGTGTCCTGGAAGGCATTGAAACCCCCATTTTAAGTTATGTCAGTTTGACAATACTAGGATTATTGTGTAGTAACAAGGCACTACTAGTTTCGGTAAACCAAGCCTGGCTGCCCGTAGTGTATACATATTACCCACACGTATATCCTTACTTCAGCTATCACAAAATGTCTGCTTTCCATATCCATTCATCTTGTTCCTCATTTTCCATTTGGTTGTATACAAAACTAACAAAATGCAACATACCCAGAAATAAAACATTTCATAGATATGGAAAACATTATGACTACATAACTAACAGTACAGTAATGCCCAATATATGGTACACAAACCCATTTGGACAACACTTTCCACATCACAATGTAGTTTATGTCGTAAGTTCTCCCTGCAATTTGTAACAAATGAAAACACTAATGATACTAACATTGTCTAAACATTTACAAAAATGAATTTATGTGAATTTAGTTTAACAAGCTTACCAATTATATTATAATCATACTTAAACCAACTACATAGGGTAGGAGAAGAGGGCCAATCACCAGCATACTGAACTGTGTCTATTCTTGGTCTTCCAGGTGCCATGAAGATCAAGCATTTCCTGACCCCCCAAAAAACAAAAACATTAGATTTGGCTAAACATTAATAAGTATAATTTATCATTCAAATTCTCAGCGAGGGCAAGTTTATAATCAGAATATCATTGCGTAATGCTCTAATGAGCGTCATCATGTTGATCAAGTTCTCATGTGCATTAGTAAACACTATTACCTTTGTGCTGGGACCCAATAACTGCCCTGAAGTAACATCAAATGCCCAGTCTCTTTCTGAGTAAGAGAAAAACTAGTTAGAAACAAACTTGACCCAAAAATCAATACAAGATAATGAATAGTACATGTCAGGTGTCAAGTGGATAATCAGTGTTGTTCATATCCCAATGCTCTCTAAAATTTCATCATTGCTAAGTGGATATTGTACAGTACAGTATTTAAAAAATCACGTAATTACCTATACTGTAATTGTGCCGATAACCAAGAGTTCCTGCCACACCACATCACATTTCTGTGAAAGAAAATAGTAGTTAAAAATGGAATTGCCAAAATATTAAGATTAACAATGGTACTACAATCAGGTGTCAAGTGGATAATCAGTTGTGTTCATATCCCAATGCTCTATACAAGTTTCATCATTGTAGTGCTTGGTAATCCTAAAATAAAACAAAAAATATCTGCCTAATACTTAGTACAGTATTTGTTACATTTCACGAATCTACAATATTGGCCTACAAATGCCCCCATTCATCAATATCTTGTACATTGCATATTTGTCTCATTGATGGTCTCCCTAATAAACCTAAAACTTCTGCAATCTAAACCCTTCCCTCTTCCTCATGTGGCAACCCAGAATTGGCATGACCCTGACAAAAAATATCTAAATATATACAAGGTATTGAAATTGCCATCTGCACCAACATCGTATAACCATTTTATTACTAAAGCAATTGCCAAATCCAATTAATGTTACTCACCTGCACACCCATGTCCAACATGTAACCGAGAGCCTTCACCTTGACAACCTAAAATAAAGGAACAAAATGAATTTGAGAAGAAATTGCTTACTCTGGACCAGTTCTTCGTTTTTATCAGCGAGGGCAAGTTTATAATCAAATATTCATACACATTATCTCATCATAAAAAGGAACAAATACACTGCATACAGCAAGAAATTATTACCTCTGGCCATTATTCAATAGGCTCAGTGCCACTAAGTAGCACAAAGAAAAGTAGATTATGTACAGTATCTTCAAATAAAATTAATATAATTGAAACCAAGTATTTGTAAAATAATATACATCTTATAAATAAACAGAATACATGCATTATAACCCTATTACAGTATACATACATTCACTTTGAACAGTAACATCCTCCAAATTCAGTACAATAGTTGAGGTAAGCGTCTGCTGCTCAGTTGAAAGAAACCTCCATACCTGTAAAATTCAACCCATTATCAACAAACATGAACAGCATGCATAATATAACCATTTATATAAATGATTCAGAGAGCTGGGTGATGATTTCAATAAGTTTCATATAAAAAATTTTCCATCGTATTATAAATTACCAATTTCCTAAAGAATTTACCCTTCAACCCTTATGCCCCAGGTTAGGGTGCTGCTGGCAGTAACCCCAACCACGGAGATAAATCGAGAAAAATCTAACTAAAAAAAAATAAAAAGTGGCGGGAATAGGCGGACGTTCTGGAACGTCACACAGGACATAAGGGTTAAATGCGGTCATTAAGAACTGGGGTAAATTCAAGTAAAATTTTGAAATACTCCATAAAAAAGTTTATATAGCCACTCACTGGTAGAAATCCAAGCCACAACTACCCAGATGAGTTCTTGATGCAGCATCCATCACTCCAAAGTACTCCAGGTTGGAGGCCTGTCCGTCAGCAGAAAATTATGCATTAGTACACTAGAACCAACAAGGATTAATATATACAGTATTTACATGAAGTACCTCAGACCTCTTGAAGTTGAATCAGTTTATCATAAACACGGACCAAGAGGATTACTCGTCATTTACTTCCCACAAAACTGAAAATCTTTACCATGCTCACCAAAAACATTGTAGTGTTGTAGTTGCTTGTATAATACTGTTAATTTTCAGTTTGTTAATCCTGGGTTAAAAAGTGTGGACATCTACAGTTGGAGCACACCCACATCTGTAAAATTTATTACATTACCAACAAGCATAATATATCACAACATTATATACACTGTAGTTGTTTCAGAGAGCTGGGTGTTGATCTCACATCTAGTCGTACAACATTTTTCCATCATAAACTATACAACATTTTCCTGCAAAATTTTATATTTAAAATACTGTACAACCCAAAAGACTTATCGTTAACCCACCCAAGAAATTGAAGCATAGCAGCTTGTAGAATAGATAAGTACTACCAGTATTAATTTTCAGTTATAAATTACCACATCCCTAAAAAAATTTCCCATTAAATGCCATCACTAAGAGCTAGGGTTGATAGACGTAAAAAAAAATAAACTACAGTAGTACAATGGAAATTTATATAAAGCCACTCACTGGTAGAAATCCAAGCCACAACTACCCAGATGTGTTCTTGATGCAGCATCCATCACTCCAAAGTACTTCAGGTTGGAGGCCTGTCCGTCAGCAGAAAATTATGCATTAGTACACTAGAACCAACAAGGATTAATATATACAGTATTTACATGAAGTACCTCAGACCTCTTGAAGTTGAATCAATTTATCATAAACACGGACCAAGAGGATTACTCGTCATTTACTTCCCACAAAACTGAAAATCTTTACCATGCTCACCAAAAACATTGTAGTGTTGTAGTTGCTTGTATAATACTGTTAATTTTCAGTTCGTTAATCCTGGGTTAAAAAGTGTGGGGACATCTATAGTTGGAGCACACCCACATCTGTAAAATTTATTACATTACCAACAAGCATAATATATAACAACATTATATACACTGTAGTTGTTTCAGAGAGCTGGGTGTTGATCTCACATCTAGTCGTACAACATTTTTCCATCATAAACTATACAACATTTTCCTGCAAAATTTTATATTTAAAATACTGTACAACCCAAGACTTATCGTTAACCCACCCAAGAAATTGAAGCATAGCAGCTTGTAGAATAGATAAGTACTACCAGTATTAATTTTCAGTTATAAATTACCACATCCCTAAAAAAATTTCCCATTAAATGCCATCACTAAGAGCTAGGGTTGATAGACGTAAAAAAATATAAACTACAGTAGTACAATGGAAATTTATATAAAGCCACTCACTGGTAGAAATCCAAGCCACAACTACCCAGATGTGTTCTTGATGCAGCATCCATCACTCCAAAGTACTTCAGGTTGGAGGCCTGTCCGTCAGCAGAAAATTATGCATTAGTACACTAGAACCAACAAGGATTAATATATACAGTATTTACATGAAGTACCTCAGACCTCTTGAAGTTGAATCAGTTTATCATAAACACGGACCAAGAGGATTACTCATCATTTACTTCCCACAAAACTGAAAATCTTTACCATGCTCACCAAAAACATTGTAGTGTTGTAGTTGCTTGTATAATACTGTTAATTTTCAGTTTGTTAATCCTGGGTTAAAAAGTGTGGGGACATCTACAGTTGGAGCACACCCACATCTGTAAAATTTATTACATTACCAAAAAGCATAATATATAACAACATTATATACACTGTAGTTGTTTCAGAGAGCTGGGTGTTGATCTCACATCTAGTCGTACAACATTTTTCCATCATAAACTATACAACATTTTCCTGCAAAATTTTATATTTAAAATACTGTACAACCCAAAAGACTTATCGTTAACCCACCCAAGAAATTGAAGCATAGCAGCTTGTAGAATAGATAAGTACTACCAGTATTAATTTTCAGTTATAAATTACCACATCCCTAAAAAAATTTCCCATTAAATGCCATCACTAAGAGCTAGGGTTGATAGACGTAAAAAAATATAAACTACAGTAGTACAATGGAAATTTATATAAAGCCACTCACTGGTAGAAATCCAAGCCACAACTACCCAGATGTTCTTGATGCAGCATCCATCACTCCAAAGTACTTCAGGTTGGAGGCCTGTCCGTCAGCAGAAAATTATGCATTAGTACACTAGAACCAACAAGGATTAATATATACAGTATTTACATGAAGTACCTCAGACCTCTTGAAGTTGAATCAGTTTATCATAAACACGGACCAAGAGGATTACTCGTCATTTACTTCCCACAAAACTGAAAATCTTTACCATGCTCACCAAAAACATTGTAGTGTTGTAGTTGCTTGTATAATACTGTTAATTTTCAGTTTGTTAATCCTGGGTTAAAAAGTGTGGACATCTACAGTTGGAGCACACCCACATCTGTAAAATTTATTACATTACCAACAAGCATAATATATAACAACATTATATACACTGTAGTTGTTTCAGAGAGCTGGGTGTTGATCTCACATCTAGTCGTACAACATTTTTCCATCATAAACTATACAACATTTTCCTGCAAAATTTTATATTTAAAATACTGTACAACCCAAAAGACTTATCGTTAACCCACCCAAGAAATTGAAGCATAGCAGCTTGTAGAATAGATAAGTACTACCAGTATTAATTTTCAGTTATAAATTACCACATCCCTAAAAAAATTTCCCATTAAATGCCATCACTAAGAGCTAGGGTTGATAGACGTAAAAAAATATAAACTACAGTAGTACAATGGAAATTTATATAAAGCCACTCACTGGTAGAAATCCAAGCCACAACTACCCAGATGTGTTCTTGATGCAGCAACCATCACTCCAAAGTACTTCAGGTTGGAGGCCTGTCCGTCAGCAGAAAATTATGCATTAGTACACTAGAACCAACAAGGATTAATATATACAGTATTTACATGAAGTACCTCAGACCTCTTGAAGTTGAATCAGTTTATCATAAACACGGACCAAGAGGATTACTCATCATTTACTTCCCACAAAACTGAAAATCTTTACCATGCTCACCAAAAACATTGTCGTGTAGTTACTTGTATAATACACTTTATTTTTCAGTTTGTTAATCCTGGGTTAAAAAGTGTGGGGACATCTACAGTTGGAGCACACCCACATCTGTAAAATTTAATACATTACCAACAAGCATAATATATAACAACATTATATACACTGTAGTTGTTTCAGAGAGCTGGGTGTTGATCTCATATCTAGTCGTACAACATTTTTCCATCATAAAATATACAATAATTTCCTGCAAAATTTTATATTTAAAAAACTGTAAAATCCAAAAGACTTCGTTCACCCACCTACGAAATTGTAGCATAGCTGTTTGTAGAAAAAAGTACTACCACTATTCATTTTCAGTATAGTATATTAAACTCAAGACTTGAAAAGCAGGTACCTTCAGTTGAAACATCCCACACCAGTACAACTTATGCAGAGGCCTGTCCCTGTCAGGAGGAACACACATCAGTACATCACAAACAATTCAATTAGTACCAAATATACATACAAGTACCTCAGACCTCTTGAAGCTGAATCAGTCTATCATAAACACGGACCAAGAGGATTACTCATCATTTAAAAAGCAAAATATGCAAAAGAATCTGAAGTTTAAACTCACCCAAAACAATTGTATATCCACTAGTAGTTAAAGATGTAAGTATCCAGTTGAAGTATACATCCCCATACCTGTGTATACAAAAAATTATATTCAGAGAGCTGGGTGATGATTTCATTAACTATCATCAAAAATTTTTCCATCAGTTTAAATTACCGTTTTCCTGGAAGATTGCATGCAGCCAAAAAAGTTTACTTACTCAAACTAGTATAATTGCTTGTAGAGCACACACAAAATTCAGATTTCAGTCTGCAAGTCTAAAGTCGGTATTCTCAGTTGAAGGTTGTCACTCCACACCTGTAAAATTCACCACAATAAAGCTAAAACCAAAAGAACCAATTAAAAGATGGTGTTAATACATACATAAATTCCTGAAATCTTTACATATTAAGTGCTAAGCAATATCAGTTCCTGAACAATGAATGAGTATGAACCGTCAGTACAAAATAACCTTCCCATGATTTACTGCAAATAATGAAATCCTAAATTAAGCAGAATTTCTTTCACGATCAAATTAAAACAGAATTGTCATAAAATAAGGAAAAAGCACCTTCACTACATTCAGGCCAACATTAAAAACTTACCCAGTACAGTAGAAGAAATCAACACTCATATGAACTGTCGATTCCCCAGACATTGGGCATCTGAAATTAGACAAGTCACCTAGACATAATTGTGAAATGTCAAATATATTTCAAATGTCTACAGTTCAGTAATTTTCAACATTAAACAGTGCAATTGCTAATGTGCAAACATTTAGGATACAAATATCATGTAACTTACCATTGAGGAATTATACATTTTGCAAACAACCACTATCAGCTTTGCTTTTCCTGTATCAAACATCCACTCAAACTACATAACTTTTCACTCCAATTGTAGCCATTGATAGCACTAGAGTACCTCTTAACATCAACTATCTTGTCCTGAAGTCCAGCACAGAAATGTTAGCAATTTATTCTGGCCATTTAGATTCCACACAATTTTACACTGGAGCAGTTCCTAGCAACAAGCAATTTCTTCTCTCGTAAGCCCTCTCCTGTTATTGTACTAGCTGACATATAGAACACCCAAAATTGCAATCCTAGAGAATACAGGTTTTCAGTAACCCCAAAATTCTGACTAGATTCTGAATACTGCACAGTACAGTACAGTATACACAAACGAAAATGGTTTCATACTATGGATTATAAATCTTAACCACTCAAACCATTTCATTATAACGCATACAAATAAAGTAAACCCTTCCATCTTTCAAAGCTTAATTTGTCGTGGTGTAGCGAGGCAAATGATACTACAAATTTAATTTAACTTTATTAAGGTAACTGCAGAGAAGTCATGCCTCCAGCTTCAGTGCATGTCTACTTTTTGCCCTGAAAAAAGAAACCCCTTTCAATAAAAAGTTCAAAAAGGCAGTCTCTATTCATCAAATTTATGAAACTCACAATCACCAAAACCAAGAGTTAACTAACTCACCTCTGCCTTTTTAGCTTCAGGCGCAGCCTTTGCCGCAATGCGTTGCTTTTGCCGAATGGTGGCAGTCTTCTTTTCAACCCTTGCAAATGGATTGAGATGTAGAAGAGCGTGGCGATTTGTTAATGGGTTCTGCTTGATCTTACGGCGGACCACAGTTTTACTGTGAAAAGAGAAAAGTAATACCGAATAAACATTTAAATTTCACAGTAAATTTATCAGTCTTGGAAACTTTACAATTAAAGGCATATTGGCAGTTCAAAAGATCAATCTCAAATCCATTCCCGACAACAGCCAGCCAAAAGTCAGCGATAAAAAATCTACAAGGGGTTCTCTAAAACACCACTACTCGCATCCAGTCCTCTGCAATTACCATATCAACATTTCCTGTTAACTTCTATTATCCTTTCAGTAATGCAATACATTAACAAGCAACTTACTTTGGAGCTCTGATAACAGCCTGAATTTCATCAGACTTGAGAATACGAGCTAAATCTGTGTTTGTCATCTTAGGCATGGGAAGGTTATAATTCTTCTTCCTCCTTGATTCCTTACGCCATGTTCCATATAGTGAATCCAACTTGCGGAAAGCTGAAATGCAAAGAGTAACTACAGAAAATGTACAAAACCAGTTATAATTTTTTAAATACTTTGGTGAGCAACTGCTGTATAAATACCAACTGGAAACTTAATTCACTCATGATAGGACCAAACATGAAATGATTCCTTGAGAAAAATGTGTACAATATAAAAAAAAATCTGCCAGGATGGGTCCAATGACTCAATATGATACATGCAACTCATGTCCCTGATGGTTGGTACATGTGCCTCAGTGGCATACTTATCCTTCTACATTTGATAACTGAACATTAATAACCCCAAAATAAGTACACTGCATAACTTGTTAAATTATAAACCAACGTAAATGCATGTCCCAATATATATCCCATGGTCTCAATGTTTCAGTGGAAGGATCCTTTTTTGAGATATTGTACCTTGTCTAAATGGATGCCTGCTTACCTGATTCTGTCCAAATGCAGAATCTGCCAACATGGCCACCAGGTGCAAGCTTCAAGAGATTGAGCTTTTCCACACAGATGGTGTCGACACCAGGAATGTTACGGAAGGCTCGGGTCAATCCCTGATCCTTATTGTAAATGACGAGTGGGCCAGTTCGCTGAATACGGCGACGGTTGCGCATCTTACCCTTACCGGCACGGAACCTCTTGCTCTTGTACACCTGTAGACATGACCAATGTCAAGGTTAAACCAACACATTTAATCTTTATAATATACCTAACAATCACATTATTCAGAAACAGACCAAGATGTTTAATCAAATAAGAAAAGCTTAAATAATTACAGTAGTAGTAAGAATGAGAAGTTCAATTGAAAAAATTTCTATGAAATTCAGTTTTAAAGGGATTCAAATATTTCTTAAGTACCTTGAGGATATCAGTCCATGCACGGTGCTTTTTGAGCATCAGTACAGCTTCCTTCGTCTTGGTCATCTCCTGAACCTTGTCTGACACCACCAAGGGCATTTCGGGCACCTCCTGGATCATGTGACCTAAACCAAGACAATTTTCAAGTAATCCTCTTTACGAACATATTGCTGACAATTTTATTCTCAATATATATGTAGAAGTCAGTTGTGCAGTAGCTTACCTTTAGACATTACAAGGGCAGGGCTGGAGCTGGCAGCAATGGCAGAGCACATGGCATACCGCTTCTGGTTCACTCCAATCCTGCGGTGCCAACGCCTCCAGATCTTTGTTGGAGCAAACATGCGCCCTCCACGGCACATGTTGCCAAAGGCACCCTGACCAGAGCGATGAGTACCGCCACCACGTACACGAGGGATACGAGCAACAGCACGACCTGTTCCCCATGATTCTGCTGATGTTTGATGACCTGCAACACAAAATTGATAATTTAAATAGTGTAAACTGGCTGATCACAGTTCATGATTTAATTTGACATTCCAGATTATCAAATGTAATTTTTTTATAAGTCCATTTCTTAATTTTTAGTTAACACTCATTACGTCTAAGATGTTATATAAGTAGCGCCAAAAAATTACATTTATCACACAGTATAGTGCGACCTCTATACACAGGAATTTTAAATAGGCTTGGGGTTGTTGCTGCATTCACCAGGTATATTTATCGATTCAATATTATATTCTCAAATGATCAGCCTCTAATGGTGTATGATTCATCATAATTAATATAACCTTCAATAATAGAAAATACAATACATAATTTGACTTAAAAATAAAATGATACGCTGTACCGGAAGGTATTCACCCGAGAGAGGGCTTTCAGCAAATACCACAGCTTACAACATGAACACTATAAAATACCCTCACTGTCTTAGTAGTGTATTTGATATATAAGCACTGTACTTTTACCTTAATGCCATTTATCATCTTTCAGTGATATGCGGCTCAATTTGGCTAATTATACACTTAAGGGACCATTAAATGAATAACCCAGGTAATATACTACTGTAATGCATAATACAGTACAATATTTTTAAGTGCTGATAAATACATCACAATATTATTTTTTAAGCGATCTATTGTGATAATCATTATAAATGGAGGGTGTCTAGGACATTCAGCTGTTTGCATTTTGTAAACATAGGACCTGGAATTTAATATGACAAACTCATCTGGGGGTAGAGTGGAATTCTTATTCTGGAAAACGGATTATTTTACGCAGCCCCAAACAATCCTAAATATGAAGTTAAGGCAAAAACTGCATAAAGATTAAGATTATGTTTAAAGGAGCCATGGGGAGTGAGCTACACCCACACTACCTTCCACCTGCTGCTCCTAGATACACATCTCCCAGTTTTTTTTTTCTTTGGGCACAACAATGTGGAAACAATTGACAACCAGCCTTGTTAAATTTCTTTAAGCAGTCCAGTGAAGCAGGGTTAATTACATCCATAGATTTGCTTTTTTCGGACTGGGGTCTGCCCCAATTCAGTGTATCAAGAAACTATATTTACAAACAACAACAATAAATTATAAAAATACAGAAAAAAGTACAGTGCAAATAGTTTACACGTTACGATGCAAAGACATTGGTAATAAACTCCCAAATTAATTGGGTACAGGTTTAGGAGTGAAGCTTCATGGTCTACAAAATTTTTTTTACAAGTTCAAAATATTCTATGCCACTTCTTTCTGTGCACAACCCACAAAGGGTAACACACCTATCATAAGTGGGCATTGCTCTCTGCAGTATAATAAAAATGGAGTACAGATGAGACCAAACCCCATTTCCTTCCTGCATTACTTGCTATAAAAATCCCACAGTAATTAATTTCAAAGGCAGCAGTACAGGGTATGAAATTTTTAAGACTAGTACTGTACTGGCATTAGACTTGACATCCTATCCACAAAATTTTTACTCTTGATTTTTTTCCCCACCTTGCATTTAGTCATAAAAAGCCTAGGGGAGGGCAGACAGACAAATACCAGTTTCTAAGACATGTTATCACTAGTTTCAAAGTTGTGGTAAATCTGTAGCAATTACCATATTTTACAGCAGATAAGATGCACTTTTTTGTGGGAGAAATAAAACCATGTCCTCTATGTGAAGTTGCAGTCTCCCATAGGCTAATAAACCCCAATTGCAGTCTCCAGCAGGCAAAATTCTACCTAGCCCAACTTATTTATGGGGTGGGGTGGGGGGTTCACTGCCTGCAGCACACTAGCCCGGGGCTTAGAACAATATGGGAGGCTGACAACCTTTCTAATGGCACAGCATGGGAGTATCACAATGCTAACTGGCACATGGGAGATCTGTTAATATACTGTATTACAATATGGGTACATGACATTGCTAACTAGAATCAAAGTAATTGTACAGCACTGAAGAATGACAACAGACTGGACCCATAGGAAAAAAATATACAACATAGGAGGAAGACCAAGCTAATGAGAACAATTTGTTCAGCCACAAATCCTCATTTAATGGATATACAATCTTAAAACATTAAAGAGAAACTAACCAGCATCCTTATTGACAGCATATGGCTGACGTGTGTTCTTTGCCATCTGGTCATGTACAAAGTTTACCACATCTGGTCTGATGGGGGCACGAAATACAGCTGGCAGGGAAACACTCACACCGGATACAACTCCATCTGCGTGGACACCCACCAGGGGGCGTGCACAAGTAGTTGCCTGCAAAATAATTTAATTTCAAACATTAAAAACAGGAATACACCTGTAGTAAGGTTAACAAGCAAGCAGAATTGTTCTTTTAAACGATTAATCATAGTACCGATTAGGATGATCTAGATCAGTACATTCGGTCCTTTGCAAACATGTTAAAGTTAGGTTGTTTGCAGTGACCAAATCAAATGATTTAGGTTTAAACAAATGCCAAGACATATCTGGAAGTCCAGAACTACCACCAGCTTCAGTGGTTATTTGTCCAGGACAAATAGCGAAGTAAATAAAGGTATGTATGTGACCAGACAAATAACCATTGCCAAAATTATTTTAAAAATTAATCACTTGGACATTACTCAGCAAAGCAATTTTACAGTGGACCAGAAGGGGTAACAAAACCTAATATCATTGATATTTCTCTTAAATATTAATTGTGCACATACCATCATAAAATTAAGATGTTATTTTTACTACAACATACGCATTGTGTCGGAAAAAGGGTAGTCTGGGGGTCGGCCCAGTCTATTTCAATTAATCCCATGTGTTCTGTTATTTCGTTAACGCATTTCTCGTTTTACGCGGACCTCCACGGGTTTAATTGACCGCGTAAACCGAGACTATACGGTAATGTGTGTGTGTGTGTGTGTGTATATATATATATATATATATATATATATATATATATATATATATATATGCACAGGGCTTCCATACACAACAAAGTCTGTATAGTAGGCGACTTTAACCTTGGCCAAATAGATAGGACTGACCTTACAGGTAACTCAGAATCGGAGGATTTTCTCGAGACGATCCAGACTGTTTTATAAGTCAACATATAACCGAACACAGCCGGGGTAATAATGTACTCGATTTAGTTCTGTCCTAGATGAATAAATCGGACTGCCAATCACTTCTCGACTAGTATTTGGTGTCAGAAAGTCACAAAAAATTGGAAAACTCACTTTAATCTGAGTTAATAGATCGCATGCATGTACCGACGGAGCGAGGAATTACCCAAATGTACCGTAGCCGGAATGAAGTCAAATAATGGTCCTAGATGAATAAATCGGACTGCTAATCACTTCTCGACTAGTATTTGGTGTCACAGTCACAAAAAATTGGTAAACTTAATTTAATCTGAGTTAATAGATCAAGTGCATGTACCTAATCTAACTTCTCGACTAGTATTTGGTGTCACAAAGTCACAAAAAATTGGTAAACTTAATTTAATCTGAGTTAATAGATCAAGTGCATGTACCTAATCTAATCTAACCTAACCCAACAACTCAGATTAAATTAAGTTTACCAATTTTTTTTACTTTGACACCAAATAATAATCGAGAAGTGATTCACAGCCCGAATTACGCTTGTACGACCATCATTTGAATTCATTGCGGCTACATTTGGGTAATTCCTCGCTCCGTCAGTACATGCACACGATCTATTAACTCAGATTAAATTAAGTTTACCAATTTTTTGTGACTTTGACACCAAATACTAGTCGAGAAGTGATTAGCAGTCCGATTTATTCATATAGGACCATTATTTGACTTCATTCCGACTATATTTGGCTACATTTGGGTAATTAGTCGGACCGGCTGTAAACCGCAAATTTTTCGGAGGAGTATTTACAGTAAATAAATCATTTCTTCATGTAGACATTTTAGTGTCATACAATCACTTTTTCACAATTTCCTGCATCCCCTACCTACTACAGGTGATTTATGGGTGAAAATTCTCAACAATTTCAACTTCCATATCACTGTTGAAACCTAACCAAATGCAAAAATCTTGCCACAACCATTAAACTAATATTAATCCCAATTTGTTCCTAATTTCTCTTATTTTGATCTATACAAAAAAGTATATTACACCTAATAAACTGCACGGGAGGACAAATTTGAAATTTACTTCTCTATTACAGCATAAAAACCCATCACTTACAGTCACTGTTATTAGTGACAAATTGTATGTTATTATTTTACACTACTAGAAATTACACGTGCATACAGATGACTCTTAGAAGTATTGCTTTATTAATATACATGAATAATTATTTAATAAAGAAAACGATTCAATATTGGTAAATAATCCAAATACAGAACAAATGAAGAATTAGTTATTATACATGAATATTAATTGTTTAATAAAGAAAAAGATTCAGAATTGGTAAATAAACAAAATACAGTACAGAACAAATGAAGGTGATTTGGCACCAGGGCATAAATCACCGAGCAGAGAGATTGCAAGAGTATTAACATGATAGCAGGCGCATTATCAATGTTTTTATTTTATATTTTCGTATTTAATAAATTGTTAAGTGTTTTTTGGTTATTTTATATCCCAAGCAACAGTTATTTTCGTGAATATATTGATGGGAATGAACGGGGTGACGAAAGGGGTAAAGCTGTGGTTACGAAAGTGAAAAATAGTGAAGCTGGATATGGACGATATGGCCAGACCTCCTTCAAATATAGGTTGGGCAGATGTACGAGCGACATGGGTGGAGTGTAAACGGGGCTGCCTACGTTAGCATGGGCCAATAGGTCCGAACACGTGTGGCAAGGTGGTGCCCTTTTAGTGCTAACCGGCCAAAAGCACTAAAATATAGAAACATGGACACAAAGGTATACTGTTCCTTATATTGTCCATGAGACCTTTATATGAGTAAGCCGTTTATCTCTGGTAGCAACTGCCATGATGTATTTGGGCGACACAGCGTAACCTACCAGTATAAGTACACCACGTGGGTGCTTCCACACAAATATATTATACTTGAGAATATCTCACGAGACATTTCTCGCTATCTCCTATGATTCCTACTCTTCTTCACACCCGTACAATGGATAATACGCAATGACGGATGTAACTATCAGCACAGCATATGCTTTCCTTTCGCCAACTTCCATATTACTTTCGAGTAAATATCACTTGACCGATGTTGTAACCCTTATGTAGCTTCAATTAGTGCTTAGTTATGATGTACATCATTGAGTGACACTTAAATATAATAAAACTAACCAATACTCACCATTGTAGCGTAAAGTTGGTCCGCTGACCCAGCCTACGTGTTGCCCGCACGAAGTTTCAACTGTAAAGACTGGTTCCATGTAATGGCCGGCGGAAGGACGGGGACAATGAATGTTAAAATGTTCCACGAACATAAATTCAGATTAATTTACTTTGATTTTGGCAACATTATTAAACAAATATGTAACATTATCTTTAGAAAATATTCCATAAATCCACATAAATAAACTTAAAAATGGTACAGTTAAGTTACAATAAGTGGTATATATACATGTACATATGTAGGTTCGAAAATCAGATTTATTAAGGTTAGGTTTGTATTTTCAACTTAAAGAAATAAAAAAATATCTTAAATGTAGTTGTCAGATTTGTTAAAGATTAAGTTTGGGTCTTCTACTCCCCTAAAATATTTGTATGTCTGTTCGTGGTTTTATTTTAACAGTAATCTTCTTGCACTGCAGACGCTGATACCACAACACACACGAAATCCTCATTCACTATAAAATGCTACAAAATATTTATCATAATATAGAAAGAATTTTATAGAATTAAATGCAAAAATTATTTTTGAATAAAATTCTAAAAAAACACTTATAATTCAGAAACAAATATCAATAACATTCATGTCTTAATGTGTCCCAAGCTCGAATCTGTTTTAGAAGGGTCTCCCATTACTGAACGTATCTCCGGGTATTCTGTATTTCTCCAGAATGAACACAGGATCTATAAAGGCTCTCTAGTATCTATGACACCAAGACTTTTTAAAACAATAAAAAACATTATTATAATGCTCTAAAACGGGGTTCTTAATATATATTTTATACAGTATTGTAGTAACCAACGACTTCATACTTATTATAGCCTCAACATAGTCATGTTAGGAACATATGATAAAAATCACAAATACATATGGTTTCACTTTGACGAGAAAAGCGAACCGGCCGGCCCTGGCAAAGTTGGTGCCCTAGGCAAGATTTTAGCTGGAGGCCCACCCCACCACCACACATACACACGCTAGGCCTCCACTCCAACCTGGAGCAACACACAGACTTATGCCTACCCACCCATTATCCTGAGCATATAATTACACAAACACTCATATCTGTACATATAAAATAAGTAAAATAATCTTAATTCAGTCCCCATAGAAAGATACTGGTCATTGCACTGAATGCTCCTTCCATGTTACCATATGTGCAGTGTGTTCCGAGCTATTTTCATGTGTCTTGAACAAGTGACTGGCATTTTTTCAATACCTGAATCCTTCTTTATTGAATTTGAAATCCTTGTGAGAAAACATTTTACAACAGAAGCAGTAATGACGATCCTTTTTCTTTGAATACATCAGCCAACTTCTTTTGATTTTTTCCTCCATTGACTAAGACTCTTAAAATACTCGTGATGACATCTTCTATTTTTTGTTTTTGTTTTGGAAAAGTGAAACTTTGCTTCATCTTATATGGCCTCTCTGAACAAACTCTGTTTTTTCCTTGTTAGACAGGAGAGATGACCAGTCCACAGGGTCTACAGGTGCAGCCTTGATGCACTCACCAGACTGTAGAAGGGACAGGGGAGCTTGAAACTGTGTTACTGGGCTGTATAGAGATGGAAGGGAAAGGGGAGTTGGCATCGTGTCACTGGGCTGTGCAGAAGTGGAGAAGGTGTTTGCAGGTGGCTCAAGATTTCCAGGGGGAGGGTCCAAAATATTTCAGAAGTGCATCTGAAACAACAAACAATAGGGCTGTGCGACCATTATGCATTACATGATAACAAAGCAGCTGACACTTGACAGTTAAACCCAGCAATACTAGCCTATACCATGACATACAGTATAGTCTGTAACAACATAATGCAAAATGACAGTTCAGCCCAGTAATAATAGCTCACTGCCTATACCAACAGTCCATGATACATTGCCTGTAAAATGACAAACTCAGCAATAAAAAATCAAAGCCCAGTAATAATAGCCAATGCCATGGCATATAGCCTGTGCCATAAAAAAATAAAATCACAGAAAATTTTAAAGACATCTAATTTTAAAGGAATATAGTTACCCAACTAACAGTAAATAATTATCAATATATATATATATATATATATTATATATATATATATATATATATATATATATATATATATATATATATATATATATATATATATATATATTATTATTTTTGGGGGACGAGAACTCGATTAGGCGTCTCTTATGATAAATAAGAACATAAGAACATAAGAAGTCTGTACGGGCCGGGTTGGCCTGCATGGCAGCTCCTGTTTTGTTTCTTTTTTTCTTTTTTATCTTCTTCTACCACTGATCGGCTCGTTACCCGCTTGGGCGATCGGTCACGTTCGTTATGCACTGTTGGCAAGTACTGGGCATGCACAGGCTCCTGAATGTACCTGAACCTGCTCCGTGTTGGTCACAAGTCTTGTCTTGAAAGAGCTCACACTCGGTGCCGTCACAAATTTCTGGTAGATTTCAAGAGTTCACAACTCACTGTAAAAGTTTGTCTTCACAGTTTTCTGGACTTTAGTGGCTTTCTTCCAATCTTGAGCTGTGACCTCTTTAGGGCTAGAGCGTCCGCCAGCTCCAAGTATGGGCGTTTGACCGAGAAAAGTTCTTGGAGATGCTTATACACCTTATCTAGGGGTCACTCCTGCCTGTCTGTAGTATAAGCCAGGCAAGTTCAGGCGCCCAATCTCTCAGGATAAGTTGAGGTACAAAGGGCAGGCACCAGTCTGGTGGCCTCCTTTGAACATTTTTAATTAACTGATAGTCCCTAGTATATTCGGGACCAGACGGGGTGACAGTACTAGAGGGGAAGCACTTCACTCCTGAAGATGTCAGCCATGAGGGACGGTCTAGATATCTGAACGACCGTCTTATAAGACCCACACTTTTTGCCTGATTTACCTTTCTTTCTCGCAATGTCTACAGAGAACTTCAGCCTTACGGTCAACATACACACCAAAGCCTTCATATTCAGTCTTAAATAACTCATGAAAGATAAATTATTAATTTAACCGTTAAACATTTTCTGTGAATGTTTCCAAGAGAAAATGGGTTTATGGAGAACCCATTTGATTTTCCACGCAACGCATCCAGCACTTTAAAGCACTATTCTGTTCCTAAGAACAAATATATGAACCTCAGGCATATTCATTGCAGTGATTCCACTGATCCCTAATTAATTTTCTTTTTAAATTATTAAAAGATTTTATTTCCATTTTATAAGCATTATTATGAATTTATTGTAGCAGGCACAGTATAGCACTATAATTTGGACGATAGTCTTTCTTTACGATTTAAAATTTTGAATTATATCAATTTGTTTCGTTGAAAACTGCACAGAGGCTCTCAGCTAAAAACAATTAGCTACAACCTGTTTTTGGTGAGATTAAGGCAAATTTAATTTAATAACTTAATCATGTAAGGTTTATCCATTTTCCTTAATAAGGTATTCATTTTTTAATGTACATAAATATATAACTTTACTTTAAAAGGAATTGTAGATCATCATTTAGATCCACATCAGATTATGAGCTAAAACAAAATTCATATATGCTGAGATCGAACTTTTTAGATATACATGTAAAATGGTGCTTTCAGTTAATATTCTGAATTTTTAATAATAAATTTATTTTTCTTGATTGAAAACTTTGAAAGTCGTAAGCCTATCATCTTTTGGCAGTTCTAAATATCGTCCAGATCATTAATAAAGCTGTAGCAGTATAGCCACGGTGTTTTTACTTTACCTATGGTGTTAGCAACATACAAATTACAATTAGGATGGTAAAGTTGAAGTTGTTACAAATAGGCCAAGGAGTCGGGAGTCGGAAGACAGAAAATTTGGCAGAGTCGGAGTCGAAGGT